CCCTGTCCCCCGCTCCCTGTGGGGGGCGCCGGCTTTCCCCCGGTGGGGCCCCCCCCCCCCCCGGGCCAAAAACAAAAAAAAAAAAAAAAAAAAAAAAACCAAAAAAAAAAAAACGAAAACCAAACCCCCCCAAAAAAAACAGCTCTCATCTCTTTGTTGGATTTGGAGGACATGGGGCCAGCTTTGTGAGATTTCCTGTGTGGATTAGCATGTCAATGAAGATGTTTGATTATAAATTTCCAAGTAGAGTAGATTGTAGCTGGATATGCATGTAAAATTATTCAAAACAGTATTTACAGTATTTACTTAGAAGACATCATCATCTTTTCAATCTCAACCGCCGCCTCTCTCACCTGTGGACAGTAATGCACACGCAACAGTTCACCCTCCCACACCGTACCAGCAAAGACATTGGTAGCTTCAATATCAGCAGCAAAAGCATTGAACACACCATCACCTTTGCGCTCCTCTGTATGCCACAGCGAAGAGATACGACGACCATGATATTTCGAGACTTGGTTCATAAGCGCAAGTGTCGCAAGAGCAGACTTCTCCGGCAACTGGAGAGAAGTCGTCATCAGACGCTTGGAGAAACTGGCAAGTCGGCTTGGGGGCGGGTTGCCGTGTGCGCGAGATAACAGAGTTGGCTGCAAGCAGCGGAGGAGGAGGACCATCGGGGTCTGGAAGTTGACCTTGTTTTTGGAGCGGGACTCAGAGAGCTGTTTGCCTTCCGCGGAGGAGTTGGGGTCGGGGAGGCGGAGGGCTGTGTCTGGGTTGAACTCGACGTCTGGGTTCATGGAGAGGGAGTAGAGGGATCGGTAGAGGTGCTTGATGAAGAAGTTCAGATCGAGGTGGAGACCTGCGGCGGCTTTGCTGGCTTCTTGGCCTTCTAGTAGGGCGAAGGCAGTCACGGTGCAGAGCAGCGTCCTTCGGCGAGCGTCCCGGGCTGCGCTTTCGGCAATTGTGACATTGTCTTCATCTTCGTCGTCTTCCTCGTTGACGACCTCCTGGTCGCCTTCTACGCCCATTTCCTCGCGCTCTGCGTGATTAATCAGGTCTTTCAGAGCTTCGAGCAAATCACCGAAGAAGTCCTGGTTAATAAGATGGGCATATTTCGCCAGACCCTCAAGCACAGGACCCATCAGTTCGGGAATGCGGAGCTTGAGAATGCGGAAATAGAGTCCGAATACAAGCTTTAATGTTTCGGCCTGGTTCTTGTCTCTTTGTTCGTGCGATACCACTGCGTCTGCTTGTCGCATATCCTTCTCGACTTCCTTTCGCTCCTTTTGAACCTTGCGCTCTCGCTTCGTGCGGAATTCACGCTTTTGCTTTGGCTTCTTTCCATGGGGGACTTCTTCTTCTTCCCGGTCCACTCGGTCTCGAGACGCCTTCAAGTGGAACTCGCCGAGCAAACGAAGATGGAGGAATGTGTCCAAAACACTGGGGTGAATGTGGAAGTCCCTGGCCTTCAACATCTTTGCTAGCAGACGAACAGCTTCGAGGGAAACGGTTCCATCGTCATCTTTGGCAAATACTTCCTCCATGGTTTCACGGCACTTAACATAGTCGGCATCAAGTTTTCTCCGTGCAAGGCGGTTCACCAAGATCTTCAGGAGCTCGCTGCGGAAATTGAAGTGTGGCACGGCTAAGAGCATAGTACAAGCCATCGAAATCGCGAAGCTCCTCAGTCCAGCATCTGTGGGGCCATCTTGTTTGGATGGCTTGACCAGCATAGCAAGCTTCTGGACATAAGCTCGATATCCTGCCACAAGGGACTGTTCGAAGTCTCGGAGCTTGCGCACTTCCTTTGATACCCTGCCAGTCTGGTCCTCTTCGCTCAATGGACGAATACGGTATCCGGGAATAACATCCTTGTAGAGAGCCGCCTGTGAGGCTAGAGCCAGCTTCTTAACTGTGACAGGTGTGTATTTTTTCGACACCATCTCGGCCATTGTTTTGAACAAAGAGATGTGCTCCTCGGGATCTTCGTTGATCAAGGTTGCCATCTTAGCTAGCTCTTCCTTTGCCTGCAAGATTTGTAGCTTCACCGGAATCTTGGGTGCTTCTTCCTCAGATTCTTCTCCGTCCTCGCCCTCAGAGCCATCCTCCTCGTCATCATCGGTACCCAGAAAGCTGTCGGTTTCCTCGCCCTGGTCTGCAGGCTCGGCTTCGGCCTGGACAAAGCCTTCAGATGTTTTGATTGGCAATCGTGCGTTCTCGCCAGCTTTCTTGGTGTTCTTGCGCGGGCGACGTTCGTAGTCTTGCTCAACATCCCACTCTTGGTCGGCTTTGGAGCGCGATGAGGAGTCCTCAACATCGGCTGGAGGACTCAATCGTCTCCGCTTCACTTCTGGACCACGCGCCATTTTGTAGCTGGAGATTTGGGGAATTGACGGTGAAATTTGCGGAGAATAGTAAAAAATATCTTTAGAGTGAAAAGGCGGTCCCGAAAATTCTAGGCGGAAAGACAAACATTGCTCTGATTGGCTATTCATGTCCGGTCCATCGCTATAAATTTCAGGTCCGCTTCTTGGCGGTGAGATATTGCCCGACATTGGTTTTTTTTCTTGCTCCTCACCTCCCGACAATACAAGCTCGTTGCTACTCAACTGTTTTGCCATATTTTCAGCTTCATATCCGCCAATATGAGATCCCTCACAGAAGTGCGTACTAAATGCAATGACCATTGATTACTTTGACTAACCTATCACGCTTTTAGGAAGAGACACGGACGCTCTTCACGAAGCTAGCTTCCTATACCGGCCGCAGTCTCAATTCTCTTATTACCCCAGCCGAAGATGGATCCATGAGTGTTTTCCGCTTGCAAGGATCCCGGGTTTACTACGTGAACAAGGAGATTGCCAACCTGAGCATCTCATTCCCGCGCGATCAGCTTCTCAGCATGGGCACTATGATAGGAAAATACACTAAGGCGAGTGCTATAAGCTCTGTTCATATTCTGATCAGTGATGCTAATATTATGGCAGACTGGCAAGTTCCGCATCAACCTAACAGCTCTGGATCTCCTGGCGCAACACGCCCGATACAAGGTACGTATCACAATCTAAGCATTTCAACAAGGCATGCTAACTCTATATCTCTGGCACAGGTCTGGATCAAAGCAAACGGAGTGATGGTAAGCTTGATATCTCAACTTCGATAGGGTCTGCTGTACCTTGCTAACAAGTTTCAGCCTCTGTTGTATGGCGGTTCGGTTTTGAAAGCCCACGTGGCTAGGTTCAGGTTGGTTATCATCTAAATGAATATCCTTTTTCAAGGCTGACCGTCTTCTAGTGAGGATGTCGCAGAAAACCAGGGAATTGTGATTCTGGACTCCAACGACGTCCCCCTGGGATTCGGAGTTACAGCAAGGTCATCCGCGCAGATCGCAAAATTAGATCCTACCAGTATCGCGATCCATCGTCAGGTAGGTGGAGCTCAGCTCTAGGTTTTTACTTACATTGGCTAACTCAAATGAACAGGCCGACGCAGGAGAGTACCTCAGAGAAGTGAGTTGGATCTATCTTCAACTTATCAAGGATCAAATTGCTAACATCCATAATAGGAGGATACGTTGTTCACCACCTAAACGAATTCGAACACCGAATCTTACATGTTTGCAACTTGCAAAAGGCGTTTGGGAGTTCTACCTGATCTATCTGATCTTACAAAAGTTGACTGTACTTTTTACCATCGAATCCCGTGCTCATTGCTCCTAATGTGATGAATTGATGGCAAATGTTGACCACAAACTTCTCTGTAATGGTTACTATATGAAAATACATACTCTGAATACTCACAAATCCATGTCCAATGTAATGAAAATAAAACCTCATGCCAAGTCTATTCATGGATGTATAGCCCGGGTTGTAGTTGATATTAGGACTGTTTGGAGGACATGATGAGTCAGCACCATGATCACGGGCAGCTCCAGATGATAACTCACTACAGTCCTCATAGCCCTGGTGTTTCTCGTAACTTCTTAGCCGAGCATAGTTTCTCTCACGCGCACACTACAAATCTGGTGCTTTTAGCCCCCCGCGTGTTTTCACCACTTATTTCATTTCTCCCGCGCGTAGTGGACACACATATTGTCAACCACCACCATGCCACCATACACAAGCAACCAGAAGCATCTAATCGCTGAGTTTGTCAGCTGTACACGGACAAAGGAGTCTGTTGCTGTGAAAGTGAGTAACTTGCATGTTTTACCGGCATATTCTCTCCTGTGTGGTCTGCTTGGATATCTTGAGATGCTTCTATCCGGTCACGTGGGATCAAAAAGGACTAACTTTCTGATATAGTTCCTCAAAGCATGTGGATGGAGTTTGGCTCCCGCGCTTGACGCGTAAGTGCTTGTCATCATAATTGTACCTGACTTTTGTGTCGCTTTGTTTTATTTGTCTCCAACCCCTACCTGCACATAAGTCCCAAGATGCTAGCAGGTCGCTAGAGCATCTTTCCTTCTCAGCCTTTCCTAAGTCTCACTTGGGGAAAGTTTCAATCTCTCACTACATACTTCATCGTCCCAAATGCCTCGAGTCAAGAAGCCGAGAAAGGCGAAGAAGAAGTGATTGCCCTTCCCTAGCCCCACGACCATATACCTGACCATCCCGCTCTCAAGACATCATACATGGACAACTCTTGAAATGCTTCGATGCTAACGTTATCACTGGAATAGTTTCTTCGCCGCCGCGGCTGGCACTGCTGCAGTTGTGACTTCCGAATTTACAAAGCTCTTCGAAAGCTACCGAGGTATTTACTCATTCTTGACTAGTGATTTTATACAAATACTCATGTCTTCCCAGATGACCCAGTCGAGAGCCCAGATACCATCGGTATCACACGAGCCATAGATTACCTCGGCGATTTGAATGTCGAGCTCGACGAAGTAACCTGCCTAGCCATCGCCGAGCTACTCAAGTCACCATCGATGGGCGAGTTCACCCGCCAGGGATGGAGGGACGGATGGCTGAACGTTCGGTAAGTACAACATCAACGAAGAAAACCCACTTCAACCCGGACTCAAATCATCCTCAATGTTATTTATCCAATCTAACAACCCACAAGCTGCGACACCCTGCCTAAAATGCAAGCGTACGCCAAGTACCTCCGGGAGGTCATCCCACAAGAGCCAGCGGTCTTCCGACGAGTCTACAGATACGCATTCCCGCTCTCACGGATGCAAGGACAGCGCAACCTGCAATTCGAAATCGCCGCCGAGCAGTGGCGTCTTTTCTTCACAACTGACCATGGTGGTGTCGCCTGGAACACCGAAACGACCCCGTGGCTGGATTGGTGGATCGAGTTCCTCGAAGAGCGCGGGAAGAAGCCTGTTAACAAGGATCTGTGGGAGCAGGTTGAGGTGTTTATGCGCAAGAGTCTCGAAGATGAGGAGATGGGCTGGTGGAGTCCTGATGGGGCTTGGCCCGGTGCTCTGGATGACTTTGTTGCCTGGGTTCAGGCTAAGCGGGGAAAGGCCTCAGAGATGGAGGTTGAATAAGGTAGCCTCTGGCCTCTTCGTGGATGTTGGATGTGAGGGATTTGTGTCTTCTCATTTTCGGGTGGGCTGGCCATGTCTACTTGTACCTTGCCCACCCACTTGTATCATCCATTGACACCCTGTGTGTCAGATCTTTCATAGTTACGACAGAATTCATAATGGCCACATTGTGCCGTTTTCATGTCAAGGGCAGTTGCAGTTCATTCGATTATAGCTATCCCGACTAGTGTATGTATATAGCGGTATAGATGAGCAGAGGTAGAACGGCGCGACTAGCTCAACTGAAAAGAAGATATATATACCGATCTTCGAAGGGTTGGAATTGAAATAAAACAGAGATATAAAGCCATTCGTCATGAGGTTGAGTGATAACATCAAGGGGGAGATATCTGCGGCATGTCAAGATGCACGGGGGTGTGTACATGGATTGAGATCGACACCGGAGAATAGTAAACAAAGGATAACCAAGTGACAGCAGACAAGCCGGAAGGGACGACACACATAGGTCTTCGACGCGTCCGGGTGTATTTGCAGTCAATTGCGGACTCGGCCCATTTAAGGGAAGTCGCGCTTCTCGTAGCTGGGGTCGCGACGCTGGTCGTAACGCTGCCGAGTCGTTAGCAATCAAGTCGCAAATTCCAAGAAATAAAATCATACCTTCCGGAGAGCTTCCAGACGCTTCTTCTTGGTGTGGGTGTTGACATAGGTTCCAATGAAGAATCCAACAACGTTGAAGAAGGGCACCCAGGTGTGCTCAGGGAGGAACTTCTGAGCGAAGGCCAAACACAGGGGCGAGGTGATCCAGCTGACCTTCATGACGGGCATGAAGCCAGCCTTGACGGTAGCGCGAACCTGGTGGATGGTGCGCGCACCGGCGATAATAGCCATGGAGGTCAGGTAGACACTGTTCTGGATGGGGGAGATCTGGGGAACGGGAGAATATTAGCGAATCTCAGGACAGGTGATCGCAGCGACGACGTACAATCAGATTGCTAACGAGAATCTGCAGGATCTTGGCCTTGAGACTTGTGCGGCCGGCGAAAATCTTCTGCAGGATCCCGATGAGAACGTGGCCGAGGGGCGCGCTGATGAACATTCCGTACAGCGACATCTTGGGGATGCGCGAGCTGAAGTAGTGGCCGTGCTTGCCGACATCGTGGGCGATCCACGAAGCTAGCAGTTCCTGCAGACCGGAGAGCACACCAGAGGTGAGCATCTTCGTGCGCAGAGGGTTCTTCTGGAGCTGAAGGAGGTATGCCTATTGACGATCCATTCCCCGGATCAGTGTTGGCTCGATGTTATTGGAGGGGTAGGCGCTGCATACCTGGAGATACCCAGCCGCTGTCTTTCCACCGGTCAATCGCTCACCGACGCGATGCGCTAGGTCTTCAGACTTGCCGCCGCCCGTGACGGTGCGGACGGTCTCCTCTTGGAACTTGACGGACATTGTGGGGATCGGAGGGGGTTGGAGGAGGGCAGGAGTCAGGAGGGTTCAGGAGGAATTAAGAGAGCTTTTCAGATTACACACGCGCCTAAAATAAGTTAATAATGTGAATGGGATTAACATGCAATGGATGATAAGATGCCAAGTGGAGAAAATGGGAAGACACGATGGGGTGAGACTGGGGGGGGGGCGTGTTTGTTTATGTCGGTCCGAGGGTGGCTGGGCTGGGATGGGATATGGGGGAGGACAGCCGAGGCCGTCAATATATAACTCACACAAAATATCTCCCTTGAATCACTCTCCGACTAAATAAATTCTGTCGGAAGAATATATCCAGGAAATCGAGACGGCTATACGAACAATCGGTGGATGGATCCCCGGCGAGATCCATTGGCGGAGCCCATCGGAAACCCCCGACGGCTTTTGGTTGGATCTGGGGGCTTTGACGATTTTACCCCTATCATTAACAACGTTGTATACGGAGTATGTTGTATGTATTTTATATGTTTATGCTGTATATTTTATTACATAGATCTATGTTTTTTTTAGATCCTGATCATAATGAATCTTGGAAGTTCACTGTTTGTCGTTTTTGGTGCAATGCCAGGGCTTTCATGGTCACGGGGTTATCACTTCTTTTAACACCCCTAGGCTTATGGATTGTCTCTCTTCTATGTTTGTGGTTTCTGTAGCTGAATTAGTCGCTCAAGACTAAATGAATTATATATGTAGAGATATGGGATTTGTCGGCTTAGACCTGTAGTGAGTTCTATACAACATACATAGCCTATACTTCATTACCCGTGACTACGGAGTGTATGCCTCTTTATCATCTATCAAACCGGTAGTCTGGCAATCCAAAATCTAGTCTATTAGCCCATATTCTTCTAGGTAACAGAGCTCTAGAGGTAAGGTAATCAATAAGAATCACCACATCTCTCCCTGCATGGTTGCAGAACGTATTTTGACGGCATCCCCCGAATAGTTGATAGACATAAAGCAAGCCCTTGTGCCATTCAAGCTTGTTATAGCTATGTCTCGGTCCAGTGTCGGAATATAACACTTCAGCCAAATCTATACATGAGCCAGTGAGCAGCAACCAGGCAATGTGATGGATGGAACATTTGCCAAGTATCGGTGATTCTGTATAAACAGAAGTCAGAATGACAACTGTTTATCATTATAGTTACGCTCTGCGATTTAGACCTATGCTGTTTGAGCAGTATGTGCAAAGGAATCAATGGGTTACATACCGCGTAAACGCGGCTCACCTCACCTAGGTCGCCGTCGGGGTTGTCGCTGGAAAAATGCGATCATGGAGCTCATTCCATAAACCGCTGGCCCCGACGAGTCAACGAACGAGTCAGCGACGATGCGATCCAAATTATGGCGACCACACGCCTGGAGTACTTGAACACCACCGCTCCTCATTTGTTTCCTTCTCTCCCACCCATCCTTTCATTTCTTCCAATCATCCTTTCACCCCTTCTCTTCATTGATTCATCTTAATTCCATCTGCTTTATCACTTCTCATCACATTGCAACGTCTTTCCCGTGTGCAGGCCTTCTGGCAGCATACCGGCAACCTTGTTAGTTCACACTCAAGGATCGTGACTGACGTACTTCCTCGGCTCCCAGTCGCCAGGTGAAGTATCAAGTACCTTTCCCCACGTGTAGGCCTTCTGGCCGTACACCGGCGACCTTGTCGGTTCGCAATCAAGCGTTACTTCTTCGGCTTCCAGTCGCCGGGTGAAGTATCAAGCATCTCTCCTTTCCTGCGTGTAAGGCTCCTGGCAGCACACCGCGAGTCCTTACATCTCATTTCTTGTGCTTTCTCATCCGCAATAATACCATTTCTGTCAGGAACGACACATCCCGACATGACACCAGTCATGCCTTCACGCCGTTCCGCGGAGACGCCGCAGCCTTCTGGCTTCCAGGCCGAGTCACAAGAGCCTCAAGTGACGACCTCATTCATCACCGAGGAACCGAGGGGTCATTCAATCTCAAGAATATCACTTATCACCACTGCCAGCGACCACTCCGGCATGGCGCCGTATCCTTCTAGCTTCCAGGTCGAGGATCCAAACGGCTATTCAATGACAAGAATGTCACTCATTACCACTGCGAGCGACCACTCCGGCATGGCGCCGCATCTTTCTGGCTTCCAGGTTGAGGATGCTTATGAAATGAGAAGAATGTCAGAGATCACCACTGCCAGCGACCACTCCGGCATGGCGCCGTATCCTTCTGGCTTCCAGGTCGAGGATCCAAACGGCCGTTCAATGGCAAGAATGTCGTTCATCACCACTGCGAGCGATCACTCCTATGCAGCTTATGCAAGCTCCGACGAGGGCACACCCACCGGTCTTGTGGGCAATATTCGACGTCTTGTGGGTAACATTCGACGATACTTCCAATCGCGCCGTGACAACAATCATGAGTCGTCCGGTCGCCTTGGTCGTGCTCGGCAACATCTCGGATTCGCCGGTCGCCACACCGGCCGTCGATTCCGTCGGCGGTTACATGACCTCCGCGAGCAGCGAGGTGAGAGACAACGTCACGAGCGGGAGCTCAGACGATTGGAGAACCTCCTCGCCAATCGTCCACCAAGGACGAGCACCGTCGATTGGGACTTCCAGCCCCAAACGGACTGGCGAATCCTGCCTTCGCCGTGGCAGCGTGAGTCTGACCACGAGCAGGGATCGACGGCAGATCCCTTCGGTGAGGACTAGGGTCCTCACAATTTTGTTGTTTTTCTTGCCCTTCGGGATTATTCATGGCCCATTTGGGCATTGCTACATTCACGGTGGGGAGAGGGGAGGGGAGTGAGGGAGGGTGAAGCCGGGGTGAGGAAGAGGTGGAGGTGAGGTCGAAGTCAGGCCGGGGTGAGCGGGGGGTGAGCGGCATGTGAGAGGAGGATGGGGTGGAATTCGGATTCCACATGTGAGGACTAGGGGATTTCCCCCGAAATGAAGAATTTCCAAGCATGATTTTAAGTAAAAGTAAAAGTTACTAGAAAGATGTAGACTATGTAAATGATGTTAAATTAGGTATCCTGTGAAGCCATAGTATAGAACTAAGCACGTAAAGCGGATCAAGGTGTCAGTAGGCTTTAATTAATTTGTATGCTTTAATATAAGCCAGCAAGATAGCTACGAGAAAAATATAGTTATACACTAATTAGTCAACTAACTAACTACTCCGTATGGTTACTCAAGATATGGTTAACGTCATGTCAGATGACCGAAATGCTGGGGAATAATGACCCTCGGAGATTAGATCGAACTTCCTCAAGTTCCGAGCCTCGGTTCCGCTTGTGCGATTCCACCTCCACATTTTATTTCGCTTTTTCTTATGTTCATCATACACGATGTCCGACCCTGAACACCTTCCAGGCGAGGCGACTGATGCCCCGCCTGGGCAAGCACCCGCCAGGAGCTCATGCGCGAAACGGCAGCTGCTAGCCGCCTTGACAACAACCGATGTGACAATCCGTCGGCTGGATCTGTAAGGCCTCCTTCAATCCTATGTTCCGGGGCGCGGCAAGAATATCGCTGACCGCTCCCGCAGACTACTTTCCGAGGCAAATGGGCAAGAGCGAGTACTAGCGACTATCAACTATGTCGCCTCAATGCTCCACCACCTCACTGCATCAGCGCCCTGGATAGCATTGCAAACAAAGCTGGGTATCCTTGCGCGGCTAAAGGGTCGTGTACCCACCAAGAACGTCACTCCCGCATCGTCAAAATCGAAATTCGCGGCCCTTTCCTCCCTCGCATCGGAGACGAGATACAATTTGCGACTGTTCGGGCTGCTCCCTTTGTGGATCTGGGGAGCTGACACCCTCAAATCGCCGCCAGCCGACCCCATTCTCCACGCCCTAACCGTACTGCAGGTCATCTCAAACGTGATCTACCAGCTTCTCGAGAACGTGGGCTATCTTGCTTCCAAGGGGGTGGTCTCGAAGCGGTTCGTGGACAAATATGGCGGCGTTGCCAAATGGGAAATCTGGAGTACCCGTGGATGGTTCGGGCACATCTTCTTCCAGTTCTTTGTGCTCTGGCGCCAGAGTGTGCTACGCAGACAACGGTTAGCCGCACAACGAGCGGCTGCCGGCACGGTCGAGACTAAAGAGACCAAGGCCGAAGATAGCGAGGCACTGCGTTTGGAGATCCGGGCTTGGCGAAAGAGCATGGTGAACAACGTCATCTGGGCACCCTTGTGTCTGCACTGGTGTCTCGAGAAAGGCATCGGTATTCCTGATAGCTTGACCGGGCTTATCAGCTTCTGCGCCGGAGCTTGGAGTCTCCATGACTGCTGGGCTGGAACCGCAAGTGTCAAGGCATAGCTATTAGATTACTTGTGGTGGTTCTCGGCCTTTTCCTTCTTTTCCTATTTGTAACGAATATCCTCCTACTTGCATATATACCTGATGTTGACAGCGCACATGGTTTGTTATTGGCTTTGCATTTTCTAGGTTTACACCAGTTTTCGGAATATAGACCTGGCTTGAACATTTGGAGGGCGTTTCTTTCGATCCAAGCCTTTGCTGAATCTACAACTAAAGATATCACTTGCTTCTAAGTGTACGACCTTTCTCCATTATTTGAGCATTTGAACAGGCCAAATAGGTCTTCATCCGATGACTTAGAAGACTCGCCGTTGGCCGGCATTGCTATGGATCTATTCCTTGTCTTAACCGGTCACCCAGAGTTGGAATTTCTTCAACTCTGAAGCAAGTGCACCATGAACTTTCTATTTACTCTTTAGGGTTGCTGTAGTTATAATTGAATCGTTCCAAGATTCTCGCCTGAATGTATTATTGTAAGGACCTTGGTAACCATATCTACTGTTGGCCGTTCCCCAGGCATCAAGGCTCCCGATCGAATGAGTTCCATGCGCTTCGTTGTGGCGGACAACGCGATGACATAAGCACCGGGCTTAAGTCATCATCATCAGTTCTAAGAGCAGAGGTAGGAAGCTCAACATCATCATTCCTGTTACCTGCCTCTATCTCCACTTTGCCGTCATCGGGTTCGCTCTCTGATTCTGATCTATCGGTCCTTTTTTCATTTTCAGTACTCATTTCTCGTTCCATTTTAAATCCGTGTCTCGCTCCGACTCTTTTTGGGCACTGGACACCTTTGTTCACTCAAGCTTGCTTCCATCACCGCCACAACCTCATTTACGCCCATCATGTCTTCCGAGCCGGATCACACGCATGACAAGAAGAGGGTCCACTTGCAGTACGCTTCATTTGAACTCTCTTGACTATTGAGTATGCTAACTGGACTCCAGGGACGCTTCAGGCGCCGAGAAGAAGGAGGTAAGCATAGGCTACAGGACAGCTCACAAAGGCCCTCGGAACTGACGAAAATTGCAGGAGCTCGATACCTCCACCGCTATCTTGAAAAAGAAGAAGAAGCCCAATTCCTTGATGTGAGTAGCTGATAAGAGATATCTGTTGGAGGCAAGAAGCTGACAGTTTTCACCCAGCGTGACCGATGCCGTTAACGATGATAACTCGGTTATTGCCCTCTCGAACAACACCATGGAGACCCTCCAGCTCTTCCGTGGTGATACAGTTCTCGTGAAGGGTAAGAAGCGCAAGGACACTGTGCTGATCGTCCTGGCCGATGACGATCTCGATGATGGAAGCGCCCGTATCAACCGGGTTGTGCGTCACAACCTTCGTGTCAAGCACGGCGACATGATCACTGTGCACCCTTGCCCCGATATCAAATACGTAAGTTGTGCATTTCCACGTCATCTTTTACCATGATCTATTGGCTAATTTTATGCTCGTGATCTAGGCCAAGCGCATTGCCGTCCTTCCCATCGCTGATACGATTGAGGGTCTGACCGGCTCTCTCTTCGATGTCTACCTTGCTCCCTACTTCCGCGAGGCCTACCGTCCAGTCCGACAGGGTGACCTGTTCACAGTACGAGGTGGTATGAGACAAATCGAATTTAAGGTTGTGGAGGTCGACCCTCCCGAATACGGCATTGTTGCCCAGGACACAATTATTCACTGCGAGGGTGAGCCCATCCAACGAGAGGATGAGGAGGGCAACCTCAACGAGGTTGGCTACGATGATATTGGTGGATGCCGCAAGCAGATGGCTCAGATCCGTGAATTGGTCGAGTTGCCTCTCCGTCATCCTCAGCTGTTCAAGTCCATTGGTATTAAGCCACCTCGTGGTATCCTTATGTACGGTCCTCCCGGTACCGGTAAGACCTTGATGGCTCGTGCTGTTGCCAACGAGACTGGTGCTTTCTTCTTCCTGATCAACGGTCCCGAGATCATGTCGAAGATGGCTGGTGAATCCGAATCGAACTTGCGCAAAGCATTCGAGGAGGCCGAGAAGAACTCCCCGGCTATCATCTTCATTGATGAGATCGACTCCATTGCCCCCAAGCGTGACAAGACCAACGGCGAGGTCGAGCGCCGTGTTGTTTCCCAGCTGCTCACCCTCATGGACGGTATGAAGGCCCGCTCCAACGTTGTGGTCATGGCCGCTACCAACCGTCCCAACTCCATTGATCCTGCTCTTCGTCGTTTCGGCCGTTTCGATCGTGAGGTCGATATCGGTATCCCCGACCCAACTGGCCGTCTTGAGATCATGCAGATCCACACCAAGAACATGAAGCTCGGTGATGATGTCGACCTCGAGACCATTGCCGCCGAGACCCACGGTTACGTTGGTTCTGATCTTGCTTCCCTCTGCTCCGAGGCTGCTATGCAGCAGATTCGTGAGAAGATGGATCTCATTGATCTCGATGAGGACACCATCGATGCCGAAGTTCTTGAGGCTCTTGGTGTCACCATGGAGAACTTCCGCTTTGCCCTGGGTGTCTCCAACCCCTCTGCCTTGCGCGAGGTTGCTGTGGTCGAAGTTCCCAACGTTCGCTGGGACGACATTGGTGGTCTCGAGGAGGTCAAGCGCGAGCTTGTCGAAAGTGTCCAATACCCCGTGGACCACCCCGAGATGTTCCAGAAGTTTGGTCTCTCGCCTTCTCGAGGTGTACTGTTCTATGGTCCTCCTGGTACTGGTAAGACCATGTTGGCCAAGGCTGTTGCCAATGAGTGTGCTGCCAACTTCATCTCCGTCAAGGGACCTGAGCTTCTAAGCATGTGGTTCGGTGAGTCGGAAAGCAACATTCGTGATATCTTCGATAAGGCCCGTGCTGCTGCTCCTTGTGTCGTCTTCCTTGACGAATTGGACTCCATCGCCAAGTCTCGTGGTGGCTCCGTCGGTGATGCCGGTGGTGCCTCTGACCGTGTTGTTAACCAACTTCTTACTGGTAAGTCTCCGCTGTTAATTGCTATATTTTGTTCCGAATATTCACTAATTTCCTAACAGAGATGGACGGTATGACCTCCAAGAAGAACGTCTTCGTCATTGGTGCTACCAATCGTCCTGAGCAGCTCGATGCCGCTCTGGTTCGTCCTGGTCGTCTTGATACCCTGGTCTACGTTCCCTTGCCTGACCAGGATTCTCGTGAGGGTATCCTCAAGGCCCAGCTTCGCAAGACCCCTGTCGCCGGTGATGTCGATATTGCTTACATTGCCAGCAAGACCCACGGCTTCTCCGGTGCCGATCTCGGCTTCGTGACACAGCGTGCCGTTAAGCTCGCCATCAAGCAGGCCATCTCCGCCGACATTGACCGCCAAAAGGAGCGCGAAGCCGCCGGCGAGGACATCACAATGGAGGATGAGGAAGCGGAAGATCCCGTGCCTGAGCTCACTCGCGCTCACTTCGAGGAGGCCATGAAGTCTGCCCGCCGCTCTGTTAGCGACGTGGAGATCCGCCGCTACGAGGCCTTCGCCCAGAGCCTGAAGAACACCGGAGGCGGTAGCTTCTTCCGCTTCCCATCTGCTGGCGAAGTTCAGGAGAACGATACCTTCGGCGAAGCCGGCAATGACGACAGCCTCTACGATTAAACGCTTCTTTTGCTAGAAGGTGGTATGACATGTTTTTCCTCAGTTCAGTCATGCCCGGGTTTCTGCGCTCGGATTCGCTTATGAATAGATCGTTTTGCGTGGTGGAGATGCGGGCCTGGTTGCTGGGGTTTCCTTTTCGATTCGTTTCTTCCTGTTTTTGCCCACATACAATGTGCCATAATAGCCAATACAGAGAAATCTCTACGTTCATTGGTGTTGTAGTGTTTGTAGTGTCGTCTTTCTTGCTTTTTATGTTGTTTCATGTCGTGTAATGAATGTCATGTCCTTTTCTTGACTGTGCAACCTTGAAATCATGATTATCTACTCCGCAGAGGTAGAGGTATTTCTTGTCCTCGTAATGCTTTGTTGATGCAAGAACAGTAGCCGGACATACCTAGGAGATATTCCCGTTGTTCTAACTCCGTGCTTGCTTATGAGATCATGATTATATGATCAATCATATACATCAAACTACATAACTAGCTCAGACAATGATAATCTCTCGGACAATCCTTTCAGCCCGAGATATAAATCTCGGCACTTCAGTTTTTGGCCCGAAGCCGAGATCTCCACTTTTCTTCGGTTTTAAATTGAAGCCGAGAGCGAACACAGCGACCAGAGCGAAAGTTGGACCGGAACTGCAACCAATTTCGTGCTTTTTCGTACGTTTGCGTGCTTTTAACTGGTCCATTTCCCACTTCCATGGAGTTCAGGATTTTTCTAGTTCTGTAATTTTGCGTACCCGTCGCCACATGGAAATATACTGACGCCATGGAAGTATATCAAGATAATTTGATCATCTAGGTGACATGCCCAGGTGGCTATAGATTATCAAGGTTAGGGATCGACTGGACTCTATGAAAAAAGGAGGCTCTCATTGGCCTGACCTAGATCATGACGCTGTTTAATCTGACTTTTCCAACTGATGTATCCGGGGTTGAGTACATCGCGGACATAGTGGAGGAGCGAACGGCCGATACCGAATGAGCTTCTCCACAACCTTTTTTTTTTACAAAGCTTTGGAAGTCTTGAGCTCCGAGCCTATTCCCTTCTGGGACCTCCGGGGGGGGGGTTATATTGTCATATGGCCCCTGTCTCAATAATGTTCTTTCCCAAAGTTGTCTTCTCTCATAACACACCGGCGGAAGTCTCGCACATACACCTATATACATAGGTATTTAGAGCAACCATGAGTCCGCCACCATTTGATTCAACTACAACTACACCTCGCCTCAGCATGGAACAGGAGGTGGACGTCACCAACGCTATTCATGAGAAGAACGAAACAGATGTCGAGAACGCAGTCGACACCCTAGAAAAGCCCGCTGTTTCCAATGCAGAGCCCAACCTTGTCGACTGGGATGGCAAAGATGACCCTCACAACCCCCAGAACTACAGCAATCTGCGCAAATGGATCATCACATTTACCATGTCCTTTATGACTGTGTGGATCACCTTCGCATCCAGCGTCTTTTCGACTGCGACCCTGGTGACTGCGAAGGAGTTCAATGTATCAACTGAAGTGATGATTCTCGGCACTAGTCTGGTTGTGTTTGGTTTCGCTCTAGGTCCCCTGCTCTGGGCACCGCTGAGTGAGCTATACGGCCGTCGCATCCCGCTGTTCTCAGGCTACCTCGTCTTCGCTATCTTCCAGATCCCTGTCGCTGTCGCCAAGAACCTCGAAACTATCCTGGTCTGCCGATTTCTCATGGGTGTCTTTGGCTGCTCTCCTTTGGCCGTCGTTGGCGGTGCCCTGGCTGATATCTGGGACCCCGTCGATCGCGCAGTGGCTATCGCTCTCTTCAGTTCAGCTACTTTCATGGGACCTGTTCTTGGCCCAATTGTGTAAGTACTCAAATTGTCTCTTCAAAATACCCCTTAAAGACATCCCTCAAAGCACTATCCAGACACTAATATTCTTCAGCGGTGGCTTCATCACAGATTCATCTCTTGGCTGGCGTTGGACCGCATGGATCACCCTAATTGCGTCCTCCTTCTTCGGTCTAATTGCTCTCTTCGTCATTCCCGAGACCTACGGCCCAGTCATCTTGCAAAAGAAAGCTGCCCGTCTTCGCAAGGAAACCGGCAACTCGGCCATTCACGCCTTCTTGGATCTGCACGAGCCCACATTTTCAGATATCGTTACCAAGTACCTCCTACGACCCTTCCAGATGCTTACTCAAGAGCCCATCCTGCTCGCCATGACTATCTACCTCGCTCTTGTTTACGGAATCCTCTACCTCTTCTTCGAGGCCTACCCGATTTCGTTCGGCGAAGTTCGCGGTTGGACCCACGAAGGCGTGGCTGCCCTTCCATTCATCGGCATTCTTATCGGCGTTTTGCTCGGTGCCTGTCTCATCATATACACCACGAAGACTCGTTTTGCGCGCAAACTTGAAAAACATGGCAGGGTCGTTCCCGAAGAGCGCCTCGTGCCAATGATGATCGCCTCTGTGTTGCTGCCAATCGGTCTATTCTGGTTCGGCTGGACTTCCAACCCAAATATCTCCTGGGTGCCGCAGGTTATTGCCGGCGTGCCTATCGGTCTAGGTATCCTGGTTATCTTCATGCAGGGTCTCAACTACATTATTGATGTGTACATGATGTTCGCCAACTCCGCCATCGCGGCGAATACTCTCATCCGCTCAACCATGGGTGGCGCCTTTCCGCTCTTCGCTACACAAATGTACAACAATCTAGGTGTGGCTTGGGCATCTAGCGTTCTAGGTTTCATTACTGTCGCTATGATCCCCATTCCTATTTTGTTCTTCATCTACGGTTCGAGAATTCGCGCTATGAGCAAGTTCAGTCCTAAGTTCTAGGTGGTCGATCCACCTATCTCTCATTTTCAGGCGCATGAATACATATATGGCATTAGAGGTTTGCTTTTCACTTGCATTGTTCTGATGACAGATCTATGAAGTCCGACGATTTTTGTTATAGAAGGTCTACTCCGTTGTTTTATGACAAGTCATGTATCCCTGAAGGCATAGTTAGTTATTTTAATCAATATTATTAATATCTCTAGAACTGGGTCTCTATATACATGTAGCAATGTATCTGAGTATAAATGGTATTTAACCTGCTGCTTTGTTATGAGCTGGAAAAAACGTACGCATGATATCCACTAAACGGAAACAATAGAACCTTGGTGGTGGGGGAGGGGGGAATTCCGCCATTTCCTTTTATATAAACTTCACCAGAATTATTTCCTCTAGATTATTCACAGCTATACGTAGCAATGCCCAGAATTTGTTATACAGGGTACCCTTGTCTCTTAAAAGGAGCTCTGGAGCGATGTATCTTTCCTAAAAGAGAAGGCTCCCGGGTTAGACCAGCAAGTGCAACCTAGGCCCCAGGTGAGATAGGTATGAATTAATATGATATGAGTTGTAAGCCCAAGACACTGGCAGATTTGACATTCTTTTTCAAAGTAAATAAATGATCTCAGCATGTACCGTATGACACCTTCAGTACCAACTTTGTAGGGCAGGACGCGGTCCCGTGCGACGCGTCCTGGGCGGTCAACCTCCACCCAAACTCCCGAGTCGAAACTCTCCACCTCCCCAGTCCATGTGAGAACTGCGACCATCCACGATGCCTTCGCGCTCTCGCCCAGGTCCTTCCGAGGTGGAGGAAGACTCGGGGCTTCGGAGTCTATCCTTCAACCAGCCGCTCTCATGGCGTGTGGGGCGCTCCGCCATCCCCATCGCGGATCTCCTCGAACGTCTCCAGACTCTCGCGCAGGAACTCCGCAAGCTCGACCAGGAGGAAATTGATAAGGAATCGCTACGGAAAGTGTCACAGGAACTTGCCAGTGGGAACTTGCTTGCCCACAAGGATAAGGGCGTCAGAGCATGGGCTACGTGCTGCATCGTTGATGTATTGCGACTATGCGCACCAGACGCGCCTTTTACGCGCAATCAACTGAAGGTGTGGCGATGGAAGATCTTGCAAAATATGTGTTTTGTCTATGCGATTGAATAAGGTGCTGACTATGATCAAATCAGGATATATTCACATGTATCGTGTCATCGATAATCCCCGCTTTGGCCGACCCATCCAACGCCTACAATGCCCAGCATATCTATGTCTTGGGATCTCTCGCCGAGGTCAAGAGTGTGGTTCTGATGGTCGATCTTGATCATCCGGACTCGCTCATTATCCCGCTGTTCACGGGCTGCTTCGACATCGTTTCGGGTTCTTCGAAAGCATCGACCGGCGAAGAAGTAGCTAAGAATGTCGAGTTTGACATGACCCGAGTGCTCGTCACTGTGATCGATGAATCGCTCGTCCTGGCCCCCGAGGTGGTGGACGTTATCGTCGCCCAATTCCTTCGAGTCGACCCGCGAGTGATGGACAGCTCCAATAAGAAGGGAAAGCGACCAGATGCGCCGCTTGACACCAAGCAGGACACGCTTCTACTGAAAGACTACCCGGCCGCTTATAACATGGCGAAGGCTATCTGTCAGGCCTGTCCGGAACGAATGACCAGTCACATCAGCCAGTACTTTAACAATGTCATCATCGATGCATCTGTTCCAGCTGGTCAAACAAATGGCTCTAAGCATGCCCGGAAACCTCATCTCGATGACTCTGATGAAGAGGGAGAGGATATCAAAGAATTGAGCAAGGCACACCGCCTGATCAGGGAGCTTTGGCGTGCTTGTCCAGAAGTCCTGCAAAATGTGATCCCGCAGATTGAAGCAGAGCTCTCTGCAGAATCAGTGGCCCTACGTTTATTGGCGACTCAGACTATCGGAGACCTCGCGGCCGGAATCGGTGTTGCAGGTCCCCCGCCCCCTCCTCCCATGGACCCCACAACTTACCCGCCAGTGTCACTAGTGGATTATGACAAGACCATTCCGCAGCCCAATGTGTTGTTGACTCCCGTATCTCCTAAGCCTTTCTCTCAAGTCCACAACTCGGCCTATGAAGCCTTTTTGAGCCGTCGTCTCGACAAGACACCATCAGTCCGTGCTGCCTGGGTCACAGTTGTGGGGCGAATATTACTAACCTCAGCTGGAGGCTCTGGTCTACACGAAAACGAAGAATACAGTCTTGTCAGAAATTTGGCCTCGATGCTCCGCGATGTTGATGAGAAGGTTCGCGTGGCTGCAGTGGATACTGTTGGGCAATTTGGGTATTCCCAAATAATCAACAAACTATGTGTGGATGGTGGATGTTCATCACCAGACTCGGTTCTTGCTATTCTTGCCGAGCGAGTGAAGGATCGCAAGCCTCATGTGCGTGAACACGCAATGAAGATTTTGGCTCGCATGTGGGCAGTGGCTGCTGGTGACATCGAGCAAAATACGGAGCCCGTCGTGTCCCTTCTCAAGGATGCACCATCCAAGATATTCGATGCATTCTACACCAATGATCAAGAAATCCATATTCTGATCGACCGCGTCTTGTTTGAGACGCTTCTGCCACTTCCCTATCCCCCCATCAAAACGAAACTTTCCCGAGGCAACTCGAACCAATCACAGAAGCAGAAGGATAGTCAGACATCTGAACCCGAGCAAGAGACAGATGTTGACAAGATTCGAGTCCGCCGAATTCTTACCCTACTCCGAGGGTTGGATGAAAAAGCGAGGCGGGTCTTTTTCGTCATGTTGGCCCGTCAATTGTCGATGAGATCGGCAGTAACACTTTACCTAGAGGCCTGCGAGAAGTACAATGGTGGTGTCGTTGATAAGGACGAAGAATCGATTAAGACACAGTTGTCCAAGATTATTGAGTCATTATCCAAAACCTTCCCAGATGCCCCGCGCGCATCGGCAGACCTGTGGAAGTTCGCTAAGGTGCATGATCGACGGAGCTACCAGCTCATTCGCTTTACCATGGCTGCTGTGAGTGATTATCGCACTGTTGTCAAGGCCACAAAGGAACTCCAGCGGCGGGTCCAGAGTGCAAACAACTCTCCCCTGCTAGAAACATTGACTCCTCTCGTGTATCGCTGTGGGTCTTTGATCTTCAATCGGAGCCACATTCCGGCGATCATGAGTTTGTCCCGAACAGATGAGAACGGATTGGCCAATGCTGCACAGGAGATGTTGAAGCAAATTTCATCTCAAAATCCGGAAGTCCTAGAGGCACAAGTCCAAGAAATGTGCAAAGACCTCGAGGCTCAAGCTCCCAAGGCATCCTTGGCTGGTGATGGTAGTGCTGAGGACATTTTGAAAGCTTGTGCTGGTTTCGCTAAAAAGCTCCCTGCTAAACTCCCCAAAGACCGCAAGTTTCTCCAGGCTATGGCCAACTATGCCCTCTATAGTTCATCACCGCATTCTGCAAAACATGCCGTTTCAATTCTCATGGCCACAGCTGACCGAAAAGAAATGTATGCGAAAGATTTGGTACAGAAGTGCGTTGAGAAGTGGACGTACGGCTCTGATCGATTCCTCACTCGCCTGGCTGCTCTGTCGCAGCTGAACCTTCTTGCACCGAGAGAAGCAGACGAAGAAAGCGATGCTATCATTTCGATTGCCATCAACCAAATCCTGCTCACCAATCGTACACCCGAACCAGACTCTGAATACAACTGGTCAGAGACAGTTGATGATGAGACCAAGGCTAAAGAATGGGCATTGAAAATCATTGTCAACCGTCTTCGGGCTAAGGACGGAGCAGATAATGAAGCCGACTTCCGTGCCCACGCAAAGCCTGTCTACGAAACATTGAATAAATTAGTGGTCGGTGAAGGCGAGATCTCTAAGAAAAAAGATACCCCCGCATCCCAAAAACCACGCCTTCGCCTCCTCGCTGCAAAGTCCTTGCTTAAGCTGTGTGCTTCCAGCACAGTCTGCGACGGTCTGCTCACGCCATCCGATTTCAACGCAATCGCTTTGGTTGCCCAGGATCCACTCTTGCAGGTGCGAAGTGGATTCATCAACTACTTGAAGAAGAAACTGGTGCAGAAGTCACATCTGAGCCACCGGTGGTACATTGTCCCCTGTTTGCTTGCTTTCGAACCTGTTCATAGTCTAAAAGAGAGCACGCTCACATGGATGCGATCCCGAGCCGCATACTTCGCCCAACAGGCGCAAGCTAGTGGGAAACGGACGGAACAGACTATGGTCATGGAATTGATCTTTTCGCGTCTCCTTTCTTTGCTTGCCTACCACCCTGATTACCCGTCTGAGGATCTAGACGAAGCAACGAAACTCGGCGACCTTACCGACTTCTCTCAATATATCCTTTTCTACCTCTCCGCAGTTGCCAATGAACACAACATGTCACTGATTTTCCACGTCGGACAGCGCGTCAAGCAGTTCCGCGATGGCATCACCAAATCAGACGAGATCTCCACCCGCCTCCACACTCTGTCTGATCTGGCACAAGCAACTATTCGCCGGTTCGCAGATATCTACTCCCAACAGCACAAGCTTGGCGGTGCCGCCGGTGCAACCAACATCTTACAAACCTATCCTGGGAAGATGGGCGTCCCTAGCTCTCTCTTCACCTCCATGAGCAATCACCGGGAAGCCCAAGACGTCGCCGACAAGAACTTCCTTCCAGACGAGTTGGATGATTTGCTAGATCGCGTCGTCCGAATTGCAATGAAGCCCAGGCATAACTCTACCCACGGTTCACTGGGCGGATCAAGCAAGAAGCGAAAACCAGAGTCTCTAGATACGAATGGCAAACACTCCGTGGCCAAAAAGGCACGCAAGGAAAAGTCTTCTCGTCCCGCCCGCAAGTCCACATCATCGATCAGTGCAGCTGCCAAGCCGAGACGGAAATCAAAGAACGACGACGGCTGGTCTTCCGACGGAGGCGCTGGAGGTGCCATGACCACATCCTCTCGCCGGCGCAGCGTCCGAGGCACCGCGAAAGCGGAAGTCAGCTATATCGATAACGATAGTGATGATGCCGACATGGAGATGACAGAGTGGGATAAACCCAAGGAAAAAGACGATGGCGAAGATGACGCGGAGGAAAGCGAGAACGAAGAAGCCCAAGAAACGGATGACGATAAAGAACTCGCCGACGATGATGAGCCAGAGGTCAGCGAGAAGGAACCCACGCCGCCTCCTGCAAAGAATCGAAGCGGAAAGGCCGCTGCTGCCAAGGGCGATGTCAAGAAGCCTGAGCCAAAGAAGCTATCGACAACCATGCCTTCGCGACGCTCTTCCCGTCGTGGGTAAGAACCTCCAGGACTATATGGGACCTGCCTGGCACGGCCCCCAGCTGTATTCTCATATACGGGCCATGCCTCTCATTTCGTCAAAGACATACACCTTCAATGGCCATTTACTTATGAGTTTTCAGCCAAGATCTTCGAGACATAGACGTCTGGTATCGATCTAATCGCTGTTCTCGGATCTAAATAAGTCGTGCGATTACTGCGCGGATTGTTCCCGTCGATATTCATATTCATATTCATATCCTGATGCCCATATTATCTTCTTTATGGTTTCACAATTTCGTCCCCATCGTGTGCTCTGTTTCCCTGCAGTCGGTGATGGTCCGAGATGTATACCCCATCTGCCTTTTTTTTTTTTCTACTTGAAGTTCTCACGAATGTCTGTCTCTTTGCGTATTCCCGTCAGATATATGCTTTCTCTCTGTAAATGAACTGAACTTTGCTTCACAATTACTTGTTTACATTGTAGTTGAAGAAGCGCGGCTGTGAGGTGGCTCAGTTTGGAAGATTCTTTGAATGCATTGGAGATATTATCGAAGCCGTGCGTAGAAAATGGACGAGTGAGCCTAGTACTAGGCGGTAGTCTCGTACTCATATCCCGTCCAGTCTTACTGTAGTTCTTCCGTGTCCTGCAGAATTGGTTTATAGGAAGCGATGGCTTATAAGTTATAGGGAAGGTACGAGCCTGCAATGTGACGTAAGAGACCACTCCTAAAGATCATTCCATAGAAAAAAGAACAGAAATATTTACTAAGACTCAAACCGGCTCTCAAACTGCTAACTATTACACACATGGTCCAGCAAAGCAAGAAAAACACAAACGCCCCAGAGATTCCTTGGGCGCCAACAGATGGATAAAGATAGATCGCTTCCGGCACTGAGAAACCAAAAACCTATGCAAGACACGAGTAGAATGGGAGGCTTCGTGAATATGGAGAAGAAGTAGGTGGATTGAATTGATCAAATGTGTAAAAGAATATAAGCGATCTGAAAAAGAATTGCAAGTAATCACACAAGATAATCACACAAGACGCCGTTGTCATCACTTCATGAACAAGATTGACTATGGCTGAGACCCACTGGCTGGAGAGGGAGAGGCTGCAGTCCCGAGAGCTGGACTTGCGTTGGCCGGAATCCTAGGGCTGGCACTCGCACTTCCGCCATCGGAGTTGGTACCACCGCCACCAGTCTTTGTGAGCCGCTCTTCGACCCGCTCCTTGTGCTGCCGGTTGCGCAGATGGACTTCAAAATTGTCCACTGTCATGCCCGGGCCGGGAGTGTAGAGCTTTCCGGGGCAGTCGTGGCAACGAATACGGGGGAGGTATTGGTATTTGATATTTTGGCCAGCCTGGAGGTTGTTGGGATTCGTCACGGGGGCCAGGGTTTCGGTATCAACGGCGGAATAACGCATCACGCCTTCGAAGGAATCGTTGGGGTGAGATTGTTTCAACTTGCTGAGACCAGCTGCCAGCCAGTTGGGTGGTGGGGGCTGCATAGACACAGGGTCAGCCATGGGCCAAAAACTGGGGTTAAAATCTACTCACGCCAGATACACCAGGCTGCGGAGGGTTTGGTGCATCAACAGCACCGGTTTGTTGGGGTCGCGGGGGAGGATGAAGTCGGGACTGTTTATCAGACGGAGGTGCCATCGTGCGTGATGCTTGTCCGCTGGAGACAATGCGCCTCCCGTTTCTCAGATCGACCAGCTTGTCGCGCGAAATCTTGAATCTCACTATCAACTTATCAGAGTCATCCACACTCTCTTCTCGGTATTGCTGTCTTCGGGCCGAGACTCGGGGCTCATGGTACACCGGTTCAGGGGTGGCAGACTGTCCAAGGCTGGCGCGAAGCGCCGCATGGGCTGCAGATGCCGCGCCTCTCATGCCTCTAGTACGAGCAGTGCCCTGTGCGAGGTTGGGTCCAATCGCAGGAGAGTCAACAGAGGAGTCGTCGCTATCAAACTCGTCTGAGTCATCATCGCCCCGGTTTCCAGTCATTCCACGACGGCGACTGGAACCGGTACGCTTGATCACATTGCTTTCATCGAGAGAGCCCACTGAGTTGGGTATCACGGATGAAACAATCATGGTGCGTATCGTGCGTTGGCGGTCCTTGAGATCTGGCAAAGCAGGGCCACCACGACGGTTGATTGACCGTTTCTGACGACGTTGCTCTCGGGATATTGAGATTTCGGTACGTTCAAGATCGGCCTCATTCAACTCATAAAGATAGGGCGTATGCTCTTTGGCGGATTGGTATGGTCGGAAGGCAGAAGCCACAGGAGTGGGGAGGAATGAGGTGTGGAGGTCTGGGTCTTCGATTGGACGGCCATCGAATGGGTGAGCGACAATGTATAAGGATTTGGTGAAAAGTTGGGACTGTTCGCGGATTGAATGGGCGATGGCGGTAGTGAATTCACCAGAGAGCGATAAATCATCCGTCATACATAACGCAAATTCTTCCGGGGAATTATTGGGATCGTTAATATCCCACTCGAACTGGTCGATGAGAGTGTGTTGGCCAATAGTGATGTTGAGTTTGACCGAAATGCGCATCTCGTCGTTTTTGTACGCGGTGTAGGGTAGTTGGGGATCAAGAGGGTCTTCGTGTATGTTAAGATGCGGGTAATAGTCTATCACCTGCTCCTGGATGCTTTGGGAGATCATTCTCGTCAGAGGAACTGAGCTTTCTACCGCAAGACCCATATCTTCCACCAGCTTCTCAGCGAACAAATCCGGAGACACAACACGATCATGAAGGTTCCACGTGAAAGTATCGCGAATCTTGACTTTCTCCCAATCAATATCCAAGCGAATAGGGACCAGATCCTCAATCTGTTCATTCTGCGTCTTTGCGTCACGTCGTGAAATGCGTAGTTCTCGCGTCTTTCTATTTCCGGGACGTCGTCGATGAGTTGGGTAGAGAAGTTGAGGGTGTTGATTGCGAAGGTCGGTACGGGGGTTTCCGAATCCTTCATAGCCCACGCCATACAATGCTGCTGGGTTTAACTGATTTTCGCGTCGCACTGCCAAATAGAAGTCGCGTTCCGCTCGCTTATTCTTTTGTAACTCTTGACTCGGATTTTTCCAGGCAGCTGCGGCCGACTGCTGGAATTCGCGATCAACGTACTGCTCCAGGAGAATCTTATCCAGTGGCGTTTCGCGGGCGCGTACGGCCATGGTTCCGGAGACCTCTGTGGATTGAACAGCAGATCCATCATGAGATCTCTTTCTTACGGAACCATGCGTCCCATTAGAACGGGGCGTGCCATTGGAAACCTCACTGCCAGGTTCCGACGAGGCTGACACCCCGGAAGCAGCAAGCATAGCCTTTGCGCTTTGCTTTCCCTCTGCGATTGTATCTGGCGTATGACCATTTGTTGATCGGCTTGTCCCAAGGTCGATGTTGTCTGAACCTTGTTCGCCCGTGTCCGACGCGCCAGAGCTGTTCTGGACACCCGACTGAGGGTCCCCGAATGATTGCTCTGAGGGCAGTGAGCCACCCGTCACTTCAGGGGATGGCATTTTGGATGGTCTATGAATGCAAAACGAACGTCTAATGCCACTCTTATGATCTTGGAAGCTCGGAGTGGCTCTCAACGCGACAGGGATAGGTTCGGGTCGGCTACCGTAGCATTATGGGATGTAATCTGTCCATGCGATCAAATCGTGATTAGCAGGTGTTTTCAGATAGTAGACTACCCTATCCATCGCCGTCGCGACCGTGCATCCAATGTCACCTGGGCAATGTAGCTTGTTGGATGGACGTGTCGCAACGGGCGCATGTCCCGAACACGCCACAAGTCACCACTTCAGGGTATGCGACGGATTGAATAGGGACAGCATATCGAAATTATGGACTGGGAACCCAAATGGGAAGCAATCGAACATACCAGGGCCGAAGGGGGAGAGAGCTGTTGCCGATGTTCCTTGAATGGACCAGTCGGGAGTTCCAGCGCAGAATCCGCTCCGGATCGGTTGGGGCCAAGTCAGCTGACCTTCTTCGTCAATCGATTGCGATGATCCCAATCGACGAGTTTCTTTCCCCGAGAGATTCTTCTAAACTGCGGAAGCTGTGGCGGTTGTCTGTTGTTTTAAAGCCGGGGTGATGGTGAAAGAGGCAAAGGAGAAAGAGGGAGAGTACCCGTTACAAGTGTCCGCACCCGTCTAAGATCGTAAAGAAACGCGCCATTCACTCTATATGCCCAACCACCATAAAGGAATTATAAAATAAGGTATAAGACTACTTTTAAGATATTTTGAGGTTATTCCCAATGCTCATCTATGGGCTCCAGACCAGCCTATGACCCTGTTTACCAATTTTACTTACTGTCATGTGATCCACGTGTGTGTTACATAATGTGACCTCGGAAGGTCCTGGACGTCTTGGCATGTTCGTGGTCTGCCATGTACAACATACATCCTCAAGTCTGAACTGTCAAGTCCACAATAACCGCGCGGTGATCCGAGCTCAAAACACCATCGTCGAACCGATTTGCTAGCACTGCATAGCCAGTGACTGTCGACTTCTGACCGACAGCCCCGTTGGGTCTCACCAGAACATAGTCAATACGTGAGGCTGGCTCATCCTCGTACCCAAATCCAGTCCAAGTAATGTGGTTACCATATCGTTTCGAGCTTTCGATTTGCTCATATGCATCAAGCAAGCTTTTTGACAACTCTTGGTAAGCTTCCTGGTTATATTCGCTGTTGAAATCGCCGGCCAAGAAAGTGCCCGTGATCTCTGGGAATCTTCTCTGGTTATATTCCGAAATTATTCCGGTAATGATACGTGCAGCCTCGAGGCGAGATTGAGATCCTTGATTATCCAGATGGGTGTTCATGGCAAGGACCACATTCCGACTAACCGGATGACCGAAGACACCAATGGTGACAATGCGGATGGAGGCTGCGTCCCAACTCTTGGATGGCCTTTCCGGTGTCTCGGATAACCACACTGTCTCCCAGTATAGTAACTCCCAAACCGATGGCCTGTAGATGATAGGAGAGTATTCCCCGGCCTTGTCACCATCATCTCTACCAACGCCGATATGAACCCATTTTGGTGCTCCAGGCTCCATGTCCTGATTCAATCCAGCCAGAATATCCTCAAGTTGATTTTGAAGAACTTCTTGCAGGCAGATGAAGGTTTCTTCACAATGACGGGCCTCGTATTCAAATTCATTCAACAACAATTGCTTGCGTTCTGCCCAGGGTCGTTCGCCTTTGAAGGGAGATGAGGTTGCATATCGGATATTGTGTGTCAAGACCCGGACCGGAAGTTTTATAGAACTCATAGTGTGGAAATCAGAAGAGTAGAGAATCAAACAACCAACAACGGTGTGGGTATATGGATGGCTCTATGTCATGGGTTTACAACAAGTGAGGGGAATGTCGCAATGCCTCAGGTTACTATGCCTGAGGCAAGCTATAGTATAACCACCTTCAGTCACCTCGATGCACCGATATAGGTATGGTATTTATTCATGAAAGTCACTGTGCTTTTCACAGGTATTCTACAGTTGGCGGCCAGTAATTCACCCTTCTGGCTACAATACTAGAGAGAAGGGCGGAAATATATCGAAAAGAGAAAATTAAGTTCCAAATATATATTTCACCTCGAGCTGGACATTCACACCGCCACTGAGCCAATTTGCCTCGGTCTCTGAGAAATAGGCCTCTGCTATCCTACTGGATGGGCTGGGTTGATATACTCGAGTCTTTTAATGTTCGAAATCCATTCAAGTTGCATAACTATTGGCTTCTTCGATTATAGAATCAGCGCTCGGATAGCAAGGATCGTAGGATTCGAAAGGCAAAAGCCCGAGCACATCGATGTACTTCCTACGAATGTATAAGAGGGGAAACACTGGTCAGGTGAGGTGAAGTTTGGGGTTGGAGGCTGGAGGTCTGGGCGATCCTGGGTTGTGGCGGAATCCGGGGTATCAGAGGTGACATTTACGGTCTATATAACGAAAGAAACATGGATTCCACCTAGACAAACTGTAGTTACACGTTTTCTTAACGCGAATCAACGTCGCTCAGTATGAAGTCAAGGGAGAGATTTCCATGACGTCTTCGGCAAAGCCCTAGGTCAGAGGCCTGAAACATCAGGCGACCATCACCCAACCCCACCAACGCTAAACGCCTCGACGCTCTGAACACGACTCGATCTCGGTTTATTCCTCTCCTCGAGCTTTACACGGATTACAATCCGAACTCTTTTTGCGAAATCATTTGCATTTACCTGTTTATTACAGCTCCACGAGCCCAATTCACTTCACAATGGCGGAAGACAAAGCACCCGAGGTTGTTGGTATGTAAACTCCATCGCGGTGGAAAGCTCTGACGTTTGTGGGCACTGAGCCCAATATGGGCCATGAGCTCGCTGGCACTCACCGCAACAAAGAAATACGTTCGGCTCATAGACCATGACTAATTATGCAATTCTTTCTAGATTACACCCTCAACAACCCCGATACCTTGACCAAGTACAAGACCGCTGCGCAAATTTCTCACAACGTCCTTGACGCTGTTATCGGTATATTGCGCAAGAACTTCCTATTGTCTCACATTGTGATCTAATATCTACGTAGCTCTTTGCTTGGAGGGAGAGAAGATCGTCGAGATCTGCCAGAAGGGTGACAAGCTTCTTGAGGAGGAAATCGCCAAGGTCTACAAGGGCAAGAAGATTGTCAAGGGTTAGTCAACCCCACTCTCAACCCCGTTAGCGGCAGACAAACCACATGAACTTACCGTAACATATAAATTTAGGTATCTCTCACCCCACGACTGTCTCTCCTAGCTCCTATGTGACTCCCTACACCCCTCTGGTGTCCGACGCCGCCGAGGCTGAGATTGCCCTGAAGGCCGGCGAGGTTGTCAAGATTCAGCTTGGTGCTCAGATCGATGGATTCGGAACCATCGTTTGCGACACAGTTGTCGTTCCCAAGAAGGACTCCCCCAAGGAGCCTGTAACCGGCCGTGAGGCTGATCTCATTATCGCTACTCACTACGCCAACGAGGTTCTCCTGCGCCTCATGATTCCCCAGGGTCTTTTGGCTCAGGGTACCGACGAGGAGAAGAAGAAGGCCGCGGCTCAGAAGGCCCCTACTCAGGCCTACATGTCTTCTCTGCTCGAGAAGATCGCCAAGACCTACGACTGCAATGTCGTCGAGAACACCACCAGCTGGATGTTCGGCCGCAACGAGATTGAGGGCGATAAGAAGATCATTCTCTCCCCCGGTAACGGTGTCCGCGGTGACGGTGTCCCCGAGGTCGGCGAAGTTTGGGGTGTTGAGGTTGGCCTCAGTCTGGGATCCGGCAAGGTCAAGAACCTCGAGCACCGTCCTACCCTGCACCGCCGTACCACCACCACTTACGGCCTGAAGCGCCCTAGCTCCCGCCAGACTCTGTCTGAGGTTGTCAAGAAGTTCGGTACTTTCCCCTTCAGCTTGCGCCAGCTTGATGACGAGAAGGCCGCCAAGGTTGGTGTTGTTGAGTGTGTTCGTGGCGGTGTCCTTCGCCAGTACGAGCCTGCTGGCGAGACTGACGGTTCCCCCGTCTCTCGTCTGCTGACCACCGTTGGTAAGTACCGTTGAAATTGCGTGAAGATAATTTGGATAAGCTAACCCCACTCACAGCCATCACCAAGAACGGTCTCACCAAGCTCGCCGCTCCCAAGCCCGTCGATCTCGAGCAGATCAAGTCTGACAAGAAGCTTGAGGATGAGGAGATCCTCAAGATTCTCGAGCAGCCCCTTACCCGCTCTACCGGCAACAAGAAGAACAAGAGCAAGAAGAAGACCAAGACCACCGGCGGTGACGAGTAAATATGAGTCAACGCTCTCAACAACCTCCCCTGGTCATCATTTTCATGCAATACACTTGGATATAGTGTAGGACTATTTGTCCAATCTGAATGCAAAAAAGATATCCAATGACGAGCCTCACTGCAGGTCATACGAAATCTATCCAAAAAACAAAAGAGAAATACTTGATTTTTCCAATGACACGCGACAGGGCTGGCAATGCCAACCCACTTTTGGAAACCTCGGTATATACTTTATGGACGAGTTTGGTGCTGGGATATCTTCTTCTTGCGCTTTTCCTCGGAGGCCTGTCTGTCTTGTAGCAATTGGAGCAGACTCCATGGACCAAATCAAGACGTTGCCAGTCTGTACTCGTGTGTACTGTAAATCTATATGAAGACATTCTATTGAGACAGTAGCTATTGTAGTTCTCTATTACTTTCGTATTTCATGCCATGTCGAATCTCAATGTGTAATTTGTTCGAGGCGAAACCAGGTACACGTCACTTCATCGACTACTCGATAAAAGGGCGATGTTAATACCGGTAGGCGAGTCTGCCGTGGCTTTCTTTCGAATTATGGAATGGTAGGACACCTAAGCTACCTATGTAGGTGTTTTCTACTTGCTCGCAATAACAGGGGACCATTCTGCCACAACTTGGCAGTCTGTGTAAAGTCTTGGTGCAGCAATATAATCAGGATCTCTGCCTCATTCCTGTCGACTGCTGAAACTACTGAATCCCTAGAGACCAAACCACGGCTTAGCGTATCTGAAGAGTATATCATATCCTAGGTTCATTTCCTCGTGAGACATGTACCCACCTTCTGTGGTCAATCCAGAGCCTGTCTATTTGCATGGGTGCCTGGCAGATTGTCTACACAGCCTAGGGACAATAGAGAGCCAATGCTTCCATTGGAGTTCTATACACAGGCAAACTCAATAGATCAATATAAAAGCTATTGTTCTCTGTAGGCATCCTGGAAGAATAGGGTATCGAGGTCAAGACGTGACATGACATGTCACCTGGACTGTCTGTCCTATTGTTCCTGTGTTCCTGTTTGCACTCTCAATAGCCCCGACTGAAAAGGAAGGCCCCCAATTCTCGCAGAGTATTTAATCCCTCCCACCTCCCATCTTCTTCTTCCTTTCTTCTCTCTTTTCCCCCGCGTTCAATCCATTTCGTTACTTTCATCGTTAAAAATGGATACCGTGCGTGCTACCATGCGACGCGTCTCAAAGCGTCTTCTCAGCAAGAAGAGTAAGTGATATTCCTCAGTCTATCCTAGTCCCCTCCCCTGGTATCCAGTCACGTCTGTGAAGCGGATTTCGCAGTCTCCCACAAGCTGAAAGATCACTTCGTGTCATGCTATGCTCCTCTGTATCATGCTTCCCTATCCCATTACCCTGTCTCATGCCCCCATGTCTCCATGTCCCTGCTCCCGTTGTGACTGAGATGCAACACCTCATCTGCCTCTCGACCTGCACATTTCTTGACCAAGGATGAGTGGGCTTTCCATGCCATTGCCTCGAGTCATAAATTGTCTTGTCATTGGTCCAGTCACTTCTGAGACGGGGTGCTTGGTTCTGGAGTGGATGAGACAACATACTCTCCCTCCTCACAAGTCTAGCCACTTATGTTATTGAAAACATCATTACCCTTTTCTCAATTTCATGTGAATGACACTTGCTCTGTCTATCTCAATGAGCTGGTCACTGGTCACTTCTGAGATGAGGGAGAACGAGATGTTGTATCTTTCAGGTGAAACTGAGGGATTACCCCACATTTTTTTAAACTCACCTCTAGATGAGAGCAAAAACTAACTTATTCAAATAGGCGAAGCCGACAAGGCATCGAAGGAAAAGAAAGATGCTGTTGCTGCCCAGTACGTTGACCCCAGGAAGTTAGGGCATGGAGCGCGTGGCACTAACCCTACCAGGCCCCTTCCGCCTGCCCCTACGGGGTCCACTCAGTCCGAACGCCGTCAGAGCTCTTCCAAACCCGCGCAACGACGGAAGCTTCAGAAGAAGCCCCCGGGCACTTCGAAGCCCACCACCCAGTATCGGACAATGAAACCGATTGGGGAATACCCATCGCCCGTGGAGTACCGAGCTGCTGGCGTGGCTCCTCCGTCTGAACGGGCCCACAGCGTCGCGACCGTGCCGACCAACGTCCCGCGCGACGAAGCTGAGCGCCTTTCCCCCGTTAGCGGGGTTGAGAGCCCGCCGACTGACAAGGGTCATGTTGAAATCGCCGAAGAAGCGGCACTTGCCTCAACCTCGACTGGGGCCGAGACCGTGGCCGATGAGTCTATTCGCAGCACCACCCCAGCCGATGCGGCCACTCCTACCCTCCCGAGCGCGGACATCACCCACAAGTACCTCGCCGTGCTGATGTCTCTTCCTTTGCGCCTCTCCGACAAATATGATCTTGTCAAACTACGGGGCGTCATGAAGTTCGCCATAATCAGCTCAATCGAGAACGACAACGAGTGGTGTGTCGTTGGCCTTCTTTACTTCTGGTCCAATGCCATGGATGATGAATTCAAACTCTCTTTGATTGCCAACCTCTCCGAAAATGACGGAGGAGACAAACAGTTGCAACTTGCTCTCCAAACGATCCTTAACAATTCTCTGATAGAAGCCCAAAGGTGGTATCAGAAATACGTTCGCTCTACGGCCAATGCAGCCGATATTCCTTCCTGCAGCGAATCAAGTCAGCCAGCTGTCAATTCTGTTGGTGCAGAGCCTAGCTTCAAGGTCTCCGACATCTATCGCGACACAAGTGGTCCTCGGGTTGAAGAAAACTTCCTGAGCGGCAAATCAAATACCGCTCCGCTCAAGAGGCCCAAGAAGCCATGCCGCGTCAACGAGAATGCCTACAAGCGTAAGCGCCAGTGGGAAATGGATCCTGATCATGAGGAAAAGATGCGTGCTGTGCGTGCTCGTCTCGAAGCAGAGTCTTACTCGGAGGCGGTTGTCCAGTACAGTGCAATCCGAACTCAGATCGGTCCACCAGATGCAATCCAGCATCCCTACGACATGGAGAACATTGATGCGGGTATCGATGGGGACATCGACGCGTTCAATCGTGCGCGTTCTCTCCCTGTTCCGGGTTCAATCCTCGATATACCTCTTGTAAAGGGTCCGGAGCCCACGGCTCCCTCTGTCTATTCAGATGGTGCTTCGGCTATCGCTCGCAAGACTGGGAAGCCCGTCTCGCGACGTCAGAGAGAAAAGGCCAAGGGCCCTGAGGTCCCACAGCGTGCACGGTCGCTGTCTGTTGATACCACAGTCTCAAGTCTCTCGTCACTTTCGAATTCTGCTTACTCGGTCCGATTCAATGATTGGTCTGGCGGCCATGAAGCACGCCAAATGCCGAATTCTATGTATGTGATTTCTTGGTGTGGCTCGGCTAGTTCTATGCTAATATGACACCTTACAGTGAACCCCCCGAGAACAGCGACGACTGCCACCAATGTGGAAAAGGTGGCGATTTGCTCTGCTGCGACACATGCATCAACTCATACCATTTCGAATGCTTGGATCCTCCCTTGGATCCCAAGAATCCTCCGCAGGGAGAGTGGCATTGCCCCAAGTGCTCCATTCGCAACAGCTTCTCGACCTTGATTGCACACTCCAAACACTACAAGAAGACAGAGTTCCAACCTCCTCAGGATATCAAGGAGCATTTCCATGGAGTGGATGAAGGAATTGTGTTTGATGGCGACTATGCCCGGAATTTAAAGCATCAACGCTACTACAAGGCCGCGCCCCACCTGCCGCGGCTGACTAAAGCACCGAAGCAAGACGGCCCTACCATTTACGCGAATCCCATGCTTCTCCGAGAATACGACAACAAGGGAGACTGCATCCGTTGCTCCAAGTGTGGTTTTACATCCCAAGGTATACATCCCATTATTACTTGCGACTACTGTCCTTGCCGCTTCCATCTGGATTGTCTTGATCCTCCCCGCGCACATCCCCCTAACCCCAAGGTCGGGTGGATGTGTCCTAACCATGTCACTCCTGACGATATGATTGCCACCAAGGAGATTAATGGCAGCAACGAGCGTACGCGCCGTGTTCGCCGAACCAAGAACATGGCGTACATTGATTGTGACATCATGCTTCCTGACGACCCAAATCAGAGTTTGTTTGATGAAGACTGGAGAGACAAAAGGGCCCGTTTCCTCGGAGGCGATGTCGTTTTGAACTTCATCACTGCTGTCAAGGAAGATCATCACGAACGTGAAAAGGAGTATGCACGAATTGTCGAGCGAAAGTGCTTGGAGTTGACCAAGCAACTCACCAGCGATTACCTCAACCGCGCTGAAAACGCTGGGATCACCAACAACATCGCACAGAACGGTCTTCCCGCGGAGTTCACCCAGAATGTTTCTCACGCTGTTAACAACATGATAGCTGGCGCTCCTGTTTCCACTGAAGAATTCGACGCTGCCACTACTCTCCTCAGCATGGCTACAAGCCAGCCTCCTGCTGTCGGCGAAGGTCACATCGCCGAAGCTGCCGGGCCTACCTCGCCCGTTGCTCAGAAGCCTCTGTCTCGCATTGACGAGGAGTCTACCTTGGGCTCTTCTCATGCTCCCACCTCTCCTCCCCTCGGCACCTCTCACCCTCCCAACGCATCTTCGGATGCCGAGTCCCACCATTCGGACTCCGAGCTTCTCCCCCGGATCCCTGTGTTCAATCGGAACAAGCGATCTCGCGCTGATGACCATGGATCAGCCGGAGAGCGGGCGCAAAAGCGCCAATACACCAAGTCCAAGTGAGCGAGCCTCCCGGCTCTAGTTTAATTCAATGCGCGCATCAAAGGACCCGGCGTTTTGAATTGTCATGGATTTGTTTTTTTTTTTCCATTTTCCCGGTCGCCGAAAAGGCGATCGTCAATTTTCTCGAATCTGTTTCTCCGAGCTGCCTGGCCACGTTTCTCTTTTTTTTCTTTCAATGTTGTTTTTATCTTGCTTGGCTTTTTTTTTTTTCTAAAAAAAAGAATTTGCGTGGCCGGGTAGCTCGGAGAAAGTGTACGATAGCATGGGCCAAAGGCCAAATGAATATTTGCCATATCACCTTTCTCTTACTTGTAAATGTAATTACTCTCAGAGAAGTTTCATCAATGTAATGATATTCGTACTCTACATAACTTCCCCCGTAAGAATAAATCCCGGTTGCCTCCGGGCAGAGCACACTTGCGAATACTATGAATACACTCCCACCCCCCATCACACAATAACTCAAGACGATTCAGATGGCACAGGGGGTGGGGGGTGGGACAGGACGAGGCGCTTAAAGGAACTTCTTGGGCATGTTGGCCCGGCGACGCTTGTAGATGACGTAGGAGATCGCGAGGATCACCTGGAACGCGATCAGCAAGAAGATGAAGAAGCCCATGCGTGGGCTGGAGGCCGTAATGACTATTATGTGAGAGAAAAGCAATTAGCAGAGTGAACTAATATATCGTCTGAACGAAGCAAGCGAACTTACCACTCCGCAGGTGACCCTGCAGGTTCTCGCTCAAGCTGAGGTGGGAAGAGCGCAGCGTCTCGTGGAGCTGGTTGAAGCGTCCACTGTAGTCCTTGCTCTGGAGGTCGGTCTGGAGGGCCTGGAGCAGCTGCTCGACCCGCGTGAGTCGGGTGTCGAACTGGGCGAGCTGGCGGTCCTGAGCCAGGGACTTCTGGAGAATCTCTGCGTGGCGCTGGTCGGCCTTCTGGGCCTGGTTCTTCAGCTCCTGGAGGATGGTGTTGGTGGCCTTGCCCGCAAGCTGGATGCGACCGCTGACGTCGGCGATCTGGGCAGCTAAGCCGTTCATGGTGGCTTCTGTACCGGAGTTGATGATGGGTTGGGCGGGCTGGTTAGGAATTTGATCGGGGATTGGCTGCTGGGGGGTGCTGCCTTGGTTGGAGGGAATTGTCGAGCCTTGGCCTGCGGCGGACTCGAGGATGAACTTGAAGATCTCAAATGAGTCTGGGTTTTCGGGGGTGGCTGCTGTGATGCCGAAAGTGTTCCCAGCGGGCAGGGCGACCTACTCAGATCAGTATGTTTACGATGGCTGCGACATGGCGCCGGCGGGACATGATGTATACATACCTTGTCAGTTGAAAAGCAAAGCTTGTCGTCAACGGTGACTTCAAAGATGGAGCTGGTGTGCTTGAGTTTGAGAATTGATGGACGGCCTAAGTTACGGTAGGAGTAGTCGCAGTGGCCAAAGGCTAAGGTGTCTGGGCTATTGTGGCTTTTGTAATCGATGGTACCGTCGTTCAGGAACCCACGGACACTACCACCCTATAGGAGAGGTTAGTAACGAATGATCAATACGGCACGACAATACGCGACAGGGTTAATACGCACTCTTCCACCATGCGTATCGATTACTAAAGCAAATCCGTCAAATTGGCCGACAGTATAGATGCTCGAGGTACCAATACGGGACTGGCCATCCTTGGTATACCATAACTGCAGGATTCCACCTGCTCGTTCTGGTCCGCTTGCTCGGAATTGGAGCTCTGCTGACCATTCCGACTGAGAGACTCTATACTCATGTTAGTATCTGGTGTCCAATATCACGGTTTGAAGCCCTTCACTTACGGACTCTGTGCCCAAGCTGATCCCCTTGTGTTTCCAGGGTACGGTGGCGTTAAGATGAGCTTGTCTGATAGCTATACAGCTGTTAGAGCAATTCACCAGCAATTGTTATAGGCCGACTCACAACGTGCGGTTCATGGCCCTCTCCTCCAATTGCCCATCCGGGGATGGAGTCTTGGTTTGGTGATATCCTGGTCTAAGGTCAGACAACCATAACCCAAAGACTGAACGTGGACATTATACTAACGTTTGGCCAGTGCCGAAGCTTGAGCTTTCAATAATTTGAGCTGTGGCCCCTACGGCAAGCAATGCCAGGGAAGCTAATGTTCTCATCATATTGTGTGGTTGGTGAAGCTTGAAGTTGATATGGATTCGTGGAAGCTTTGCGCAGCAGCTATGAGCGCTTGCTATGGATTGAGTCACAGTTACACTTCCGATTGCAAAGGTTGGAGACAACACTTGTGGTGATCCAACCGATAACAACGGCAATAACGCAGAGACGGGCCTCCTTTGCAATAACAGCGGCCGACGGTGAGAAATCGATAAAGTGATGGAGCTGTACACTGTTGAGAAGCGTGTGGCGGATTCCGACGTCTGTGAAGTCCATACGGAGACAGTGTTTCCTTTGAGCGTTGTATGTGTTGTATTGACTTATCTGTCCTTCTGCCCAGCTGTTTCGCTCCTAGTTTGACCTCCGATCTCCGCATCTGATCACGTGGCCTCAAAATAACGTGCGGAGGAAGCTTCTCACTTCACCGATTTGCGCATTCTCCCGTCTCGCGTCTTCTCGGCTTTCAACATCGCTGCACCATCATGCGCAGGAGCTCCAATGGCTGACCTATACCCTTCATTGGCGCAATGCGCCATCGTTGCAGCTGCTTTCAAGGTGCTGCTCTTCCCCGCATAGTGAGTCCGTCCCGCTCGTTTCGCCGGAGAAAAAAGATCGGAAGGAGAGGTGGAAAGATATCGAACAATCACTACAAAGAATCTGCAAGGGGGGTTTTAGAGGGACCGGGAATAGGACATTGAGGTTACCAAATGAGCTTTGCTAACATGCTTTTCTTTGTGTTGCAGCAAATCGACCGATTTTGAGGTCCATCGCAATTGGCTTGCCATCACTCATTCTCTCCCCATCCAAGAGTGGTACTACGAGGTATGTTCGGTCGGGCGCATGATTCTAGGCAGGTATAGGATGTTGACTTTGGGCTTAGAAATCCTCGGAATGGACACTTGATTACCCACCGTTCTTTGCAGCCTTCGAGTGGCTGATGTCACAGGCTGCTGTATACGCAGACCCTGCGATGCTGATCGTGAAGAACCTTGGCTATGATTCCTGGCAGACCGTCTACTTTCAAAGATCAACCGTGATTTTGACGGAGTTGGTTCTTGTCTATGCGCTTAGTCGGTATGAGTTGTCGACCCTGACCCTTTTTTGGCTTTTTTTTTCTGGTGATGCAACATAATTCTGACTGCAGTTCGATAGATTCGTCAAGTCGGTTCCTTTGCCAAACAGGCAGGCTGCGCATGTAGCCAGTCTCTCTATCCTACTATCCCCCGGTCTCCTCATCATTGATCATATCCACTTCCAATACAATGGTTTCATGTATGGAATCCTGATCCTATCAATCGTCCTGGCTCGCAAGCAATCGACTCTTCTCTACAGCGGTATCCTCTTTGCTGTGCTGCTATGCATGAAGCACATATACCTATACCTTGCCCTCGCCTACTTCGTCTATCTACTGCGCACCTATTGCCTTAGTCTCAAATCGGTTTTCCGGCCCCGATTCGGTAATATTTTCAAACTTGGAGTTGGTGTGGTGGGTGTCTTTGCAATTGCCTTTGGGCCATTTGCACAATGGGGACAATTGCTGCAGCTCAAGGATAGGCTGTTTCCGTTTTCGAGAGGACTGTGTCATGCGTACTGGGCACCGAATATCTGGGCGATGTACTCCTTCGCTGATCGAGCCTTGATTTCCCGTAAGTAGCCTCTATCTCCCTCGGCGCACACGACATATGAGCGTATCTGACAATCTACAGTTGCTCCACGGCTAGGGCTGCCCGTGAACACTACTGCTCTGAATAGTGTCACACGAGGACTGGTGGGAGACACCTCTTTTGCCGTCCTTCCGCAGATTACAAAGGAATATACCTTCATATTAACCTTCTTGTTCCAACTGGTATGTGTCCCTGGTCTTGTCCCTTTGGCCTTCTCTCACAATTGTTTAGGTTCCTCTCGTCAAGGTCTGGTTCAACCCAGGCTGCTGGGATACCTTTGTCGGTGCGATCACCCTCTGTGGCTACGCATCATTCCTCTTTGGTTGGCATGTGCATGAGAAAGCTATTCTCCTCATTATCATCCCATTCAGTCTCATCGCCCTCAAGGACCGTCGCTACTTCAGCGCCTTCCGACCTCTGGCGGTTGCGGGCCATGTTTCGCTCTTCCCGCTGCTGTTTACAGCATCCGACTTCCCCCTCAAGACTATTTATACGGTCCTGTGGTTGGTGCTGTTCCTTTTCGTCTTCGACCGAGTCGCACCTGTCCCCGAGCGGCCCCGAATTTTCCTATTCGACCGGCTTTCGCTGCTCTACTTGACCATCTCTATTCCTCTGATTATCTACTGCTCCCTGGGGCACCAATTGATATTCGGATGGGACCGGCTAGAGTTCCTGCCATTGATGTTCATGAGCAGTTATTGTGCCCTCGGCGTCGTCGGAAGCTGGGTTGGGTTCATGGTGGTTTATTTTACCTCTTAGCTTGATTGAAATAATTAGCTTCAAAAGACCCTTTTATATTTCAGCTGGCAACTATGAACTACACACTGCTTGTGGTTATTTGTGGTGACTTCGGGATTTACTCGGGTTCGATATAGGTGTAGAATGTTTGCATTGTTTGCTTCCACGTGGATCAGACCCACGGATCACGGAGTCTATTTTCTCACTAAGCCCAATCTGGTTAGTCTCTGTTCATCCATGGTTGGCCTGCAGTCAAATGCAGGTCAGATAGAAACATGGGGGAGGATCTCTCTTCTAGTCTAGGGATTTGCTAGCCATGTTTGTGTAAACACATAGGTATTTTCTTATCTTTTTGCCTTAAATACTAGCTTGGTTGATTGTCTAGTTGTGAAAATGCATATTTACGACACGTATATATTTTCACAGATGGTGGAAGTCATTTTCCGGTCATACATTTTGTCTATATGCTTTCACTTCTACTAGTAATTAATCGGTTATTTTAGGCTGCTTTTTTAATAGATCTCATATGCAACCCGTTCTAAAAGTAGCAAATAATAAATAGGAGGGGCGACTATACCTGGGCATATATCACATGTTTGTTATTCACATCTAGCCGCGCGATAACTAAACAATCACAAAAGCCGGTGTGATGAGATGCAAAAGAGAGGCCCATTGACTCTAATAAGCAAAGATATAGAGTATCTCTTATTTAACAACATATATCTGGGTGGTCAATGCGCTTGTGACACCGTGGCTGAAGGAGCTGTATCAAACCTACATGTCAACTATAGCTGTTTGCTTTAGAGTCATAAAGGTGATGTATAGTTAGCGGCCGGTGTATGATATAGAGTATGCATATAAAGCTCCACTACTTGCATTTCAGTGACATATAGTTATTAAATAGGGTTGGTTCTATTTTAAGTATGAAATACGACTACCTAGGTAGACGCCCAGGGTTATGAACAAATAAGACTTCAGCATTTAAAGCCAAAGAGAATCCTACTGAAAGGTTGGTGTTTCAAGTTAAAAATACAAACAAAGCTGGTAGTGACATGGTCCCGTTAGTTCGAATTGATTGTTCCGATCTTAGCCCGGGGAGGTGACCGAGAATAGGGACTGGGAATTGATAATCGGGTTAAAGAATAGAAAGATTCCAGATTATTGAAATGAGCAGGTTGTAGACGAAATCTCCTGGACCAGACGAGTCGAATGAGGGTAAATACAGGTAGAGTTGGGGAAGAAAGGAAGAAAGAATTGACAGTCGGAGATGACGAGGGGAGGAGGGAGAGTCGAGGGTCCCGAGGAAAGCCCAGGTGCGGTTTTTCTGCTGGGCTTTGGCTCCCGCTTGCTCCTCCTCTCCACCAATCAGCGTCCACCGCTGATTCGCGGTCCTGCAATGATCTACCGCTCCGTCCTTTTTGTCTACCTTTCTTCTCTCTGGTTCCCTACACCTTGAAATATTCACAGCCTCCCTCCCCCTTTTGATATTCCACCAGTTCATCCCTATCCAAATCGCTTGGTTCGCAACTTCAGTACAGGACGCGTTCTACTCCGGTAAGTCCGCATGAATTCCCAAGGCATCGCTATTCCACTGTTCGCGTGTTCTTGATCTGCGACCACGCCTGATCACGACGATTCCCACCAACCCCTCAACCGCCCATTTTCTACACAACGGTGCAGAGCGACTGGAGTGTCTGCAATGTATATCGCAACTCCCGTTACCTCCGCCGATTGCGTGGCCGACACGGCCTCTACCTTCGCACACTCGACCGACAAGCTTCACTCGCTAACCAAGATCGCGTTTGGTTTAGCCCCGTTCATGTTCGATTCTCGATTCTGTTTACGGTAGCTCCTGGCCGACTGGCGCGTGCAAACTTAATTTAAAGCATCATGGTATGCAATTACCTTATCCGAAGGAATGACTGCGGAGGCGCCAAGAAGAAAGTGGTGGATGCTACGGAGACAAAGAGGCTTACACAATTGCACGGACAGGTGTTATTCAAACGCAAACCGGTTCAATACCTCCCACAAACTGTCATTGAAGATGATAGCTCTGAGGTGTGTATTCTATTATCCATACTGCAGAGCTTCCCGCTGAGTCTTTCTCCCTTCCAGGTCTGGGTTATCCCAGAGACCAATGAGGTCTTCACTAGCTACGAGCCTTACCTTCACCGAATGGACTTCTACAAACAACGCCGATTCATCTGCGAGATCACAGGCCATTCGGGCTTGACCTTTTTTGAGGCGCTCCGCAGTGAGGTATATTATCACATGGATACCAAGTGATGGACATATGCTAACCCTCGACTAGACGGAGGAATCACGTGAAGTCAACAACAGTTTCCCCGATGCCCTGAGAGAACCCATTCTGCGCAGAATTCAGTTCTCTATAGTTTCGAGGGTGGACAGCCTGGGTATGCTATTCTGATCTTTTTTTAGTCTGAATCAAGCTAACGGCACTCTTCTTAGTGGATGAAATCTATGAAGTGAGATAATTCCCGTCACATATTAACGACTGATCTAACAAACCTAGGAATTCAAATCAGACTTCTACCCAGGCGAAGCCGTTCTCATTTTGCTTGAGGATAGTAGTCGGCTTCATGGTACCATCAGAGATAAGGCCAACTTTGCAGAGCAGTTATATGCCGATGGAACCATTAAAACACCGGCTTTTGCTAGGTATCTGGTCAAGATCCTAGATCGGCAAAACGAAGAGGCTCTGCTGGATCAGGACCACATCACACGCGACCGAAAGGCTTTCACTAAACTGATGCTGCGCGGGTTCATCAAAAACAACGTCACCAGAGAGTCGTGGACAGGTGCCCCCTGGTTGGTCAAACCATCCGTCGCAGAGACATACAAGATCCCGATTGAGGTGCCTAAGCACCTGCAGTATGGTGCGAAGGTGGCAGAGAAGAAGGCGATGAAGAAAGCGGACCAAGATGGCTTCTTTGGTTTCTTTTCTTCTCAGCAGCTGCCCGAGCTAAAACCCGCAGTCAAGGGCCCGAAATCGAAACTGTCTGCACAGGACATGGCAAAATCGAGGGAGGCACAGTACCAAGAGTATCAGCGGTCGCTGAATGGTAACCCATCATTCCTTCTGCCTTCCAACCCGTTGCGCCCTTCCAAACCACCACTGGTTGGCGATAGGAAGCTGGCTGGACTCCCACCAGTGGTGATTAAGAATGAGCCAAGAGCACCAACCCCGCCACCAATCAAGTATCCTATCGAAGATCTAGACCTTGCTCCGAATTCCGAAAAGAAACATCGACCAGCCCTGAAGTTTATGACGGTAGGTGAGTCTGAAGATGACGGCACAGAGAACCTTCTGCCCGGTGATCTAGATCCAGAGACGGTGGGGCTGCTATTGGAGACTTGGGACACACTCAATGTCTACTGCGAAGTATTTGAACTGGATTCTTTCACCTTTGACGATTTTATTCAAGCTATGCGGTTCTCATCAGATGAGGTGGACTGCGAGCTTTTCGTTGAAGTGCATTGCGCCGTTCTCAAGAAGCTCGTCAATTCATCAAACGATGATGGTGCTGTTCAGATCTCACTCCCAGACTTCCCTGCCGATGAATCTGATGAATCAGAAGAGGACGAGGAAAAGGAAGAAGCCGAGGAAGAGTCTCCCGAGCTGCAGCCGAAGCCCAGGAGGATGACCACTAGAGGAAGTCTGGCCAAGGAAGAGGCAGTCGTCATCAAAGCACAGATTAACGAACATGAACCCGAGAAGACACAGATTCATCGCGCCGGCGATATGTTTGAGACATACGGGTGGATTGATCGTCTTCGCAAACGCGATTTCCGCAACGGTGGGTGGCAGTTGGTGATGGTTGGACTTTTGCACCAGCTATCTGTTCGTCCTCGCTTGGAGCAAGTCTGCAACACCATCCTTAAGCATCTCGCGCCTCTCGATCGCGAGCCTACACAGGACACCGCGCAGGAGCAGTATCAAACACTTGACATCAATTTGCGTACTCAGGCGCTTCAGATGATTTGTATGTTGAGCTTGGAGACCAGGGCCATCCGAAATTATCTAGAAGAGTGCAGCAATCAGATGACAGAGTTGCGCAAGGAGAAAATTGAGTATCAGAAGGCGCGCAAAGCAGGGTAAGTCAATCCTTGACCATTGGCATCTCAACCGCTAACATCATCTTCCAGTCTCATCGAGCTCCGTCAGCTGCACCAGGAGCGCAAGGCCGTCCAGCCCGAGCTTGAAAAGGCTGGGAAGTCACCTACGCCGGTGCCCGAACTTGACGGCTTGGATGACTCTCGACTGGAAGGGGATTCTGAAATGGTCGGGGACACAGAAGACGAGGATATCCCTCGACCACGCTCATTACGCGGAGGAATTGATCGGGCCCTCGAGCGTAAACGGAAACAAGAATTGGAAAAGGAGCGAAAGGAGATGTTGGCGAAGCAGCCCAAGGGGTCCAAACAATACCAGCGAGTCTTGAAGAAGATCGACGAGCAGAAGGCCAATATCGAGAAGCTCCAGGAGCAGATCGAGACTGTGGAGAACAGCCTTCGCGAGACCGACTGCCCCCGGACGCGATGCCTTGGAATGGATCGCTTCTGCAATCGCTACTGGTGGTTTGAGCGCAATGCGATGCCCTACGAGGGTATGCCGGAAAGCTCAACGGCCGAGGCATGCTACGCCAATGGTCGTCTGTGGGTGCAAGGCCCGGATGAAATGGAGCGCGCCGGCTTCATCGACGTTACCGACGAACAGCGGAAGCAGTACCAGAAGCATTTCCAAACCACCCCCGCAGAGCGCAAAAAGCACGAAGAAGGGGCAACACATGTGTGGAATGCTCGTGAATGGGGCTACTACGAGGACCCCGAGGCAATTGAACAGCTCGTGGAGTGGCTGGACTCGCGCGGCAACCGGGAGTCCAAGTTGCTTAAGGAGCTGCTCGTCCAGCAAGAGTACATCGGCAAGTACATGAAGAATCGCAAGGCGTACCTAGCCGATATGCCTGATAGAGCCGAATCGGAGGATATCCCAGCCAAGCGCGTGACCACCCGGACCAAGACCTATCTGGATGTGAGCGAGAGTGGGCTTCGCTGCCTGCGCTGGAGAAACACGACCGCGTTGTCCGAGAATGGGCATCTTCATGTTGATCCTGGCAGGCCAGCCAAGCGCAAGCGGGTTTCGGATGATGCCCGAGTGACCAAGGTAGCCAAACAGGCTAAGCAGGCTAAGCCTTTGACTCGAACACGCTCTCAGCGCAAGGGTTGATGCCTCTAGAGGGTTAATTCTACAATATCACGCGACCACGATATTCTTGTATTTCGTATACATTTCGAGCTGCATGGAGACGGGGAGTTCATCTCTTTTCACTAGCATTTTTTTTTTGGAAGAAGTCAAATAGCTTAGAAGCAATGCAATAACATAGAACAAGCAACTATTCTTCCCCCGATAGATATCGGTTGCATGTCCTAATTGGGCCTAGTGGATGCAAAACACGATGACAAACCGGCATCTCGGGACTCGCTGATTTTGCGGGCCGTATTAGTACCGTAACCCGCCGGTTATTCGCGGGGAGCCGCTGGTATCGGCACGTCAGAATGTTCGTAACGACAATGAACCTCGTAAATACGTCAGTGGAAATATACGCCGAACGCTATTATTCTTTCATCTTTTGCCATTACACTGTCATTATATTCTTTGAAACTCCGCTCAAGCTTGGAGTGCTATCCGCCAACTCTTAGACCTGCGTGTACAGTTGCAGTGTCCAGAAGATCATTCGGTACCCCAGAAATCTCATTATCGCCGACACTGATCACGAGGGCGCCCCGGATATTCTTCCCCCTCCTGCCAGCCTCGGTTGCTCTTTTACAACTTCATCTTTCCTTTTCCTCTTCCTATTCCATGTCGACTGGTCATTTGGACTATGCCTACGACCCTCCCAAAATCCCAGACTCTACTCCGCAGTTCGCTCCGATGAGCGTCGCACATTCGGCATCGCCGCCTGTCGGCGGCGCTACGAAATCATTTAAGTCAAATAGTACCGCCGACATGGACATACCAGAAAGCGGCAAAAACAAGATTGAAAAGCGTAGCTTTGATTATGTGATGAGGAGTGGAATTGCGGGAGGGCTGGCAGGGTGTGCGGTAAGTTTCATAGGCCACAGGTCATTATGAGCTTTATACTAATTAATGCGCCGGACCTTGCAGGCTAAGACCGTGGTAGCGCCCCTAGACCGCGTGAAGATCCTATTCCAGTCGTCGAACCCCCAATTCGCCAAATATACGGGCAGCTGGACTGGCCTGGCCTCAGCGATTCGAGATATCAAACGCAATGAAGGTACCCGGGGCCTGTACAAGGGCCACTCAGTGACCCTCCTTCGAATTTTCCCCTACGCCGCTATAAAGTTCCTTGCATACGAGCAGATCCGCGCGGTCTTCATTCCTTCCAGCGAATTCGAGACCCCGTTCCGGCGATTGATCTCCGGCAGCTTGGCCGGTGTCACCTCTGTATGTTTCACATACCCATTAGAACTGATGCGCGTGCGAATGGCATACGAAACCAGACAGTCGAAACACTTAGGCTTGGTGAACGTATGGCGGCAAATCTACCACGAGCGTGTTAGACCCCCACCAACCCACTCTGCTGCGGCAGCCGAGTCTTCTTCCGTTGCTGCTGCCGAAAGCGCTTCAGCTGCTGCTTCGAAAGTTTTCCCGCGCTCCGGCATTGCCAATTTCTACCGCGGCTTCTCCCCGACTATCCTCGGCATGCTCCCCTACGCCGGAATGTCTTTCCTCACACATGACACAGTGGGTGACTTGTTCCGTCTCCCCAGTGTGGCGCGCTACACCCTCAGACGACCAGAAGAGTTAGCACATTCCGCGGATCGACCCAAACGACCGCAGCTCAATACCACGTTCGAGCTTCTGTCTGGTGCTGTGGCTGGTCTAGTTTCGCAGACTTCATCATACCCATTGGAGGTCCTCCGTCGGCGGATGCAAGTCAGTGGTGCAGTTGGCGATGGCCGACGACTTGGAATAGCTGAAACCGCCCGCGCAATCTGGCTCGAGAGAGGGTTCAGAGGCTTCTGGGTTGGACTGACTATCGGATACGCCAAGGTCATTCCCATGGTTGCAGTGAGCTTCTACGTTTATGAGCGAGCCAAGGGATCGTTGGGCATTAGTTAGACTTGTTACATATTCAATTTCTTGCCCTTTGTTTGCATATATCATGCGGGCTCTTATACTGGTTCTCTGTGGCGTTTCGTGGATACATTGGGAGGGTTCTTTTTAGCATACAGAGCCCGAATGGCTTCTTCGAGATACCGGTACAAAATTTCAAGAATTTCTTTCATCTTTCATTTAATTCATCTTAAACCCTTCTTAAGCTGGACTCTTTGACTTTGCTATGTGGCTCATGTGTGGCTGATTAGTAGATTTAGCCTTGGAACGGCCCCGGGGCTTGACTCCGATGGGCACAGACCACCCGCATAAAAAAAAAGTTGCAGACTTCCGCCACCCATAATCAAGTCTGTCAACCATACTCGGATTCCACAAAATGACGACTCGCAAACACAATGATTTTCTAGATATTGCGGCCAGTGATGATGAGGCCAGCGGCAGCGACCGCGGCTACGACTCTGAAGCCAATGTGGTGGAGAGCAAAGGACGGGCCGTGAAGCGGCGGCGGACGACAACCACGCAAGATTTCACGCAAGAGTCTGACGAAGACGAGGAAGAGGAGGAAAACGACAAAGATGCCGAGAAAGAAGACGAAGATAACCACAACGAAGACGGTGGCACAAGTCTAAAAGACCCAGCACAACCTAACACCAAATCAGCCAAGTCGCTCAAAGCAAAGGGCAAGCTCGCCAAGCTGTCGAAACTCGCGAACGGCAAAGAACCTAAGAAAAAGCGCTCAGGTGTCATATACTTCTCTTCTCTCCCGCCGTACCTGAAACCCTTCGCCTTGAAAGCAATGCTAGAGAAGAGAGGGTTCGGAGGTATCACAAAGATCTTCCTAGCCCCTCTTCTCCCATCTGCAGCCGGCCATCGAAACCGCTCAAATAAGAGAAAGCTCTACACTGAAGGGTGGATCGAGTTCGACTCCAAAAAGACGGCCAAGATCTGCGCGGAGACCTTGAATGCGACTATCGTGGGTGGTTTGAAGTCGAGCTGTGAGTTTCCCGGCATTTCCGCCCTTATATAAGTGATGAATACTGACCAGTGCTGCGATCTATAGGGTATCACGATGATGTGTGGAACATCAAATATCTCTCACGGTACTCCTGGGAAGATCTTATGCAATCTGTACAACGAGAGAGATCTGAAAGGGAAAGCAAGAGGAAGATTGCCGACGCTCGCGAATCCAAGGAAGCTAAAATGTTCATTGCGGGTGTTGAGAGTGGTCGCATTGCTGATGGCATGGCGAAAAAGAATGAGGAGAAGATGAAGAGGCGCTTGGAGGCGGCTGGTGAGGCGGCTGGCGATGGGGATAAGGAACTGCAGCCTAAGAAGGACAAGCAGCCCACGAGAAGGCGGTTCCATTTCCAGCAGAATGAGGTTGTAAAGGGATCGAAGGATGGTGCTATGGCCGAGGACGCGAAGCGGGTACTTGGGAAGATCTTCTAAGTAGGATTTCACGGGGAACATCTCGTCTTGTTTTTATTGGCTTTTATGGCCTCTGGCCTGTCTATTTGATCTACTACAGCCCGGATTCCTAATATCATTCACTGAGATGTTATGATCGAATATTGCCATTCCGTAGTACTATTGTAAAGTTTAGCCTTACAATCTTAGAAACTGCCTCCTACAATATACAATCTACATACTCTCGACTCTCTTTCCTTGATCCATTTTCATCTGAATTGATCTGTTCTAGAAGTAAATGCTGTACATTGTATGCATCAATTCGAAAAAAAAAGAACTTTTCTTGATGATTGAAAAAACCCTAAAACACGAACGCCAACCAGTCCCATGATCACCCATGATAACATCCAGATTGCTACTAATTGTCCTCCATGTTCAAATCATCAAAGTCATCAAGCAGCTCATCCATGTTGATTTTCGGCACAGCGTGTCCCTCCTCATCCATGTCATCATCGCCGTCCTCATCCATTTGGTCTGCCCTGACCTGGTACTGGCGGTTCTTGTACAGATCAAGAGTTTGACGCAACTCCTGATCCTCCTCGACGTCACGCAAGAACATTTCGTAATCTTGTTCCATCCTAGCCTGCTCCTGCTCTTGGCGCTTGTTTGTAGGAACATTGACTACAGCGGCAGTCGCCTCCTCCTCGTGCTCGCGAGCCATGCGCTTCAAGCGCCAGGTGCGAGCCTTGGATTTCTTGCTGCGGACGTAGTGCTTCTTGATAAGAACCACATCTGGGATTGTTGAGCTGTACTGGTGGCTATTCTCAATTGCTTCGAATTGATCGTTGTTGAACTGGGTTCCCGTCAAGTGGTAGCCGAGGACGGAATCACCCACGTGTAAGATACCACCGAGGTGAGTCCGTGTGAAATAGGTGATATCATTAGATCCAAGATCCGAGGCACGAGCAACGGTGGCCTCGGACAGAAGGTAACGACCATTAGAATGACCGGTGGATTCAATGTCCAAAACGATGAATTCCTTAAGCTCGGTGGTATCTGCAAGATTCGGGAATGGCTGGCGCCAGTAAGTGCTAGTAGGAAGATCGGTTGTCCGGAGAGTGCAAGGGTCCATAAGGTTAATAGAAGTGCCGACTCGGTGGCAGATAGCAAGCGGGCTTATATCAGACAATGAGCGGGCCAGCTTAATCGGTAGAGCAACCAGGTCATCCTTGCAAATAGGAACAATAGTTACGCTGTGTTAAATGCGGTTGTTAGATAGGTGTGCGCGCCGAGTTGGATCTGGGAAAACTTACGACCACGAGTGCTTGTAGACACTCTTACTCGTATGAATATCCATGGAGACGAGTTCGTGCGATCGTGTGGTTTTGCAAGGCACCACAGACTCTAAGAAGGAAAGCATGCGCTCGGCCTCATTCCTCTTTGAGAAGTAAAAATCAAGTCCCTCGTTCACTTCCTTGATGTTGATAGTATCCTTATGGGCGTTGTGCTTGAGGATCAACTGTTCCAGATACAAAAAGGTCCGCTTGTGAGGAACCTTCTGTCGTATCTGCACACTTGCGCCCCAAGTGTTGTGCGTGTAACTTTGCTGGCAGCTAAAAAAAGAGGTGTCAGCATATTACTCGGTATGGGGGATCTATAATTAGACATACCCTGAGCACTGCTGATTGGCAACAACATATTCAACCTCGAATTGTTGCTGTATGATAGTGCCTTGGAAGGCCTCCGCTTGTATGTTGTTAGCTTCGATCCCACGGGCTAGATGTGCTCAGTTGGCCGAATTGGTAGATACCTACTTTGTATGGTGATCTTCAGCTTCAATCTTTTCGAATGAGGCTCTGTCCAAATGAAACTGGCATCGATGATTCGGACTTTGTTCAGACCACGGAGCTTGCGTAGACAAATGGCGAGTAGTTCCTTCGACTCGAGAGCTGCGACGACCCAGCTGTTGGGTGGCTGCAGCCACCGTTCGCAATCTCTGCAGCAGTGAATCACCGCTTCGCGTTGCACCTAAAGTCCATGTTAGTTGGAACACATTATAGTGTAAGAAGGCTTCTTTTGATTTTGAGCCCACAAACGGAGTTATACATACACCTCCGGCAACATCGACAGTAAGACGAATGCAATCCGAACATAGGGCTCCAGCTGAGAGTGTTCCATCAATGGCAGCGCCACAGTTGCAACAGAGAATTCTGAACGAAATGAAGTATCAGTATTTGAGAAGGTGGGGAGTAATAGGTAGAAACAAAGTTGCGATAAGAACTCACGTCGCTGCGACTTTCTCCTGCTGCGCAAAATAGACGGGGGCATCCAGATCCATCGACATCTTGATAAGTAGAGTCAGAAATCAGAACCCAAGAAGGAAAAAATCACCAGGGTATTGAAGAAAGAGTTTACAGTATCGTAGATTTGTGATAATTGCCCCCCACCCGAATCTTTTTTTTCTTGATGACTCAGCTGTTTGCAGTGTTTGCTCCCGTTATCTGATATCACTGGAAGCAAATCAAGAACTGAACCTGTTGGAAGAACTCAAGCTCCGCATTTCTTTCTTCCAATATAACCATCACTATGAGCAGAGCTCTTTTACGAGGGGCTGCATGCCAGACTTGTCGGCATGAAGTGCTGCGGTCCTTTGTTTCCGTCTCCGGCATCCCAATGCCACGATCCTCTCCTCTTTCCTCCCGTTCGATCTCCAACCCTAGAGCCTTCTCCGCTGTAACTTTGCTGCGATCTGATCGCCCTCCAACTTCGAATCAGCTTGATACTCTTCTATCCGAAACAGATGAGCCATCACCACACTCGGAAGCAAATGCGCCAGCTTCATCACAGCATGTCCCCTGGTATCTGCAGGAAGGGGCGCCAATCATTAAAGAGCGCCCGTTGGCCGAAGCTCATCTCCCTAAAATTCCAGAAGGTTCACCGGAGATGCTCTCGACTCTATTGGAATATACGTATAAGGACTTGGGCTTGGATGGCCTCAAGCTTTTTGACCTGCGTGGCCTCGAAATCCCTGCAGCTCTCGGTGCCAATGTCATCATGATCATTGGAACTGCTCGCAGTGTGAAGCATTTGAACGTGTCCGCGGATCGTCTCTGTCGCTGGCTGAGAAGCCAATACAAATTGTCTCCCTACGCCGACGGCTTACTTGGACGCAACGAGTTGAAAATTAAACTCCGCCGTAAAGCCAAGCGAGCGCGCGCTGCCAGTGCAGCAGGCACTATGATCGACGAAAAGGATGATGGAATCACCACAGGATGGATCTGTGTAAATGCGGGTATGGTGGACAAAGGCGATACTACGACTCAGTTGAGTGATGTTGGAATTGAGGGATTTGGTAATCTTGACCTTGGTACTAGTGTGGTTGTCCAGATCTTCACCGAGGAGAAGCGGGCTGATGTTGACCTTGACGGCCTCTGGGAGACTACTTTAGCCCGCGAAGGACGCAAGAACATCCGGGACAGCACAGAGGATTCATCCAAGAATGGTTCTGCACCCCCCAGGTCTATGTCCGATGGATTTGGTTCCATTCCTGGCCAAAGGAGAGGCTTTCATACCATGCGTAGACTCGCACTATCTGCCATGAACTCCACCGAGTCTGGGTTAGAAGCTGGTTTCCCGGCCATGGGAACTTCGCCTTCCACCGTTCCAGCCGGCGCAGCAGCAGTTGCATCTCAATTGACACCAGCATCTTTGCTTCAGATTCTCGCTGAACTTCCAGCCGATAGTGCACGAAATGAGCTTGGAAGCGGCCCAAATGATCGCCAGTCCACTCTTTTTCTACGGCTCTTCTATACCAACCACGCCGCGCGGTTCTCTCCACAGGAAAAAGCCACCTTTCGATTGAAATTGTTCTCCATTGCTGTGTCTCGGCAACACCCAGCTTACACCAAGGATGCACTTTTTAGCACATTCTCTGATTTTCTTCGCGACGGGTATGAAATTCCGGATGAGCTTGGATTCGATGTTGTTTCTGCGCTTCTAACATCGAGAACAGCGGGTGTTATCACCGAGCAGTCTAAGACTCATTCTTCAGAGGGTGACATGGAGCTTGCTTTGTTAGTTCTGGATCGCTTGGCCCTCCGTGGTGTGCCGATTTTGAACATGAAAATTTTCAATATACTCTATCAAGCTGTCTGTGCACCTAATCTAGCACCTTCGAGCCCGAACAAATTGCGCCCAGAAGAGAGTTCTCCAAGTTCGTCTGTTGTTCAACAGACGAAGTCTCAGAAACAGATCTTGTCTCGACTGTCCAAGATACTCGCGGCGGCCAACATTCCATTTGACGCAGTAGATGCGCGTCAGCTTATGGTGACATTATTTCAATGCGGGGATTACAACGGATTTTGGCGTCTGTGGCGCCAGTTTCCCTTGAAAGGTGCTAATCGCACACAAGAGGACTACGTGCAGCTGTTCAAGTTGCACGCTGAGTTGGGCGAGGAAGTGCGAGCGCGCGAGTGTCTGTCGACAGGGGTAGCATTGATGAATCAAGAGTCCCCTGCTATTGTGCTACAAGGTCCGATCGTGACAGCCATCATGCATTGTATTCTGGTAGCAGACCCGACACTCCAGAATCGAGATGGTGAAGCGTCTCTGAGCTTCTACATGCCGCCCTGGACTGAGTGCCAGGAGGCACTTGCTCGGGAAAATTGAACGACGAGGAAACAACTTTGTAAAATAATCTAGCATATATTCTCCAGTGTACAATATTCCATGCGTATCTCATGTTAAATATTGAAGTTGTTGTAAATATCTCTGAATGTATGGATCTTCAGCCCGCCCGGAGCGACGTAGTCAGCTCGGATAAGTTGAGCCTCGGCATATGATCATTGGTTCCGGCGACTCTTCCTCTCTCTCTCTTCAAACACCCTCAAATACCACCGTGATAAGGATGACTGGCACTCCCGACGATGGAGTACCTTCCTAGTCTTCAACAGGAGTTCGACGAGCACAAGCCGTCGCTCTTCGGTAAGTCGATTGATGCTTCCCCGCGTAGTGATTAGAAGCGCTAACGCTAGGTTCGTGCTTGACAACAGAACTCCTCGCTGAGCAACAGCTCTCGGATCTTCTTCCCCCGTCTTTGCGTTATCTTCTCGCAGTCGCAACACACCGCCACCCGCGCTATCTCCTCCGGATCCTCAACTCATATGACGAAATCTATGCCCTCCTTTCATTAATAGTCGAACGTTACTACCTGCGAACATTCGGCGGCTCCTTCACAGAAAACTTCTATTCCTTGAAACGTGAGCGCGTTCTCCGAACCAAGAATGGCGAGATCCCGCGCGCCCAGGTTGGCGCCGCAGGCCCCGTGCGCGAGGCCCTGAAGCTACACTCGACGGACATCTGGAAGAACTTGTTCGTCATGGTTGGAATACCTTACCTAAAGCGCAAGTTAGACGAAGGATACGACATTCATGCCGCGCCACATGCATCCCTGGTCACCAGCAGCGGCCCACGATATAATCCCAGCGACGATCTGCCGGTCAACCCGTCGCTACGCCAACGCATCTTCTTCTACTACAAGTGGTTCCTGCGCAATGTCTACCCATCCGTGAATGCGGCGTACTATTTCTCTGTTCTGGAGTTCAACCTAGCCTACCTTTTCGACAACACAAAATACTCCTCCCCATTCCTATGGCTTATCGGCACGCGTATCCGCCGCCTCGGCATCGCAGACCACCGCGCTATCGCCGCAGTGCTAGATCCCAAGCCTGGCCCCAGCACCGGGCGATCTCAGCGACCCGGCGGAGGTCTGCTTGGTCTACTTAGTCCCCAGAACCTCCATACTCAGCTCTTGACCTCGCTGCGCTACTTCCTTCCTGCGTCGATCTTCGCCCTCAAGTTCCTAGAATGGTGGCATGCAAGCGACTTCTCTCGCCAGCTAGCCCGCAAGGCAACTGAGGTCCTGGATCTGCCTGCCCCCATTGTGGCAGGTTTGACTTCTCCTGCGGAACGACGGAAATCGTCAATCCAAGATGAGAAAGAGAAGGCGAAGAAGCAGGCCGAGCAGGAGAAGAAGAGCGCTGCCGGCGATCTTAAACCAGCACTCAAGCCTCCTCGTCGCCACCAACCGCCTATTTCAGCGACCTCTTATCTTCCCATCTACACTGTGTCTTTGCCTCCGGCTGATCCTTCCAGCGCAAATACTTGCCCTGTCTGCATGGGTCCGCTCGTCAACCCGACTGCTTGCCAGACGGGGTACGTGTTCTGTTATGTGTGCATCTTCCACTGGCTGAACGGTGAGCATCAGCGCCAACTGGATTTCATGACCGGCGAGGGCGCTGGCGCACCGTGGGAAGAGGAGATCACAGGTGACGATGAAGAGACAAAGAAGAGCCCTAGTGGAGATGACTCTGAAGAAGGCCCCCGAAAACGATCTGGTAAATGGGAGAGTGGCAAGGGGAGGTGTCCTGTAACAGGGAGGAGAGTGCTTGGAGGTACTGATGGATTGAGGAGAGTGTTGGTTTGAGGGATTGCGTAGTCCCAATTCTCGGTATATTAATTGTAAACCGCATTTTGTACACCAGACTGCGTTGTATTGGAATCTAAAAGAGGGTATATCGTTGCTCGAATTGTATATATGATGCAACAAAAGAAATCGTACTCCTTTTCAGTACTATCGACAACGGCCGCTACTTTGGTATGGCATACCTAATCAGTGTCCAGTGAACATTCACATTTGTCTACTAATATGTCTTGAAAAAAATCAACATATAACCTGACAAGGGAGAGTATATCTAGTTAATAGGCATCTAGAAAGAAATCAAACGTCTAGAATAAGTACCAAAATGGAAATACAGCCCTAAAATGCCTTTGTGACCAATTGGCCGCTATTTACTACGACGTCATGTGTGGGGACCTCCTCTTTGAACTTCCGAACATCGCCATTGACTAGAAATCATTTAGATATGCAGCTTTTCCAGCACAATTTTGAGTCGATTTGAGCCCTTGAGCCATGGAGAGCTTTGATGATGTTTCTCTCATCGGACTAGTGTCCCAGGAAGCACCTTTCCACGATGAGATTCCATCCGACCCGAATTTGGCGAAACAAGATACCACAGGGGGACCAACCTCGACCCAAACGACGAGCATCAAACCCTCGTCGCAAATAGAGCGCACCGATGATACTGGAATAATTGATGACGCCTCAGTCGGGTCAGAATTCCCATTACCGTACAATCCACCTCCCGGAGCTCGGATTGAGGAGGAAGAGGAAGGGGATGTGGAAGACGAGGAGCCACAGGTAGCAACTTCCTTTGAGCGACAGGCTTCAACGACTTTTGCGCAGAAACACCGGACGGCTTCGGACAACTTAGAGGATGAAGGGATCAACCGCTTGCACAAATTTACGCTGTACGAAACCGCGACTCGATTCTATATGGTCGGGTTCAATCTTGCGGAAACTCGTTTTCGGATTCTGAAGATTGATCGGACCTCGGATTCTGGCGAGTTAAGTATTACCGAAGATGACATGGTGTACAACAAAAGGGAGATGGTTCAGTTGCTGGATGCGATCGACGACGGCAACAGGAGCTCTGGCGGATTTAACCAGAAGTGCAGTGCATGGGCATTGCTTGGATTCATCCGATTCACGGGTGCATACTATATGCTACTCGTTACCAAGAGGACCCAGGTTGCCATGCTGGGTGGCCACAATGTCTATCAGATCGACGAAACCGAACTGATCCCATTGACCACCTCGGAACCTTCACACCTTAAGGCTGAGAAACATTCGGAGGAGGCACGATATATTGCGATTTTGAATAATTTAGACTTGTCGCGGTCTTTCTATTTCAGCTATTCCTACGACATCACTCGCACACTCCAGCATAATATCTGCCGGGATCGCGAAGCCCACCAGGATGGCCATCCACAACCATCTTCGCATGATTACCATTCCATGTTTATTTGGAACCATCATCTTCTTTCCCCGGCTGCTGAGGTACTCAAGAATCCCTATGAGTGGTGTCTACCTATCATTCATGGATATGTGGATCAGTCAAAGATGAGTGTCTATGGACGAGTGGTCTACATTACAATTATCGCACGTCGATCCCGATTCTTTGCTGGAGCGCGCTTTCTCAAACGAGGCGCAAACGACCTGGGATACGTGGCCAACGATGTGGAGACCGAGCAGATTGTATGTGAACAGACAACAACGTCGTTCCATTCTGCTGGCCCAAAACTTTATGCAAACCCTCACTATACTTCATATGTTCAACATCGTGGGAGCATTCCTCTTCACTGGACTCAAGAAAACACGGGCGTATCACCGAAACCGGATATTGAGCTTAATCTCGTGGATCCATTTTACTCGGCTGCGGCATTGCATTTCGACGATCTATTTCGAAGATATGGTGCTCCAATCTATGTTCTGAACCTGGTTAAGTCCCGCGAACGAACTCCAAGAGAGTCCATACTCCTCAAAGAGTTCACTAACGCGGTGACTTACTTGAACCAGTTTCTTCCTGAGGACAAGAAGCTCATTTACGAGGCGTGGGATATGAGCCGTGCTGCAAAAAGCCGTGATCAGGATGTCATTAAGACGTTAGAAGCTATTGCGGGCGACATCATTCCCAAAATTGGCTTTTTCAAGAATGGGGATGATGCAGAATCCGGCTTGCAGCTTCAGAACGGTGTCGCAAGGACCAACTGCATTGATTGCCTCGACCGAACAAATGCTGCGCAGTTTGTCATTGGCAAGAGGGCACTTGGCTATCAGCTCCATGCGCTTGGTGTCATAGATGACACAACTGTAGAATATGATACTGATGCTGTCAATCTCTTCACGAACATGTGGCATGACCATGGAGACACTATCGCTATCCAGTACGGCGGATCGCATTTGGTGAACACCATGGCTACCTACCGCAAGATTAATCAATGGAGCAGCCATTCTCGTGATATGGTAGAAAGCTTCAAGCGGTATTACAACAACTCTTTCCTTGATGCTCAGCGCCAAGAGGCATATAACCTCTTTCTTGGAAACTACACATTCGCGCAAGGTATTCCGATGCTTTGGGATCTTCCTACGGACTACTATCTCCACCATACCGATCCTAAAGCCTACTTTGACAGAAAGAAACCCAGCTATATCTCCTGGTACACACCAGAAAATTTAGAGGCCAGAAAATTTCCACCCCTCCCATTCCATCCTAAAGCGCCACTCTCACATTTCGATGACTTCTGGATGGAATACTACCGACCACTCGCTATGTCTTCCCTCTCCAAAGTCTTCTCCTGCAAAATGAACTCCACGTCCCGCTACCTACCCCCAGTCCGCCCAGGGCACCCAGTTCCCGATCTCAGTCCCTTCGTGCCCCGCATCCCCCCAGAGCAAATCCAACGCGAGCGCCTACCACAGCGCAGCGTCAAGATCCAAGAGCCATCCACCCCCCGCAGTAGCGCCTCATCAAGCACGGTGCCAATACCTGATTCCACACATATGTGGGCCCACCAATTACCCTCATCCGAGAAACAGCCCCCTCTCACGGGCATCATCAAAGAGCCCGCTTTCAAAATCCCTCATGTATCCCGCATCCCACCCATTGACCCCCCAAACGCCCACGCCACCCCCAGCAAAGCGGAGATCGCTCAGTGGACCCTCGGCCAGCTAGTCAGCGACTCGCTCAGTCCCTCTGTTACCAGTGCCGAGGCAGAAGAATATGAGCGTTACATTAATCACCCGCTCAAGGTCCCGCTTGTCGTCACATCCGCAGATGAAATGACAGCCTCATCGCTGCAAGACCACGGCTACAACCTCGATCTCCTGGAGTACGCGAACAAGTGCAATGTCGAGGAATCTGCGCTGGAGGCGAGGGCTGGGGTAAATATGCTGGCTTATGCTGAGTTCTTGGATGTTTCCGAGGACGGTATTACTGTCGTGGGTGAGGACTACGAAAAGAAGAGATATAAACGATACCGCCAGTGGTTGCGCGGGAAGAGTCTTTTCAAGCAGCGGGTTGATCCATGATGCGAACTTGAGTATCTGTTTTTCTTTTCTGTTTTGGCGTACAGTATACTGCAAATTGATACCCTCATTACATATTATTTTACTTTATTGAAGCTTTCATGGATCGTGGTTATTGACTACCACCCATATCTCAAGAGCAAGTCTGGACTTCAATCTAACAGATATCTTCAATCGAGATTGTCATAATTGATGTTAAAAAAACCACCTCCTAGACATAAATTGCTAGTAAATCTCAAGCAAATAGACCCTTAAGCTCTGCATCTGCATCAACAAGTTCCTGGAACTCCTTCTCCACATTTTCCTTCACCTGCAGCTGTTCCGGCTCTGGGGCATCACCTGCAATGGCAACAGGATTCAGCAAAACAACCTTCAAAACTTGAAGCGTCTGCCGCAACTCCCGCTTCAGCTTAGCCAGCTCAGGCACGGAATCCCTGCTATCCTCGGCAATATGGAGCCAGCACGAACTTAGCCCGCTTAGGATCTCACCGCGCCAACGCCAGATACGTGGGTGTGCGTTCTTGATCACCGCCTGTGTAGCTGCAGCAGCAGCTAGCAGCAGCGGAGGATGTGCTGTTCCGAATGGGTTTGAAAGTGTTGTGTGGAGGACTGGGATGATTTCTTGGAGGTACTTTGTAGTGTGGATTCCCAGCTCGTTGATGACGATCGTTATCTTTTGTAGGAGGAAGGTTGAGAGACGGGGATGTGGGAAGGAGGCTGGAGTGCCGGAGCTGACATGGTGGAAGGAGGAGATGAGGTTTGATCGGAGGATTTTGGCGAGGCTGGTAGTGTAGGCTTCTTTATCCTGTTCGGATTGGGTGGGGCCTTTATAGGCGGTTTTGAGGGTGGAGAGGAGGGCTGGGTATGCTTCTCCTAGTAGCTCTAAGGATCTATCTTCGGGTGTGATGGATGGCAGAGATAGAAGGCACGGCGTGACGGCGTCTTCGAAGACAGAGGTGAGGTTTGTTCGTCGGAGAATATCCGAGCCGCTTTCTTGGATTGGTTGCAGCAGCTGAATGAGTAGGGCACAGCCTTTTGTTTTGAATGGGATATTGTTGTCGTCAATCATTGCTAGGATAGTGGGTACGAAAAGCTGGAAGTGCGTTTCGAACTGTGCCTTGTCCTCGGGTCGGTACTGTGAGAGGATCCATGACAATACAGATGCGACGTAGACATCGGTGGTTTTCCATGGCTTTGCGGATGCGTCCAGATCGCTTGCACCGAAGCGAGGTAGAGTTTGAGGATGGAAGTTCTTGCGCCCGGCACTGGTGATGGCGGGGTTTTTTGTCTTTGCAAAAAGAGGCCTAATCCTCTCCTTAAGGATGAAGTCTATAGCGGGCCAGAATGTATTGGCAAGATGAGTGTCTTGGACCCACACGTTCATGAGCATCGACGTCGCATTGTAGCTCTCTGATGTGACCCATGGGTTTTGCTGGTTGACAAAACATGCCCCCGCGAGGAGAATGTCCGCCGCATTGTCTGGCTTGCCATTTGGCAATCCTGCCATGGGCTTGTTTAAAACTAAAATCAGCTCCAGAGCGAGCTCAGATCTAAAACGACTCTCATTCTGAGCCTTGATAATATCTGTGTGGCACAATTAGTAAAAGCTCCACATGTTCATAACTAACGGAACTTACCGTCTGAGATCTCGGCAGTCTCGTCAAAATCGACAGCAAAATCCGACGAAGGTAGAGCAGCAGCACTGGCCCAGTCGAATAGGTTGTTCACGGCTTTGGCTTCAGCTGGTTTCAAGGTTCGCGGGCCTTGGTCATTTGGCAGCATCCCATCCCAGTAGTCGATATAGCTGGTCGCCGTAACAAGGCTCTCGCAGATCTGGAGAATCAGTTCATTTTTCTTCATCAAATCCACAAAAACATACATTCAAATGCGTCGAGTGATCGTAAGCAGCAATGTCTTGCCATAATTGACCCAAATCACTTTTGGACGCAGCCGCAACGGCGGGGAAGAAACCGACTGGCATTTTGCCAGGGTTCAGCACGAGAGCCTCACGGGCTTCTTTGCGCAGTTTATCCATTTCTGAAATATTTACAATGAAAGAGAAGAGTTGTAAACAATTGAAGTTCAAGTACTTTAAGTTGTCCCCGCCGTGGAATGGGATTTTCATTTGTCATCGGGATCTACGCCTCGGGCTGGACGTCATTCGAATTCTGCTCGTCGACCCGCGATCTCCTCCAGCACCGTTTCCTTGTCGATAATATCAGGATGAAGAAGTTGCCATTCAAGGGCCATGCTGACTGCCTTGGACATCCAAGGTCCCTTTTTAGTCCCTAGACTTTTCATAATTTCGTCACCATTTACAATGGGCTTCAGGTCACAAACACCCTCCAGATCGTTTTCTACAATGTACGCAAGGAACTGGTCGTATTCACGGGCCACTACACATTGTAAGAATTGGAATGTTATCATCAAGGGAACGGATCTTACCTTCTGCAAAGTCACGGAGCGCCATATTTTCTTGCAGAATAGCCAGGAGAATGCAAAGCTTCCAGTCCTTATTCCACGACCGCATTTGCAATCCAATGCACTGTCGGATTTCTGCCGGGGTTCCACTCATCTTGTTCGCGAGAAGTGCGGATTTTGTCGCAATTGTTTCCTTGTAATGCAGAGCAGCAGCGCGGAGCGCATTGAGCGTCTTGTTGTCACTGCGAAGGCCATCTCTTCCAACCTCAACCGCTCGCGGGGGCAAGGGCTTGGATCCTTTCCCGGTGCGGCCAGGAATTGAAGTCCAGGGAGCAAATGTGGCAATCATCCAGGCGTAGTATATGGTAGTTTTGTCGCGGAATAAGATCTCACGAATGCGCTTGGTAACTGCCTGAAGTTCATCGCTGTCACCAGCCTCTGGATGCAGCAATCGCGCCAAAGTATTGTATGCAAAAGGCCATGTCGATGTATCAGCCTTAACTTCGTCCTGATGATTAGCGAAGATAGTGGTGAATAGATGGAGTCGATCGATGAACTGCAATGCACCGCGAGGGTCGGGACCTAAGATATGAGATATGACTTGTTAGAAATATAGAATACCGGACACGTGCAATGACTCACCACGCAACATCTTTTCTAGCTCGGTTCCCACTCGCTCTTTACTGATTTTGAGTTTCAATGCCTCGCGGATGTCTTCAATCTGCATAGCGGCTTCGGTTTCGGGCTCGATTTGGTATCCCAGTCTGCTCGCAAAGCGGATCAACCGAAGCACACGCAGTGGGTCATCTTTGAAGGTTTGATATGGTTCCATTGGGCATCGGATAATCTTTTTCTTCATGTCGTTCAGTCCTCTCTCGGTGAGATCCTCTAGCCGTGACTCATTTAGATTGTAGAAAAGCGCATTGATAGTTGCATCGCGTCTCAAAGCGTCTTCGACAGCGGTGCCAAACTCCATCTGAGGATTTCGACTGTCATCTGTGTATGTTTCCTTCCGTAGATTGACCAAATCAATATCCAGGCCGAAGATCTTGGTTGTGACGGTTTCGAGGTGCTTCGACTTCTCTGGGTTGGCCTCGATTTTGTGAAGGCTCACAATGGCGTCGTGCATTTCCCCATTCGGTAGGCCTTTCTTGTATATTTCAAGATTCTCCGGAACATCCAGGTAGTCTTTCAGGGCCATACCAAACTGGTATCCTGTCATGTTGCTAATACCCACGTCGATATCATGGCTCTCGACTCCAAGCAGCTTGTCCCTGACCCACCCGCCCGTGAAGCGCAAGACAGTCTCGGAGTGATCTTTCGCAGTGCTGCCTCCATTGGCAATTTTCTGCTCGGTGATGTATTGTGCGACATCGAGGAGTAGGGTTCGTAAGGTGCTTTCAAGTGGAGTGAGCTCGATGGTAGGCATGGCGGAGCTCATGGTTGCGTATGAGCCTTCCCGCGTCGGGGAAGAAATGCGTCGTCTCTTGCTGACTCGTTCTGAGAAGTCCGGGTCCGATTCGGGGTTGCGCATGGAAATGCGACGGGGTACAGATGCAGAGTAGGTTCGGAGGGGTAGATGTTGTTGAAACGGGCGTATTTGACCAGCTCTTCTCGCTAGAGTGCGGGCAAATGGAGCTTTAACTGAAGAAATACCAGAAGCTTTAAACACACACACAAAAGAGTGCAACTGCATTGGACAGAGCCAGGTTGATGCTCCGAGAAACTAACTCGGTTTGATTGTCGATAAGCATGGCCCTCACGTGGTTTGCATCACCACTTGGAGATCGACTATCAGCTTCTACCGAGAGTACTCTGTATTACATTTACAATCGACAAGACGATCCTTAGCCTTTTTAGAATGATTTAGTGCTTAGCTTGTTCACGGCTGCTGTCGCTCTATTCCATTGCTTGGTGCTTGTCGGCCCGAATCCGTCGACTTGGCTTTCTCCCCAACAACACCTTGAAGCGGACTTCCAACGCAGTCTTGAACCGCTAGTACACCATATCGAATTTTGTTGTTGTAGGATATAGATATGTATGCCTAGACGCTAAGAAATACTATCAAGAAAATACCTGGCAAGGCCGCATAAGCGGCCGACAATTCTTGCCTTCAAAGTGACCTCAAGAAACATTCAGTACCACACGGTGTATTCCTCATCAGTACCCTCTTCTTCAATCAACCCACTGTGAACCTTTGAAACACTTTGAGCTTTGGGACCCGAGAAGGTCGCTGGAGTCTGCTGGATATTCCCAGTGCGTGAGCCGAGAACACCAAGTGAGGTAACAGCCAACATAGCTGAAACATCGGTACTGCCGTCTTTTGCTAAAACACTAGTCTCTCCTAGATCTCGGAATCCTTTGTCGATATGGTCCGCTGCTCCAGATGCATGGAAAATACGGGCGACAGCTGCATGAACCTTGAGGAGTTCGGGACTTGGAAGAGCATACCGTGGGTCACGAGACACAAATTTGACTGTCCGAGGGAGAGGGGGAGAAAATGCATTTGGCCGGTATACTTGTAGTCTGTATTTGTTGGGCACTTGAGTCTCCTCAAACGCAAAATAAAAATGGCCAAAGTAGAAATGAAGATCACGGGTCATTGTCATAGCATTCATGGTATCATTGATATTATCCCGGGAAAAGCTGATTCTCGTTTCGAGTGCTGGGAAATGTCGGATAAGGTTTGTCCATATGATGTTTTTAGCGTGTGATTCGCGCTCATCTCGCCATGTTGCCAATGAGAAAGGAATAATATGGGCGCATTCTGTGATGGCTCCCGGAGTAGTGGTGTCACTTTTTGAGAGAAAATGGAAATCGACACGCTTAGTGACAACACATCTGTTGCCGTCACGCTTCAGGCACTCTGCCTTAAGTCGAGTTTCTCTTACTAACGGTCCACTCGACTGCGAAGCAATATTCTCGATCGAGTCTTCCATTCCAGCACGTGGGGAAATTGTGGGTGTCGAGCGAAGCGTCTTCATTGGCGCAAGCAGGCCGTTTACCAAGGACTCGGCATGATCATGGATGTCTTGGTTTGTTTGTAGGGACTGGAGATGGCGGATGAAATTGGCTCTGCCATCTGCCGGAAGGTGATTGTCGAAGGCTCGTAGAATACGGACAGTGTTATCGTTCCGACTGATTGGCTGGTAGTTATCTACCTTCTCCATGTTGCCAGTGGATTTTGTCAGTCAACTAGAGGTGGTTGTTGTCAGACCGCAATCTGCCTCACGCCACTCGTGGGGAAGACTCCTCCTGTAGATTTTTGATGAACGTGATGGAATAATGCAGCTGTATGAGTATCCCTTTTCCTACAGAGAAAGACTGATGATGTTGACTGATGGAAGGAATGACAAAACCGGTCAACCGACGAGGCGGTGACGAAAATCCGTCCGCTTACTTATATAGAGCAGTTTTGGGAGCAGTTCTTGACGATAAAGTAGTTGATGTGATAAAAGTGACTTAATTGTTAACAAATTGTAGGTATCCACCGTCTTGCTAGAAAATCCTAATTCTCTCCCAGAAAAGAAATTGATTATGAAGAATTACTTCTTTCTGACAAGAAAATCCACGAGAGCGTGGTTGTGCTTGTATTTCTAAAAGATAAACTCCCCAATGATAAATTAATCTCCTGCCTTTGAGGGCGGTCAACCGGCAGAGCGGTGAAAATCCCCTTCCCTCAGTGGTGACCGGAGCGCTGACTCTGCCTATCTCTAGTTACAGATCATGTGATACATACATAGAGGCAGTCACCTACTCGCTCTATTACAACTCCTCCAATCTCATCTACCAGTCGATGGGGCCTGTCGATCAACTGCACTCGCTTTAAATCTGCAAAAAGCAGCAGGTGTCCGCCCATGACATCGCCCGGAGATGCTGCTCCGGTTAAACCTCCGCCGTCCTTCTCCCCTGGCGTTGCGCGAGTCGCATCCACATCACCATCACGATACCATGGGGAACATGAAACAAATCAATCTTTAGATGCGGAACTATCAGAATCCCAAACCGTCTCCTCGCCGACAGCTCTTTCAAACACGATCGCCGACTTACCAATACGATCTGGCTCGTCGCACTCGCGCTCTCGAAGATCTTCCACCCCACAGTTAGCAAGGTCATCAATCGGTTCTGCTTTCGATGGAAAGTCCGATGGTTCAGAAGATATAAGATCATTAATTATCCGGTCATTCTCACCGACGATCGCAGTCCATGCTTCGGAGGATACCGATAATTTGGTGAGGAGCAAGGGATTCAAAGGGGGATTTTGGGAGTTGGTGCGGCCCTTTGGAGAAACAGTTTCCGGAAAGGTGGTGATCCGGGATAGTATAGGCTCGAGTCGTGCATGGGAGGATTTTGGAGTGTCCTTTGTTGATTTCAGAGCGATCGGTAGGGCCGCGGCTAGTCGAGACTCTGGGCCCCTGGCGCAGATTGAAGAGTTGTTGACCAAGCAGTTAGACTCTTCAGATGACATGCTTGGTGCGTCGGTACGGACAAAGGATGTTCTGGGATTCCCTGCAACAACCCCATTATGCAAGTCGTTTTTGCAGCAACTGCTGTGTTCGGCACCTACAGCTCCCCACGAGACATTTGGCCACCCAGTAGCCAATGTAATAGCCATCAGCTCGCGCAACCCAGCTCCTTTGGAGTCACTCAGGCAGCTCTATGCTGATGGTACCACTGGAGACAAACAGCTACCCGACTGGATCAACCAGGAGTATCTTCGTTATTACGTTTTAGTTCATGACGAAGAACGAGACGATATCACAGAATCTATCAAGCTTTATGATCAGATGAAGCGGCACTTTGGGCTACATTGCCATCTTTTAAGACTTCGGAGCAGCCAGTGTGTGGTGACAGACGATGATAGCATGCAAGTTCCCCGGTGCGAATGGCTCTCGCCGTCGGAGTATCTGTCGGGGGCAGGTGAAGCAGGCAAGTGTTCGCTACTACACAAACAGACGTAAACTAACTTCCTGCTAGAAGCCTTGGTTGATCTCGGCACTGATGGCACGCCATATCTTTTTGGCTCCGATGCTACTGCGATTAGGGCATTCATCCGAGAACTCGTGGTGCAGTCCGTCATTCCCTTCATGGAAAATAAAGTAGCTGTCTGGAACGACCAGGTTGCATCTCGGAGGCGTGGTATAAGTGGCAGATTTATGTCGATGTCTCGGCGGTGGGCTGGCTTCGGTTCAAGCTCACGTTCAAGTATCGGAGGCTCGTCTGGGGGCAACGGCGGGAACTACGATCCAGCACAACATTCTTATAGTCCAGACTCCCCGGAGGCTCTCTTGCGAAAGATGGCGGACTTCGCGTTCATGCTCCGCGATTGGAAGTTAGCTGCGTCTACATACGATATGATTCGATCGGATTATGGTAACGACAAAGCCTGGAAGTATCACGCTGGTGCGCACGAAATGTGCGCTGTTAGCATGCTTTTAAATCCATTGGCCACATCAGCCAAAATCAAGCTTGAGAGCGTCGACCAAATGTTCGAGACTGCTTGTTACTCCTATCTCACACGTTGTTCAGATGCGCCACACGCACTGCGTTGTTTATCCCTAGCGGTTGAACTCCTCAAGTCTCGTGGCGGGTCAGCTACCGAGAGCGCAGCCAAATGGGCCATGCGGGTCATGGATTTTGGTCTTGTGGGCTCAGTGGGTCATATTCTATACACTGAAAGGGTAGCAGCTTGCTATGCTTCCAAGACACCAGTTGGTGCAGCGAAATGGGGTGGACGTCGCCGGAAAGCCGGCATGTGGAGCATCCTTGCTGCTGATCAATGGCTCAAATCTGGACATCCAACCCTAGCCTCGGCCTGTCTGGAAGAAGCTGAGCTTCTCTATGCTGACGTCTTGCAGGCTGACGGGGTGTTCCATATGCCTGAGATGCAGAGCTTCGTTGACAATCTGCGCCATGCTGTCAAGGTTGAATATCTTGAATCGAGGGGATTCGATGCCCGAGATGCACCGGCTAGTGAGGATCCATTGGACACCGAAGAGACCAGCGAGAAGCTCGACATGCGCCATCATCGCCGGTCTCTAGTCGGGCATCCTGTGCAGCTAGATACCGGAGCCTTTAACACGACGCAGGGGCCTCTGGACTCTGAGGGAACACCCAATGATGACTTTGAACGAGCTTAGACTCATTACAGCCTTAATACCTCACCATAGCATATAGCCATAGAATACAAGCTTGTCCAAACATAAATTTAGGCATCCTTTGATTGTCGTAGAACTGCTAAGCATCACATTCGGACGCGTCACGTGGGGCTTATCGATAAAGCTGTTGCGCTATCTGCTTTGTCTCCGAGACAACTTGGCCTATTATTATCTGCTTACAGCGGGTCATATCATTCCTCCTCAACATACCCTTGCATGATGAGCGAACTACTGAAATATATCCTCACTCATGAGGAAGCATTCCGAAGGTAAAAACCGAGTCCTAAACAGAAGAGAGGATACCATGCTTACCTCGATGTTATGTCCTTAGGAACCGTTTACCCTCCCTATACTCTGATTTCACACCTCAGAAGAAAACAAACCCCGACGGCTACGCTGTTAACGTCGCCGCATGGGAACATGCACTCAACCGAGCCGCAAAGCGCGGTTATACCTCGTCACGCGGTGTGCGGGTACGTTCCGGCTCGACCATATCAGCTGAGAGCGGAGCACCCTTGAAACGAAAGAAGACAGACCATCTAATTCTGCGAACGGATGAATCGCTGCTCCGAGATTTAGAGAGTCCGGAGTGGGGGAGACCCGCAGCTCTGGGTACTGTATTTGTAGGTCTATTATCTTCCCCTTGGATGACAGAGCTGTTAAGCTAACTAATGAGGTTTACAGGATGAGGCAGTGCGCAAGAATTCAATGATTCCATTACCAATTTACAAGACAACTGCTGGGCTTCTGCAAAAGAAAAGTCAGTGGAAGCTAATTGATCCCGGGGTTCTGAGTCCTTGGAATGTTATGAGCTGGGGAGCTCGACAGCTCAAAGGCTTCGTTGTGGGTTCCGATAGCGATTCAGCACCGAAGCTGCAGGTGCAGGAGTTGGTCTTGATAGAGAACCTACAGGAAGCGGCAGACCTAGCGGTTAAGAAAGCCACAGGCGGCAAATCATCCAAGCTTGACCTTATTTACTCTAGGGAAATGTTTGTTGAAGAGTTTGCGGCCATACTGAACGAAGCTACGGAATTATCAGACGCAGATTTTGATGTCCTGTTGCTTTATTTGTCCCGCGATAGCAGTGCTATTGCCTATGATGGTAAGGTAAGTTGGACTATATAATATGGCCAGGATACCCAGATATTGACTGATTGATGGCTAGACAATTAAGTTCAAATCGGCAGATGAATCGGCGGAAATCACCCAACAGGACACAACTATTGCATCCATCAAGACCTTGCAGTTGACTATGTTGAAACAGGTCACAAGCCTGAAAGCAAAGATCGCTGAGCTGACCGCGTCTGCGAAGACGGCCTTGGCGAACAAGAACCGCATATCAGCGCTGTCCGCCGTGCGTTCCAGGAAAATGGCTGAAAAGAACCTCCAGGACAGAACTACCACTCTCATACAGCTTGATGAGGTTTATTCAAAGATCGAGCAAGCTGCAGACCAGGTGGAGATGGTGCGGATCATGAAGTCAAGCACTGGTGTGCTTCGCAGTCTACATACTCAGATCGGTGGTGCCGAGAGGGTTGAGGACATTGTTGAAGAATTGCGGGAAGAGATGGCCAAGGTGGATGAGGTCGGAAGCGTCATGAACGAGGCTGGGCCAGTCATTGACGAGGGAGAGATTGATGATGAGCTTGCGGCAATGGAGACGAGCGAGAGAGAGGCACTCGTCGAGAGCAGACTTGCCGAACTGGACAGTGTCAAGCAGGCCTCCGATGAGGCTTCCCGCCGAGCACGTGCGGCCGAAGATGCGGACTCGGCACTGGCAGATAACATTATTGACAGGCTCTCTAACATGTCCGTCGAGGATCGCCCGATGCAAGCAAACTGAGATTCTCCAAATTGTTGGAGAGATATCTGCCTTACGTGAATGAATAGTTTACTCTTCTGGGTGCTTCTCAATTCGAGTTCAATGTGGCTTCTTTTGAGATCACCCAGATAGGTTAATGACAAAATTAGGATCGGTGTCTGCGCTGAACTCAACGTGTGCACCATTCACCGGTAATCCAGTATCCTGCTGGGGTTGTGATTCCTTCTGTCTAGATGAAGACGGAGATGCGCCAGGGATAGTCGATCGTACTTGGGCCTCACTCTTTTTACGCGCATTTGCTATCAAACGCTTAAAGTCATCGTCGTGGTTGCTTGACCACTCATTGGTATCGAAGTCCTTGCGCATCACATTATTGGAGGTTGTGAATCGTGACGGCGCCGTCGCATGCCCACCCTGTGTGCGTTCCCAAATGTCCAGTTCCTGGAGCAATATCCGCTTAGATTTGGGGTGTTTGGAGTCGCAGTTTGCATTCCACAAGTTCATCCACTCGGTATGACGTCTCTGCAACAGCTGTTTTTGCCCCCAGTCTGGGATCCCGAGATCCCGGAGCTTTTTCCGCAATGAGTTATCCTTTAATATGGAGTAGTTTATAGCCGGAAGCCGTTCGGGCTGCTTGCTGGGGAGGGTAAGGCCTCTTTGGGATATGCCTTTTGATGACCTGTAATGCAATTTTTCTCCAATTAGCGCCATGTTCTAGACATGCAATAGAATTAACATACCCGAAAGATCCTGCCTTTGTAGGGGTTTCCTTAGGCGCTTCTTCTTCCTGTTGGTGTATGTTCAGATGTGGAAACACTGCCTCTTCCTTCATTTTGCGAAAGCATATTGGGCAAGCAACCAACCCATTTTCTGCGAGGGGATTAGACGGGTCAGGCTTTTATATGATAAAAGTGTCATACCAGGCAAATATTCTTCATCGTCCTGACTGTCCTCGATGATCTCAGGCACGACCCGGGGAACCGTTCGCTCTTGTGCGGAGCTATTTATGGACACTTGGGAGCGAGTCCGTCGGCCTTGCGAATTTATTTCTGGGACCTGTACCTCCTCCTCTTCCACCCGATTGACCTTCCGCTTCTTTTGGGTTGGCTCCTCTATATCTTCCTTTTCTCTAGCCAGGCGCACATTTTCCCTCCTCGCAAGATCGAGAACACTAGGCCGTGCCAATTTGAACGCGTCGACGAGTTCCTGCATTGCCCAATTGCGACGCAGTTTGAGCTCTTGGTCGGAGCTCCGACACGCCGGACACTTGCCTTCGGTGCTGAGGCAACGGCGAATACATAACGAGCAGAATGTATGACTGCAGGAAGTAATAACAGGGTTATCGAAGAAGTCTTTGCAGACTTGACATCGTAATGAGGATTCGAACGGCGCAAGTAGTGAAAGTGGCGTTTCCAACCAATCGGTGGAGTCGGGTAGCTCGAACGACTGATCCATTGAATTGAGGCCCAAGCCCTGAGCTCCGGAGCTCTTTTCTGTAGAAATTCTAACCGGACTCACCCGGTGAAGGCAACCGAAAAAGGAGAATTGTAAGTGGGTAGTAAGTCGCCTGAGGAGACCGCAAATGCCAAGACCCGCTGACTGATACGCGTTAAGTGGTTGAGCACGCGTCGGAGCAACTTGCACTTCAACAGCAAAGCAACTATGGATTCGAAGTTGTATCTGGCTGAAAATGTGCTCAATGAGCGGCGTCTTGTAAGATTTTCTCACACTCTTCAGACAAGCAGGAGCTTACTAGAATTAGGTCACGTATCGCTTATTGAGCCGCGCGTTGAAAGTACACGCCGATCGGGCCAAACAGTATGTTCTACGTTCGCAACAATGGGTATTGGATTTGGAGCTGATATTGATACTCTGTTGCATAGTATCCTGTTTGAATTCCATCGCAATGAGAACGCGAAGAAGCCAAAAACCGTCCACGCAACCTACGTCATCTCCGGTATCCAGAAAGCGCCCGAACCGACCCCTACGAACGGCCATGCGGACGATGAAGATGAAATGATGCAGAGTAGTCCCTACTCGACCGGCTCGTTGCCGGACGAGGATGCCTCAGACTCAATTCGCACTACCTCTATTATATTAGCACGCGAGGAAGACCTTGAAGGTACGCAGATTCGTCTCGGTGATGAACTGATTACTGAAGGAATCGACCAGATGCGAAAGCAACATTCCAGTCGATATCTACAATTCATGTCTACAGTCTTGAGGCTACAACTCTCCCGGATTTGAATGTGTTGGTTGATGCCAGTCGGGAGATTGCGAGGACACACGAGCAGGAGGATCCATTGGAGTGTGGCAAGCAATGGGGTATGATTCAAAATCGAGATGTCAGGGTAGGTCGTTCATTACTTCGACGGGTCTATCATGATCTAATGTTTATCTATCTTCCAGCGGAGGACTGGCGCGCACCCACCACCACCACCTGCAGCCCCATCTGCGAAGGCGCCGGCTGGCAAGGCATTGAAGCCTTCGACTGAGTCAATGGTACCCTCTAAACGGCCACTGCAGCAAGAAGCATCTCCAGCGAAAGCGGAAGCTACTAAGTTGGACAAACCGATGTCTGAGCCACCCTCTGCTACCAACTCCCAGTCATCCTCGAAGCCTTCGGGTAAAGCTGCGCCGGCCAAGCAGAAAGGCAATATTTTCAGTTCTTTCGCCAAGGCAAAGCCAAAGACAAAGACGCCAGCCCCCGCAGAACCGGTTCGTGCCCTCACCCGTGCTGCATTCTATTAATATTATCTTTTTTTCTCTTACTGATCTTGTTCTATTAACTTTGACTACAGGCCACACCTCTTGCAGAAGATGGTTAGTTCGCCCCACTTAGATTGATGCATTAGCTAACATTTTGTAGCCTCTGAAGAAGAAGCAGAAGAATTGTTCCCTGATTCCACCGATAAAGTAGCAGCAGGAACCCGCGAAAACAGGAAAGAGCGCGAGGAAAAGCTCAAGAAGATGATGGACGATGATGATGACGAGGCTGCCGGTATGTCCTCATCTCAAATTGCACCTTGAGGAAATATTGAACTGACATGGATCCAGATGAGGAAATGCCTGATGCCGATGAGGAGCCACGGGAGCCCACGCCTGTTGAGCAACCGCCACCATCCAAGCCAGCTGAACTTAAAGAAGAAGTGACTATACAGGGCGGGCGGCGGCGAGGCAAGCGGCAAGTAATGAAGAAGAAGACGGTCAAGGATGAAGAAGGATACTTAGGTCCGTGCAACCCGCTGAGGCCCCTTCGTTTGTCGTATACTAATTTGTTGCAGTTACCCGGGAAGAGGCGACGTGGGAGTCTTTCTCCGAGGATGAGCCGGTGCCTAAGAAGAAGCCTGCGGTCAATGTTCCCAAAGGGAAGGCTGGCAAAGCTGCGGGGCAGGGTAATATCATGTCGTTCTTTGGGAAGAAGTGATTTCTGTAGTATTATTGAGGTGCCCAATCATTTCTGAGAGCATAGATATCTAATACTAAAGCATACGTCCAGCTCATGTCAAGTATATAAACCCAACAAGGAAATGCCGCGACGTCGATCTTCTCCGCACTTTATGCGGGGAAGGGTGTCATCGTGCGTAGAGCGATGTCACCTCAATTTCGCACGGTACTTAGTAGTTCTCCGAGCGAATCACCTCAAGGTTTCTATATTATATGTCAAAATGTACTCCTAAACAGCCACGGAGAAGTTGTATGTGTGTAGTGGAATGTATCCCTGTCCGGTTGAGATCGACACACATCCCCTCTTATTAACCCCGGCCTTCTTCCTTATAGCAGTGCAAGTCTGTCCATAATTTTCCTCCTATTTGACATTTGCGCCATGAATATTCCTACGGCACTCGCAATCGCTCTGCTGGGCCTTCAGGCCAGCGCTCTCCCAGACAGAGACGACCCAGCCATCTTGCGACGTGCCTGCCCAGACTACACCTCCTATGCATCAACACCGCAGTGAGTGTCAATACCCCCATTGAGATATGTCAAGTATTCGCTAAACAAAACTTCAATATTACAGCGCTCCCTATAGTGGTGGTCCCTTGAATCTTCCCTTTCAGCGACCTGCGGAACCATGTCGGACATTTTCATCGCCCGCGGTGGAGAAGGTCATTGACGATATCACCTCGCGCCTAGTCGATAAAGATCTTGCCCAGCTATTCCGAAATGCATTTCCAAATACCTTAGACACTACAATTCGTTGGCATACAAACGGATCGACATCATCCGGCACCAATGCCAAGCGATCCGGCGCGCAATGGACCGGAGTGCAGACCTTCGTCGTGACGGGCGATATCAACGCCGAGTGGCTGCGTGACTCAACCAACCAGCTCACAAATTACCAGAAACTAGCTGCTAAGGACGAGAGTCTTTACTCGCTGATACTAGGTGCAATCAACACTCAGTCCGAGTTTGTCATCCAGTCGCCCTATTGCAATGCTTTCCAGCCACCGGCTCTCAGCGGCATCAAGCCAGAAGCCAGTAGCCAAAAAGACACTGTGCATCCTGCATATGACAGTTCTTTTGTATTTGAGTGCAAGTATGAACTTGACTCTCTGGCCCATTTCCTACAGCTAGGCACTGAGTTCCACGAAAATACTGGTTCAATTGCGTTCTTGACCGACCGCTGGTATAAAGCGGTGCAAACTGTGCTAGAGACCATCGACGCGGAGTCTCAGCCCACATTCAATACTCAGGGCCAGTTCGTCCAAAATCAGTACACGTTTCAACGAGAGACTACCATTGGCACTGAGACCCTCAACCTAGCTGGTGTTGGCAACCCGCTAAATAGCGAGACTGGCCTAATTCGCAGCGCATTCCGCCCCAGTGATGACGCTACGATCCTGGGATTCTTCATTCCGCCCAACGCTATGATGTCCGTACAGCTCCAAAAGACAGCGAAAGTCATCAAGGCAGCCGGTGGGTCCCCAAGTCTCGTTGCGGACCTGCAGGAACGCGGTATCAAGCTAGCCAAGGCAGTTCGCGATCACGGCATTGTTAAACACCCCAAATATGGAGATGTCTACGCATTCGAAGTTGACGGGTATGGGTCGCGTATTCTGATGGACGATGCCAACATCCCCTCACTGCTCTCGTTGCCCTACCTCGGCTTTGTGGACAAATCAGACCCCGTCTACAAGAATACACGCAAAATGATCACCGACAAGGCTTCCAATCCATATTATCTGGTGGGTACACAGTTCCACGGCATTGCTGGTCCACATATCGGTCTAGAGCACGCCTGGCCCATGTCTCTACTTGTTCAAGCTATGACCTCTGACGACGACGCTGAGATCATTGGAAACCTCAATCTCGTTCGTAATTCTAGCTTGCTTGGGCTTGTTCACGAATCTATCAATGTTGCCAACATAAAGGACTATACCCGTCCTTGGTTCGCATGGGCGAACTCGGTCTTCGCGCAGACTGTTCTGAAGATTGCTGCTGAGAGGCCTCATCTGATCTTCGGTATCAATGCAAAGCCTTATACTGTCTAATAAGGTTGATAGAATGCCTGCTTGTGTTCTATCCTTATATAGTCATCATTATCATTATCCCTATTCACTGCATGAATTCTAGGTTAGGTATAAACTACAAACTCGTGCAAGCCCATTCACCCATGAGTGACTTCGTATTTTCTTTCATACTTTAGACTGTCTCTTCTCAAGTGCCTTTCTCCGAGTGCGAATAGCCTTTGTCTCCTCCCTCAGCGCCAGTCCCGCCATAATCTCCTCACTTCCGCCGCCGACTACATGAACCCGAGCATCACGACTAATCTGCTCGATTCTAGCACCTTTGCCAGCCTTGTTATAGCCCGCACCTCCCATAATCTGCTGTGCTTCTCGAACACTCTTCTCCAGAGCCCTGGTCGACATGACTTTAAGCAAGGCAGTCATACCACCAATGTTGACGTCGTCGGAAGGACGGTCTTTGGTAAGTTCAAGGATGTTCACGAGCTGTTCCATGAAGGCATAGGCTGGCTCAATCATGAGGCCGAATTTGAAGATCTTGGATTGAATTGCTTGCTTTTCAATCAGTGGGGATCCAAAGGTCTCGCGTTGGATGGCGTAGTTGTAGGCATCTTCGGCACAAACTCGGGAGAGTCGCAATGACGCACACGCCAGAGTAAGGCGCTCTGGGTTGAAGTCTGAAGAAAATATTAGCAGCCAATTCAGACCCTTGGTAAGGCAACTCACTCGACATGATAAGGGGAAATCCTTTGTTCTCTTGGCCGATGAGGTTTTCGACAGGAACACGCACATCTTCAAACTCGATAAAGGTTGAGCCTATAGTTGTGTTGATTGGCGATGTCTTTCTTCACAGGTCATATTGAGAAAGAAGCACCCACCACTGGCATTCACACCCGAGTTATGCATACGCCTGCGAGTCACTCCGGCAGTAGCCAAGGGAATAACAAGCAAGCTGATACCAGACCTTCCAGGACCACCGGTCCTAACAGCAGCAGTGCAATAGTCAGCCCAGATACCATTGGTAATCCATTTCTTCGCCCCATTCACAATATAGTGATTGCCATCCCGCTGGGCTGTAGTCTGGATATTGGCAACATCAGAGCCCGCTGCAAAAAGTAAACAAAGTCAGCAACCCATATCCTGAAGATAGTTATACCTCTGAAGTAAACATCCACATACCATCCGGCTCGGTAATCCCCAAACAAAATCGAATATCCCCCCTCGCAACACCAGGAAGCCACCTCTTCCTCTGCTCATCATTCCCAAAACGCGCAACAGGCGGACATCCAATCCCATTACCACCACCAAGCCCCCAAATCACACCGACATATCCAACGCGCGTGAGCTCGTCCGTTACAATAAGTGAGCACCACGTATCCCACTTCTCGCGCGGCACATTCCCAGGCAGAGAGAGGCCGGCTGAGTCCTCCTCGCTCGTGAGGGGGTGCACGATGCTATAGCCCAGCTTGCAATAGTGCCGGCGTACGGCTTCGGGGACTTGGCCTGCTTCTTCCCACTCTGCGGCGTAGGGGGTGATGTATATATCGATATATTCGCGCACGGTGGCGCGCAGGTTGTGGTTCAGGTTTGTATAGTAGGGGTTGCGGATGTCTAGTTGCGGGAGAAGGGGCTCGCTGTACGGAGCTGTTGCGGGGCGGAGGATTTTGGCCATTATGAAATGGTATTTAGTAATAGATTGCTAGATAGTAGTGTGGATGTTTTGATTATTTGATTACTAGAAGTACACGGTGGTTTTAAGCGGGGAAGACCAAGGCCTGTGAGAAATGCGGGGAGAGCTACTTGACCGAGGCCCGAATGCTGATCTTCAATGTGTGTTTGATAGAGGAGAGTTGTGCATTTGTATTGTTGTTTGGGTATATGATATTAAAATTCAGGCTCATTGGTCCTTGACTTTGTTTCAGGCATTTATTCCTGCGTTTCCTCGAATCGGCGAACGGCTTTCTTCAGCGCCCGCAAATGTTCCTTGACATCCTGGCAGTTCCATCGGTGCTGCGATTTGGGTTCCAACATTCTTTTGATACATGTCATGAGAGAATCCGCGACCGAAATTCCATCGTCCAGCACGATCGAGCCAAAATCGATCTTGGCAGCGAAGTCTGCAGGGAAAATGGTGCGCTCGGATGGATCACGGCCTGACCCACGAGTCAAGTCACTCAAGACGAATTGTCTCTCCATCTTTGTGTTAAAACGATAAACAGTTTCGAAAAGAATGACGCCGAGCGAGTAAACATCGAGCTTTTCGTCGACCTTGTATTCGTCAAAGTAATCCACTGGCGAGCTCTGGTCATTTTGGGACGCAGATAGATTGGCTGGAGGACGATAGAACTCGGTCCCGACTACCCGCTGTATATTTGGTCCTTCTCGGTATGGTGTCATTGTGCCCTGTGAGGCCTCATTGATGTGGGAGATATCTGCCACGAGACCAAAGTCCCCGATGCGAGGACGACAGAACTTGGTAGGAGAAGTTTCGGTGGAGCTGCACGCAAGGCATATCTCTGCTGTGCTAGTCTCTGGTGCACAAAGGAAGATATTTGCAGGCTTCAAGTCGCGATGCACAATTCCCTTTGAGTGGAGGTACTCAACGCCCGAAACAACGTCCATTATGAGCTTTAGGGAGGGCAGGAGGTGGAAGCAATGGCGCCTGGCGAGTGAACATTCATCATACTTCGGACTGGCTTGAGGGTTCAGGTACGCGCCGAGCGAAATAGGGTGGAGTGACATTTGGATGTGAAGAATGACTGCGGGGGGTTGCTGACCAGGCCGGTAGCGGGGTTGAACTTGAAGTTTAGACTGATCTTGGCTCAGACCATCAGTAAAGATGTCGTCAGTATCCCCGAAAGTGGATGTTTGGCCAACAGAAGTGTTCCCATCGCGGGGGATGGATTCAATGTCATCATCTTCCTCATACAATCCCCTTCGTGAACCTTTCTTCCACTGATGGGACGAGGTAGTCGCGTGGCTGTCCCAGCCATGGATACTCTCGGTGAAACTATGATCTTCAGACAGAGAGCTTGACTGAGACTCGCGATTTGAATTTTCAGAATGTCCGAAGACAATCCCCATGCTTGACTCATTTGGGGAATCTGGAGAAGGCGAGTCATTCTGCGACTTGTCATATGCTGGGTGAGAATGGTGGTATTCGGCTGAAGGCAGGTGTGAGTGATGGGCCTGCTCAACCCATGCCCCATAGTATCGAACAATATTTGTATGCTCAAGGCGGGCAAGCGTTCGGATTTCCTTCATGATAACCTCGAGGTGATTTTGACCCCCAGATTGCAGCTGCTCAAGTCGCTTTTGGCTGAGTGGGATTTTCTTGACGGCGTAGTCTTGCCCGTCGATATGGTTTGTGACGTGGTAAACTTCGCCGAAGGACCCGCGACCCAAGATCTTGAGTTCCTGGAATTCGACAGAATATCTTGATAGCTGATTGTACGGTGGGGATGTTGGAGAATGGAAAAGAGGAACCCCTACGGGCGAACTGCCAAATAGGGAAATCGAAGGGTTGGGGAGATTCAAGGGAACGGTTGGAAAATCCACCTTATTAGGAGGAGGAAGCTGTTTCCTAAACGATAAATTTGGTTCAGTGTTCCGTCGGAATAGAGTAGGATTCTCCACGTCTTCAACGCTGGGTCTCCTTGTTGAAGACTTTGTGATTAAGGCGAGGTTCTCGCCGGAACCAATTGTGGAAGGCCGCGCATCGGGTTCATGGAAATTCATCTCCTCGAGGGCAGATATACTAAGCAAGTCGAGGTTATCCCGATAACTTTGCCTACTTGGCCCCATTTCCTCTCTGTCGATGCCGTCGGCCAAGATACCGTGAGCCGACAAGAACTGTGATTTGAATTTGTAGAGTTTCTTGCCGAGATACTGAGCCTCGGGACTGTGTCGGCTGAACAGTTTATTTGAGCCTTGTTGAGCATTGAGGATGTCTGCTGCCCGACTCTGACAGTAAAATTCCAAGAGGGCGGCTGTCATAACATTTGCATGTTGATCAACATTCACAGCCAGATCTTGTGGTAATGTTGATCTATCGCTGAAAGAGATCGAAGAGTCTGCATCTGTAGAACCAGAGTCTTTCGGGACTTGCTTGGTCTTGTCCTTTTTTAGGTCGCGAGATTGATTCTCTGTGGCATGTCGAGGAGTTGATGGTCCAGATTCCTCAACTTGACTTTCTTTTGAACCCGAGTTGGAATCTGAGTCTGATGATATTTCTGCTGCTGATCGAAACATCGACATATTGATACACTGTTCATTCAATTAGCACCGCAATGAAGACTTGAATCAGTGCTGTGCTGGCGTCATTGGCAATGAGAGGCGAGTTACACAGATAATTTCAAGAACAGAAGAAGATGAACTAGAAGAAAGACCGGCGCACAAGTCGATATAGATCGTAATGCCCTCCGGAGGCTCTGATCGTTGCCCCGCAGTGAAAAGATGGGAGCTCCTTGATCAAGAACGACGCCGCAAAAGTGAAAGAAGACAGAAATAAACAGGTATCAAATATCCCTTGGGCGGAGATGCCACGTTGGGATTGAGATCAAAAAGATGTAAACATGTCACAGAAGCCTAGCGGGGCTATGATTGTCTCAAGCTGCTTCCATCGGGTTCTACTAGAATGTCTCTGGACGTGGGGCATGCGAATCTTGGCAAAATAGACTCAGGTCTTTTGAGTAGAGTCTGAAACTGTACGTTCAGGAGAATGCGTAAATAGACGTAATGGAGAAGTAGGCAAAGACTTCATACGATGCCAAGCACAGGGAGGCGAGTCATCCGTTTCCGCACTCGTGGACTTGGTGGGCCTCAAGAGGGGGTATATGATGGCATGCCATACTTATCTACTCAATGTAGCTCTTCATATGTATACCTCTAATTTGAATAAAAGGTAAAAGGTACCTCTTCTATTATAAGAAGCCAAAAAAAGATATCTAGAGCTAAATGGGTATGCCCTGGACCTTTTGACCAATCAAATCGCCCCGAATCTTTGTTTCAATTTAGCTTATCTTATCACACGTGACTCCCACGCGTAAACGTCACGTCGAAGGCGCGACAGCGCGACTTTCACAAGGAGTTACCCCAACACATTCTCAAGTTTACGAGCCCACTCTCATATCATATCGTTTTCAAACCACAAAGTTGACTGTGACTCCGTGAACCTCAGTCTAGGAGTTGCCGTCATGCCTGAAGCTATCATCCCTCCCCAGAAGCGGGTGCTGGGCGACGCGGTCAATAACTCTAACGGTATCTTGAAATCTGCTAGCGTTCTCAAAAAGCGGAAACTCGACAATGAACCGTCTGTACAGTTCACACCATCATCGCAGATGAGTCGCCGAAAGATTGGCTCAAGTCAACCACAGAAAAGTCAATTCGAGGAGGAGGTGCTCGAAAAGTTGACGCAGGATATCGGCGACTTGAAGGAGAACAACTCGGAGAAAGACCAGCAATGGGAGCGTCCCCCGCTTGGTGAATTCGACGAAGCCACGGAAAACATCTGTTTCCAGCAGATTGACGCGGAAGAAGCATTCCTGATGGGAAAACCTGCCATTCGGCTCTTTGGTGTTACCGAGGTAAATATATTCGCTACCAGCTGAGTTTTCGTATCTAACAATATTCATAGAGAGGACAATCGGTCTGCCTTCATGTAACCGGCTTTGAACATTACCTCTACATCGCTGCTCCTGTCAGCTTCACCAAAGACGATTGCGACCCTTACAAACATTTCCTAGAGCAAAAGCTAGGCCAGGGCTTCACTGCAATCTCGTCTGTGCAGCTCACAATGCGCGAGAACATCTACGGATTTCAAGGGAACCAAAAGAGTTATTATATCAAGATTACGGTTACTGAGCCCAAATTGGCCGCTCGATTGCGAGGTGCGTTGGAGACTGGCAGTGGAAGCATGAACTACAAGGGTATGTGGACCGGTACAGGTGGAGATGGAATCCTCACGTTCGACAATATCCAATACCTTTTGCGCTTCATGATTGACACTGGGCTGGCTGGAATGGCTTGGGTCGAGGCGATGGCTGGGAAATATCGTCTTCTTGGACAGAGTCAACGATTGTCCAACTGCCAAATTGAAGCTTCTGTCGACTATCGCAACATGGTGGCTCATCCACCCAATGGGGAATGGGCTAAAATGGCACCTCTTCGCATTCTCTCCTTTGATATCGAGTGTGCCGGACGAAAGGGTATCTTCCCAGAGCCTAACGTGGACCCCGTCATCCAAATCGCCAATGTTGTTACTCGATACGGAGAGACGAAACCATTCATCAGAAACGTTTTTGTCCTCGATACCTGTAGTCTGATCGTCAATACCCAAATCCTGGAATTTCAGAAGGAAGAGAAGATGCTCGACGCCTGGCGCGATTTCGTGGAAAAGGTGGACCCTGACGTTATTATCGGATACAACATTGCCAACTTCGATTTCCCCTACCTACTCGATCGCGCCAAGCACTTGAAATGCACTGGGTTCCCCTATTGGACCAGATTGAAAGGTTTCAAGACAGAGGTTAAGAGTGGAAAATTTTCGAGCAAGCAAATGGGCAATCGAGACACGAAGGAGACGAATACAAACGGCAGAATTCAGCTTGATCTTCTCCAATTGGTTCAGAGAGATCACCAGTTGAGAAGTTATACCCTTAATTCCGTATCCTGGGAGTTTTTGAAGGAGCAAAAGGAAGACGTTCACCACACGATGATTACTGAGCTGTTCAACGGTACCCCGGATTCGAGACGACGACTGGCAGTGTACTGTCTGAAAGATGCGTATCTGCCGCAACGATTAATGGACAAATTGATGTGCCTGGTCAATTATACAGAGATGGCAAGAGTTACGGGCGTACCGTTTAATTTCCTTTTGTCTCGAGGACAACAAGTCAAGTTCATCAGTCAACTTTTCCGGAAAGCTCGAGAGCAGCAACTTGTTATTCCCAATTCCAAGCCCCAGGATGAGCAGGACTACGAAGGTGCCACTGTCATCGAGCCGAAGCGAGGGTACTATCCAGTGCCCGTCGCGACCCTCGATTTCGCATCATTGTACCCCTCAATCATTCAAGCACACAACCTTTGCTACACGACCCTGCTCAACAAGAGTAGTATTGAGAAGTTGAACATGAAGAAGGATGACGATTACATCGTCACTCCCAATGGAGACATGTTTTGCACCACCAAAGTTCGCAAAGGACTTTTGTCCCAGATTCTCGAAGAGCTGTTGTCGGCAAGAAAGCGTGCGAAGAAGGAGTTGGCTACCGAAACCGATTCTTTCAAAAAGGCAGTGCTGAACGGTCGTCAACTCGCTTTGAAGGTCAGCGCAAACAGTGTCTACGGTCTGACAGGTGCCACAGTGGGTAAACTGCCTTGTCTTCCCATTGCCAGTAGTACGACGAGTTACGGCCGTCAGATGATTGAGAAGACAAAACAAGAGGTAGAATCACGGTACACCATCGCCAACGGTTACTCTCACGATGCTGAAGTCATCTATGGTGACACCGACTCCGTCATGGTCAAATTTGGCGTCACTGAACTAGCAGATGCAATGAAGCTTGGCCGAGAAGCAGCAGAATTTGTTTCTTCCAAATTCGTTGCGCCCATCAAGCTTGAATTCGAGAAAGTATACTTCCCTTATCTTTTGATCAACAAGAAGCGATACGCTGGATTATACTGGACAAACCCCGACAAACCTGACAAGATGGACACAAAGGGTATTGAGACCGTCCGGCGTGATAACTGCCTGATGGTTCAAAATGTCATTGAAACCGTGCTGAACAAAATTCTGATTGACCGAGATGTTGATGGTGCGCAAGAGTAAGTTGATATATCCCCAAAATAAAGCTATCAAGAAACTAACATAATATCTAGCTACGTCAAATCCACCATTTCAGATCTGCTCCAAAACAAGATCGATATGTCGAAACTAGTCATCACAAAAGCGCTGTCGAAACGCAAGGAGGACTACGCAGGCAAGCAGGCACACGTCGAACTTGCTGAACGCATGCACAAGCGTGACGCAGGTTCTGCGCCAACACTTGGTGACCGTGTGGCCTACGTCATGATCAAGGGTGCGGGTGATTCCAAGGGCTATGAACGAGCAGAAGATCCCATCTACGTTCTGGAAAACAACATCCCCATTGACACTAAGTACTACCTCGACAACCAGCTGACAAACCCACTCAACCGTATCTTCGAACCCATATTGGGCAAGAAGGCGGGCCAGTTGCTCACTGGCGAGCACACACGGTCTATCACCAAAGCGGCGTCAAACCTGGGCGGACTGATGAAGTTCGCTAAGAAGACCCAGACCTGCATGGGCTGCAAGAAGCCTCTTGTCAGCAAGGAAGAGATGGACGGTGCTGTCTGCTCTAACTGCCGTCCCCGCCTCGGTGAACTTTACACAAAAACCCTCACCAAGGTCTCTGATCTAGAGGTCCGATTCGGACGTCTGTGGACTCAGTGCCAGCGGTGCCAAGGTAGTCTTCACTGTGAGGTCATCTGCTCATCCCGTGACTGTCCGATCTTCTACATGCGCATGAAAGCAAAGAAGGATGTCGAAGATTCACAGAAAGACCTGTCCCGATTTGACTTTGACGCTGGTGCTTGGTAATGAGAGAGCGTTCTCCGCTATATGACTTATTTTTCTTGAATAGCTGGGTTTATGGTGATATGATTAGGTCTTGAGCATGGATGAATGGCGTCGGAGCTTGCGATTAATGTACAATGAGATTGAAATAATAACAAGAAGCCGTGGTCACCTTCAAGTGGTTCGCTTCTTTTTGCATCTTTCCTAAGAGAAACGCATCAGAGGACCGAGTGGGATAGGGACAATACACAAACGAACAATATAGACAATAGAATCAGATTGAATAACAAGTCCTAGGTAGATATACAACTGAATAGCTCTCTTCTACTCTTTCCTACTCTCTGTCGTGTAGTTAAAGCCCGGAAGCGCGTCATCTGCAAAGCCGAACTCTTGGCGCGGAGTAGCTGCCGATCTTCAACTTCACCATGACTGCCAACTTTAAGCCCACCATGAATCCTACAGCGGAGGACGAAGTCGTCGGTGATTCGCATGCCCATTTAAAGGCTAATTCAAAGATCAAGTCCAATGCAAATGACCCGCCAGTCCCTTGGTCAGAGGTACGCTTTTGTTGCGCAAGGCGCAAACTGAAAATATGGACATTCTCAGGCGCACTGTAACTGACCGGCTCTTTCTTTGCGACCAGATCTTCTCCCGTCATGAGGCCTTCCTCTGCTCTCACCTTGATATGCTAAGCATGGTGAAGGACCAGATTGCTCCAGAGGTCAATGGTTTCCAGACCGTCTCGTCAATGGTGAACAAAACAGTACTGGCGATGAACCAGCTGAAGATAGCTAGAAAACATATTGTGAGTAGTGCCCGATTTTCTTTCTTTGATCCCATAACTGACTGACACTTCTTTAGATGAGCAGTAAGTCCTATCAAACTCCTACCCCAGACGCAAGAAAGCAACCTACACCACCTTTACCAAGCAATAAAAACAGAAATTGACATGACAGCCTTAGAAAACGCTACACTCCCAGCCTCCAGTTCCTCCAGTTCCTCCAACCCCACACAATCCACTGACACAGAGGCGAACATTCGCAAAAAAAGACGCAGAATCTCTCGGGACAACGACACAGCCCGTCCTGACCCCACAGAAGAAGAACGAGCCCCCAAGAGACACCGTGAATCTCCTTCTCAGCCAATAACCGAGCAAGAAGGAGAGTTCACGTCGACGTGGCTTGGAACAGAGGATATCTCAGCAGAAGTCCAGCGACGGCTGAAAATCAAGGAGGAGCAACGTTTTAGGAAAGAAAACCCCAAAGCGGATAAACGCAAGCGCGACAGTCTCGTGTCGAATGACGGTGAATCACAAATTGCATGCAAGCCTCGGAAGAAACGGCTAAGGCTGGAGAATGGGCACAAGAGACATGGTGATTTGGTGGATGACGCGGATAAAAAGAAACGACGCAAATCGCCTTAAAATGAATGCTTTGAGGGAGACCATGAGTGATGCTGGTCTTTATCTGGTCTCCTTTTGTTTCTCTAGGGCTTGTGCTTCGTCTATTGGCGGATTCTAAAGGTTCGAGAAAGCGGCCATGATGCTTCATTGAGTGTGACTGAAACTATTCTTAGAAATTCTAACTGATCCCTGTTCAAACCGAGAAGGGGAGAAAACACTACCAAAAAGACATATAAGCGGCCGACTACTCTCGTATGTTTCAATCAAGAAGTTGCCAACATTCTGCAATGCGCAACGTCCAATTCTGGATGGGATATAACTAGCTCATTAGCATATGATTCTAGTCTCTCATCGGCCTGATCATACTTCCATCTTCCCTAAACTTGGCCCAGAAGAACAAAACACGAGTGAAAACGGAAGAACTGTGTTCGAACGTGAATCCCATTAGAAATATTGAGATCCTAACCTGTCTATTCGTTTGAAAGGTCCAAGTGAGTTATAGTCCGAGGTCAAGTTCATAGTTCCAAGGAATTATATGGTAATTGGCTTGATGAGTTCTCCCTCTTGATCGTTTTACATTTTTCCTTCTTTCATAGATTTTCTTATATCCTCGAGTTGCCCAGGTGTACAGTCACGATGACATATGCGCACTGGGCATCCATTACATATCAAAGGCCTTGTACTCGGAAGAAAGCCATTATCCGAAATACCCAAAGAATGAAAGCATTTGAGTTTATTGTTCCGACGAGATCTCTTTGACTTCTCTTTGGCTTCTCTTTGACCCGTGATACGCCGACAGAATGTTGTCCGCACCTCGATTAAGTGCTCCGACACGATCATTCCTCCGCTATTCTCCGGCAGCAGAACGACTTGAGTTCAGCAGTAATCACAAGACACTTCAAAGCTTTTGCTCTGTCTGGGTTCCAAGACAAGGCAGGATACTGAAACTCAAACATGTGTGTTTCTATGTCTATGTGCCCTCTACAACTACAGGCCGATTCCATCCTAGGCTTCGGAGCTCTGATGAGATGTCCCAAAGACCTCTGTCGAAATGGTCGAGCCGAAGTTGAAGACCTGAAGGTTCTTTGTCCGTCTGCCTTTATAGTTAACAATGGCCCATTGTTCGGTTTTAACTCAGTTCGGCTCTGCTCTAGGCTCAAGATATACCGGCCTGCCTCCTATATATCATGGTACTCATATCAACTCGCCTTATCTAGGCCTTTTTTACCTTCTACGAATCCAAGGAATTGAGTATATTATCACCGTGGAAGCAAGCTCCGTTCCTAGATTGGCTTAGTAGCACATCTAGCTTGAGTGTTATAAAAGCCCCTCTGCCCACCCCCCGACTCGTCTCGTTTCTTTCCTTCTTCACCTCTCACTGGGGTCATCGGCATACTCCAATAATCAAAAATCATCTCACAACATCTAGCATTTGCCTCGCAAGTGCTCCTCATCCCCTCCTTGGGGCCTATACCCTTCCACTTTGGGTATACATTCTTTCATCCGGCATATAAACCTCACTTGGCCGCTGGCAGGCCACCGAAAACCACATCCTCCAACCAGCCACACGGCTCGGCCCTCCCACGTTCAAAGAAGAAGATCTATATTCCACTCCATCAAATCGCCCAGCCTTCGTCGCAAGTTGCCAAGGTCAGGGAGTTGTCTTTAACTGTCGGACTTGGAGATAGTCACCGGCCTCTTGAGGTGAAGTATCCCAGCCAAGGCAAAACCAAAAACCAAAACCAATTCCTCCCCAAACAAATCCACTATACAAATCCACACTGGGTCGAGAAGAAACAAGCCTACGCTAAGGGAAAGAAACAAGCCAAAAACAGAGGTTCGCGGGCATCTTACAAGTTTAAATCCGGCTTTTGGAAGTTCAATCGAATGACCTCGCTTGCACGAAACTCGTCCGGGGGACCAGGCTGCGGTAGTCCAAACAAAAATAACTTTGGTATACGGAACCCCACGAAGATGCACTTCCAACCATCTTCCGTGCCCAACGGGCCACGATCTTACCAGAACAATGGAGGTGCTCGGAACAACCGAGGCAACTACAACCACAATGGCAATGCCAACTCCAACAACCAATGGAGCCCTCGCAATGCCAATCCTCGCAATGCCAATGCCAATGGCAATGGCCCATCTCCTGTGCCCAATGGGCCACGAGCTTACCAGAACAACGGAGGTTCTTGGAACAACCGAGGCAATAACAATTACAACGGCAACGCCAACAACCAATGGAGCCCTCGCAATGGCAATCCCAATGGCACCCACGATTACAACAACCAGCGAGACACCTCTCGCGACGGGTTCGGCAACGAGAACAACCAGCGGAGCTCCAACTACAAGGGAAAGAACTTCAACCCCAACTACAAGGGGAAGAATTACAACCCGAGCTTCTCTCGTCCTGCCCAGGCAAATGTTGTAAGTACTCCCCCCATTGTCCCCTCGACGCATTGTTGATTTGATACTAACAATATATAATAGGGCCAGGCTCGAAATGGCAATCGGAGACGTCTAGCCTACCGCAACCAGAACGAAAATTACAACCTCGACATTCACCCATCAAACATTGATGTTCAGATGGACGATGCACCATCCGATGAACCAGTAAGTTGATACATTCAAATCCATCTTGTCGAAGATCGATTGCTAACATTGGATTTAGAATGACATCGAGATGCCCGACGCTCCAGCTCTTCCCGATCCAGTGCTCCCTGATCCAGTGAGTTATCTCTGGGAAGCGGCACATGGGCTGCAACATGCACTAACTTCTTTACAGAGAATCAAAGCCCTCGCTCTGGGTGCTGTTGCAATCAAGGAAATGGTTAGTCCCCCACTTTCCAATTTCCAGTTCAATCCCCATGCTTTCCATCAACCTGATGTCCATCACTCTGCTTTCCGTCCCCCCGAATTCCGTCCCCCAACTTTCCACCCTCCAGCTTTTCATCCCAAAGTCATCAGTTCTCCAAAGTTGCAAGGAAACCCTGAATGTAACTACTTTCTCTAACTTTACAACAGGCCGAGAGCATGCTCAGACTAGCTAGCGAATTGGATCCTAGCTTCGTCCCCAACTGAGCTCCACTAGACAGCGGCTTAGCCAACCCTGCTCTAGTCGCCTCACGAAAAGACAACAAGTCGACATCAACAACGGAATCACACTTTCCCACATCGGTCACCATTCACCGACCTCCGAATCAGCCCCAAGATCTCTGGGTTCCTCATATTGGGTACGAACCGTCACAGACGGGTGACAACCCACCCAGAGTAGGGCGCGGAAGACTCCATCGACAGACGACACATCACAAACATCGTCTGGTCCTGGTGCAGATGGCGCACCGGCCCCGTCTGCAGGGAGGGCCAGATCGTGGAGGAAAAGGATTCGAATGGGTACATGTGCAATGGAGGAATGATATCAAGGAAGCTGTACTTAGAGTGCAGTCCTGACCATGGTTTTTACCGAGCACCCAACAAGGAGTTTGCCGGATTTTCCCATGGCCCCGTCGGGTGAAGACCAACAACATCTATCATCAACATCGGCATCAGCATCAGCATCAGCATCAGCATCAGCATCTACATCAAAAGAAACCAGCCGCTCATCTTCATCCCACGGCTCGAATGAGGGGTCTTGCCATTTATACCATCTGTTTTGGGCGTTTTGCATATATTTCATGTTTCATTTATTTGTTTATGGGAGGGATATACTTTGTTTTATTGGATATGAGAGGATTTGTACTAAATTTGGTTGGCTTGGGAGTCTCGCGATGCCATGGTCGTTGAGGGTCTCATGGCTTTCCAGAAGGGATATCATGTACCGATCAGGAGTCTCTCGCGATGCCATGGTCGTGGGGAGTCTCTTGGTTTTCGAAGATGTATTTTGAAATAAAGAACTATCATTCTCCACTTGGTTCATTTTCTGTAAGCTTGTAGATGCCGTAGACTGGCTGTAAGATCCTTCGAGATAGGCGATGGCCTTCGACGTCAGGTAACTAATACATTCTGGGATGGGGATACACTAGAATACTAGAGTAGATACATATTGTAGACAATTGCAGCTTGTTCGAATGAATGTATTGTACACGGACATCCCAACACGAACAGACTGATAAATTCCTGGCAGGTGGAACTCAAAAAGCAACCAAACACCTATCCCAATGCAAAGCAGGGCAAAATATAATACATCAAGGTGGGGAGAGAGGCAGAGACGCTGTACAAGACACATAAAACAGACATAAACCGCAGAATGAAGAACTCAATCCTTCTTCTCAGCCACATTCTCATCCGTAACACCCTCACCAGCCTTCCCATCCTTCCCACCCCAAGTCCAAACATCCCAAATATGTTCCTGAATCAAATCCCCATATCCCTTCCCCTCACTAAGCGCCTTCTGCTCTTCCCTCAATCTCCTCTCCTTCCACCCCTCGGACTCCCCACCCATCCAAAGCCGCCGCACAACGTCCTCCTCCTGCGCCTGTCTCGCCTTCAGCTTCTGAATCTCCTCCATCAAAACCGGATCCGGCTCCCGGCGCTGCTTATCCGAAAGCGACAAAATCCGCGCCTTCAACTGTTCATGCTCAGCGATGCGGATTTGCGCATCCCGCGCGGCCCGGAGTCGTGCCTGGATCTCCTGCGCGCGCTCGCTCGGTAGGGAAGAGAATGAGCGCTGCATGCTGGAAATGCGCGCGTCAATCCGGTCGATTATGCTGCGTCCTGTGCGTTCGTGCACGATGTGGTTGGCGGACGCGCCGAAGGAGCAGAGTACTAGGACGGTGAGAGGGTCGAGTTTGCGTGGTGGGAGGGCGATTAGGATCGGTGCACCGATTAGGAATGTGTAGGCTGCATAGTTCTTGAAGCGCTTGTAGTCTGCTTCGCGGGAGGCGTTTAGGTCTGTGGGTGAAGGGGTTGCCATTTTTGGTTTGGTCTGAGGTCGATGATATTGCGGAGGCTGCGGTTGGAGGAAAATTTATGGTTGGCGGTTGGGCTTGGCACGATACTTGGCATCGGATTGATCGTCGTAAGGCTATTTTTGGATTCACATAGATCATAGATGTTGACATATAATTTTGTTGAATATAGTGAATTACTCCTTCTGACTACAACAGAAGGGAAAGACACAATATATACAAAAGGACACCAAGTACATGTACATACTACGCTTGGGATTCACCGGGATCTGTGTAAAATATTCATAACCACATATACTTCAAGTTTATTAAATATTAAATATTGAATATAACATAAGAACAAGGATCTAAATTCAGCTTGATACATGATTGGCAAGGTAGACAATCCCACTCTATTGGTAGTCAGCTCGAGGTCATACAATTAGCAAATCCAATACCAGAGCTTACCTATAGGTACCTACTTCCCCCATTGAACTTCCCCTCCCCTTCCACTCACCATCTCTCTAAATCTCCCATCTCCATCCCACAATTAAGATGTTTGCCAACAGTCTCTTCTCCTGGTTCTCCTTCAAGGAGTCCATTCCAACCTCCACCAGCGATGCCACAACAGGCACCGAGAACCACCAGCCCGTCAGCCCAAAGGCCCCCTCCACCGACCCCATGGTAACCGAGCAGCCTGTATGCCATACAAGACACAACTCCCCTTCACAAAACCCCAGACTAATATCCTCCCAGAACTCCCAGGAGAACATGCTGAAGCTGGAGCTGCGTGGTGGCGGCACTGGCGATGTCTGCTGCGGCCTGTAAGCCAAATGCGTCCGGACCACAAACTTACCAAGCCAAACTGACAATCATCTAGTTGCGCCGGTCTTCTCTGCTTCGAATGCTGTGAATGCTGCGAGTGTTGCTGCTAGTTGCGTGGTCGTTCTAGCACGCTATCGGCTTGATCCCCTCGATATACTCGATACCTTGCTCTTGCTCGATGGTTTTGCGTATTTGCCTCGTCCGGTGATTGATTCCTTGGGACGGGGGATATCGAGGGTGGGGACTAGCCGGGCTCGATGGGTAATATTGCTCTACTTTATATGCTTTTCTATGCTCTATATGCCTATTTAGCCATTATGACTCTTGTTCTCGACAATTTGCCGGAGCCTTTGCGTGAAGATGGAGTCCGGACTCAACTTTTACATATTTATTTTCCATTTTCTAGCTGAGCAAATTGAAATCCAGTCTCGTTTCTGATCTTGTTTTCCGTAGTACCTGTACTGTCATTGTTGATTCATATAGTTGAGTCCCAGAGGCTGCATACTAGCTCTACTCCAGGCAAGAAGTTTGATCAAGGTGATTTGTGCTATGAAACTATGTAAAAGTGGAGATTCCCCTTCTATCCTTCCTTGATATCAGTAAAATTCAATCCGTAGAACCGTAGCAGCTAGTCTTGAAGCTCACCCTCCAAGAATAACCCCTAGATACCATCCTCAAAGCTCATCCTCAAAATCCCACCCCTGTTCTCAATCCCAAACCTCGCCTCAAGGGTCCTCCTTGTCATTTTCTTCGTGTGCATCGGAAAAGACAAGACCCTCCCAATCACTCACTAGGGATTCCATGGTAGGGGAAACGGCCCCTGCGTTGGAAGATACAGCTGCTGCGTTTGAAGCAACGTCATCTGCATCCAAAGAGATGGCCACTGCGTTCAAAGAGACATCATCTGCACTCAGAGATGCGGCGTCTGCATCCGAAGCCCCGGTAGTATTGTTCTCGGGCTGGCTACTCACATCGAAATCGATCTCGCCCAGCTCCGTTTCATCATCCCCAATCATCCGCGAGATATCGGCAAAGCCACGAGTAACTTCACTGAGCTCCTGTTCAATCTGGCCAGTGGTCACACGGAAAGCACACTTGGAGTATCGAGCCTCCATGTGAGCGACGAGCGCGGCAAGAGTCTTGAATCGTTTGAAGCATCGAGGGCAACTATAAAAAAGATCGTTAGTGAGAATTGCTTCACAAGATAAACGGATAGAAACGAAGATACTTACTCGCTGATTGTTTCATCCTCCATCGTGAGATGATACTCAAAGGTGGCGAGGTACAAGAAAGACGCACCACAGTTGCAGTAGTAGCGACTTTTCTCATGATTCCAGAAGCTCTCAGGGTCCACACCTTGAATCTTGCGGTGAGCTGTAGCTCGGCCACGAGTGGATCTAGTATGGTGAGAAGGGCCTGCTTCTTGAACAGCCAGAGTAGATCCAGCCTCGCTCGACTGGTTAGTAGCTCCGCGAGGAGACGGGGAAGGACTGTCGTAACTCAAAAGATCATCGAGGCGGGCACCTCCGGACGATTCAGTGGAGCTACTTCCTTCTTTGCCTTTGACTGGAGTCGCTGGAGTGCCCAGCTCGGGCCAATCATCAAGAGAAAAGCTTGCATAGTTAGTGTCGCGAGCAGGGCGCTTTCCTTCCATACGAGGCGTAGAGAAATCCAGCGGAACGCCACCATCCGTGTCCTGGTCCTCGCTAGAGGCTTCAGAGGGTGGATACTGTGGTCCAGGCGAATGTCGACCCATGGACAGAATTGCTGCTGCGCTGGGAAGGTCCTGGCTAGTGGCATCGCGGGTTTTCTCTGGCAGCATAAGGACGGGGCATCCCTTGTCTTCGATATGCTTGATGACTGCAGAAGCGGAGTTGTACGTGCAACCGCATCCCATGCATGCGACTTCACGTCCTTCCTGGTGATTCTGGAAAAGATGAGTTTGTTAGTACTGTTTTTTTGTTTCTTTGGAGGTTGCCATAAAGGATGGCGACTCACGTTTCTCATATGGACTTCCAGACCAGCCTCACTGCGGAGCTCAAGACAGCATTCGGGGCAAGCAAAGTGGCGGTCGCTCATAATCTTGTGCAGATGGAGGGCCTGCTGAGACTGGAAGTCGAGGTCACATTTCATGCAGTAAGAGTGTCTGTCTGCATTCGCCTTGTGGTATTGCATCTCGCCGGCAGACTTGAAGCTAAGTCTGCAGCCCTGGAAGGTACAAGACACCTCCTCTGGTTCTTCGGCCATTGTAAAGAACCTTTAAGGTGATGAAGTGAGATAGATAGGATATGAAGATAGTTGGAGAAGGAAAGAAATGTGAAAGAACCAGAATACTAGAAGAGCGATGAAAGGGGAAAAGCAAGAAGGTGATAGACGGAATCTTAACGCGTTGGGAGGCAAACGAAACATTGATTTCTCTTTGACAAAGTGGGATTCTTTCGTGGAAGCATATGCGGAAGAGCCTTGGAGGTCATGGTGTTCTGATATTGGGCAATATAGTGGGAAAAAGGTAGGAAACCCCAAAAAAGTGCATTGAATTTATTGACGAGGCCGGGAATCGATCCTATGACTTTGAGAATTCAGCCAGCTCTCACCGTAGTCGTGCCTTCCTAAAATGGGTGTCTGAATACCCTCATTTTTGACTTGATATGCATGTACCCGAGAGTTGAAATGGCTGCCAACCACCACTTTTCTATGTTTAGATGCTCTCAAAAGTTAGCCTATATACAGCTCAGCTTATGTAGATGCTATGTACTAAATTTGAAACTCCTATCCAACTAGGAAGGCAGATAAATCGGAGGTCTAAGATCCCAAGTGACTTGGTCCTTAAGTTTTTGTCCTATGTAAAGAAGACAAAGACTAATATTACAACCAGCCCCCCCCAGTGGCCCAGCGGTAGTATGGCCGGGTCGTCCCTTGCGAGGGACGTTCTCAACGGGCGTTACGTTCCCAACGGACGTTTCGCCTTAACGGGTACTGCTTAGCTCCCCACTGTCGGTTCGGACTCCTATATGCTAAAGCTCTCCCGAAGACTGCAAGCAGTGTGCTAGGCAAACCCCCCGCGGGAATGGACATGGCACTCCGTCCACCGTTACTTAGGGGGGAGGTCGTAGTTAGTACGGTCAGTGGAGGCATATAGGGGAAAGGCCGGAGGAGAGGACCATGGACCATTGCACTTTGTACTTTGGACATACCCTCCTGAGGTCTAGGAACGGTCTAGATTAATGGGGACTTTTTTTTGATGTTGATCCTCCCATACCTTATTCCTTCCTTTTTTTCTTGTTCTTCCTTCTTTCCTATCTCAATGCTCGTTTGCCTTTTTGAGGTCGAACTAACATAACACTGTCTGAACGCTTCCTACTAACTCCTAAGTAACTCTACACACATGAACTCTGAACACAGGCTTCTACATATACATCAATGAGCTGTCTCAGATGGATTTACTTGGTCCCCTGAAGTCAGATATATCTAAATTCTTGATAGAATGGTGACTATCGTTTTTCTACCATCCTGCACTTCTCTCACTGATGGTATAGAAAAGTAAGAACTTGGAGGAGTAACCTGTTGGGAGTCATAAAAACCATGTGAATACAATAGCTCCTAGGAACACCTTCAGCCTAGAACCGAGAGAAGGGCAACCTATTCATTCGTCAGATGATGTTCACACACATAGAGAAGACACTCTTACCATTTTCCACGAAGAGTAATAACAGCCCAGTCATTACCATCCTCATCAACCTCCTTCTCAACCTTCGTCGAGAACGAGATAGCACTCATAATCCCATCTCCAAATTTCTCATTGAGAACCGCTTTGTAGGCATAACCATAATTCTGCACAATCTCATACAGTCGGTAGATGAGGGGCTCCTTGGGCGGCATTTCGACGGAGTGACCGCGATCGGGGAAGCCGCTGAGGTGATCCTCCAAAGCCTGCTGGGGGATGAAAAGCAGATCGGCCAGCTTTTCGATGTCTTCGGGCGATGCCTTGGCCTGTCCGTAGAATATGGCAGCTGCGGCTACTTCATTGCGACCGAGGTGCTCGCCAATTTCCTCGAAGCTCAGCTTGTGGGCTGCCTTGGCTTTGAAGAGAATTGTGGATACGGCGGGGAGATTGGAGTGCTCTGTGGTCTGGATTGAGGTCAGCGGGGTTGCGGGTTGACAATGGGCATTCTCACATGTAGGGTTGCGAGAGACATGATGGATTGATTTAGGTAAATGATCTTCAATTGCTGAATGACTGATTTTTGCTTGGCAATCGAGGATGATGTTATGAGACAGATGTACTGCGGGGAAACTGGCAATGTCTAACTATGGTTCATTCAAGGTTGTACAATCAAGCCTTTTCCGTCTTTTTCCGTCTACCTAGCAAAATTTACATCTACGAAATACATCTTGTGTGATGAATAGTCACTTTTCACCTATATTCTCATAGATCTGAAAGAATTGAAGCTGAATCATACGTGTTACCTCATTTGTATGTGTAACTTTGATGTTACAAGTATATGACAGCACAAGGAAGTGGGGCTATGTGGGGACCTGAAGATTGCCTAAACAAGTTAGTACAAGCATTAAAATAAATCGTGGGACCGGATAAGCTATTTATCCGTGGAAACCCCTAATGGAACATACAACAGTTAAAACAGTTAATCCTGGAACCTAACAACAATAGGTACGTTATACTAGTTAGACAAGCCAAAAACTCCACTATCACGGTGGCAGTGCCAGGCATCCACTCTGAAAAAGACCCTAGGAAATGACAAGTTCCCTTTTCAACGCCCAGACCATGCTGGCCGGGCCAATCACGTTAAGGCGAGATGTCACTCATAGATAAGCGGGGAATACGTATATAGTGAAGTCAAATAGAGGGAAGATGAAATCAATTTAGAGCTGTGTCACTTTGGGGTATTTTCAATTCCTTTCCAAGACATACAGGGAGATTACAATTGCCAACATGCGACTGCCTACAAGGCCCGAAGTCGTGATTTTGCTAGGTCGGTCAGGTCCCGATGCTTAGCCATTTTGGTATTGCTTCACATGTTATCTAACAGAATCACTGGCTCTTAACAGGCCATTTATTTCACTCTATTGCCCTTGCGTCTGCCGTGTCCGACTCGACTACTACGAGCATTTTCAATCTGCCTCTTAGCCAGAACCAGGCCAATTTCATTTTTGCTATCAACATCCCCGATGGCTCCACCGATCTCTACTTCCACATGTCTGGGCCGACGGACTATTCATGGATTGCGGTCGGGACTGGAAATGAAATGAAAGACTCTCTCATGTTTGTGATCTACTCCAAGGCCAATGGGGAAAGTGAGTTGACGTGACCCAAATACCTCTGAGAAGACAATCCTGACGCGCCTGTTTAGATATTACCTTCAGCCCTCGTCTCTCCTCCGGTGAACAAGAACCTGTGTATTCATCTTCGATCAAGGTGGACATTCTCAATGGTACAGGTATCTCCGATAACGTCATGACCGTGAATGCTAGGTGCTCAAACTGCACCCAGTGGGAGACTGGATCATTGGATTTGAAATCCACGTCTCAGCCGTGGATTTTTGGGCTAGGTCCAACTGGTAGTTCGGCTGCCATGCTACGCAGTAACTCTCAAACGGCAAACATAGAGAGACACTCAGAATATGGTTCGTGATATCTTACTTGAACGGTATTTACTCGGGCTCCTGGACACTAATTTGTTTTGACATCCTAGGCATCTTCACTATGGATATGGTCCGCGCAACCGGCGGTTCGGGTGGACTACCAACGTCGTATACAAACTCAACTGGCTCGGTGCTGAGCAAATCAATTACAAACGACAGCAACTGGCCTAGCATCATTCACGGTCTGTGCCTTTGTGGAGCTCTCATCCTTCTGATGCCAGCCGGCGTCGTTCTCCTCCGTGTTGCTCCGAAAAGTGTCCGGTGGCACTGGATCAACCAGACACTTTCTTCAGCAATTGCGATCGTCGGCATAATAATCGGCTTTTACCTAAGCACGATGTTCACAAAATCGCAAAACTACGGCTCCGCGCACCAGATCCTTGGTATTATCCTTCTGCTTGCAATGCTAGCTCAGTGGGGAATGGGATTTTGGCATCACCGGGTATATAAACAGACTAAGTCACCTACCAGGTTTGGCATTATCCATCGCTACTTTGGACATATCATCATCTTCCTCGCGATCGTCAACGGAGGCATCGGACTTACTTGGTCATCTGCGTCCAAGTCCGTTGTAATAGGATATTCCATCGCTGTGATCATTATTGGGCTTGGGCTTGTGCTTATCATTGGTTGGGCAAGGTGGATATCCAGACATGGCCAACAGGGTTTTACAAGTGCGCCTGTCAATCTCCGAGGACTTAGTGGTGATGATTCCCACGATTACCTTGATCAGCACTCGGACATACTACCTTATAACCCTTACGGGCGACTGTGAGATTTGCTTAGCGGAGAGCATTGGATTGCGGCTGTATTGGTAGTCCACATTTTGGTGCTGGTGAAGATTTTATAAATACATAGCATCAATTAGTCTGGAATGTCCCATTATCGCTAACGGCGCACGCCAATTACCTCTAGTTAAATCTCCTTTGTAGTAGATAGCCCCCTCTTTCTCTCTGGTCTATATACGATTACCTAGAATATCATCCACACTTTCTCTTTGTATCTCCATTCTGTAGGTTTTGTAGATTCTCCAAGCATCCATGTCTGTGATTGTTCCTCCCACTCTTCAGCGTTAACGGAACTGTGGCATCTGTCCATTAAGTATTCGAGCCCTGATAAACTGGGGGGTGAATAGCTTTGTGCAAAAAGTACAAGGCAATGCTTCTATCTCAAAGGCTTCTAATAAATGTGTTTGGTTGGGCTAATTTTACAGACACAAAGCATGGAAGCACATGAAAGACCAACAGTATCCAGTGAGGGGCCCAAAGAAAATCATCTGGTAAAGAGGACAATGTAGTAGTTCTTCTCCTTTACTTCCCTGATTTAGATACTGAACAATGAATTATCTTTCTTTCATATTCAAAGTAGTCTTGAAAATTGAAACGGCTGGATTTTCACCCGGCTAGGTTACTCTATTAAGTGAGTTACACTAGGTACATGTATCTACCTATTCTAGTAATTGCTTGGCATTTGAAGGCTGATTGGCGTTGTTAGCATGATGGAGCCCTACAAGGCATAATACGTGTGCCATGGCACCACGATTTCTGTGACTGGCCGGTGCGCAGTCTGGTGATGCAATGGACTTTGTATGTTGTAGGTAGAGGTACTTTTTAATTCTTCTCGACTACTCCGTATGTACTCCGTACATTGTAGATCAATATGATTATCCAATAGAATCATGGAATAATATAGTGGATCACCGTGTCCGTAATTAGTTCCGCCTGACTCCTATGGGTCCGATTATTGATCATTCAAGTAATTCCCCCGGCTGACAGGTTGATCAATGATCACGGCACGTTTTTCCTCCGATTTAGGCAGTTCAATAGATGTTTGACACGATCGGCTTTCTATTATGGGTTAGTTGCAACAATTACGCCCGACATATATAAGTCGCGGTCCAGGATATCAATGCATCTTCGATTCTAAATCTCCTCCGATCATCAATCATGAACCAAAAACCCTTCAAAGTCGTCATTGTGGGTGGTAGCATTGCCGGGCTTTCGCTGGCCCTAATGCTAGAGAGGAATGGCATCGATTTTGTCATCCTTGAAGCGTACGGCAGCATTGCACCCCAGGTCGGGGCCAGTTTTGGAGTTTTGCCAAACGGCTTTCGCATTCTCGATCAGCTGGGTTGTTACGAGTCGGTTATGAAGATGGCAGAATACCCTGTCGACACACTCCGCTTCCGTGATTCGCAGGGACAGCAATTCTGGACATTCAATAACCTTGACGAGGTTTCAATCGGAAGGTTTGTCTCTCATATGCCGATATTGAACAGCATCAACTCACATCACTTCCAGTCATGGTTATCCGATCGTCTTCCTCGATCGACGAATGTTGATAGAAATCCTCTACAAAAAGATCCAAGATAAATCCAAAGTGCTCACCTCTCAGCGGGTTCAAAGTATTGAGAATGGTACTTCGAGTGTCACGGTGACCACAACGACTGGTCAGACCTACACCGGGAATATCGTGGTCGGAGCAGACGGAATCCATTCCAAAGTGCGCCAAGAAATGTGGAAAGCGGCCGAAAAGATAGATCCCACATGGTTTGATCCCACAGAGGAATCTAGTATGAAAATCAAAACATAAGCGCTTGAGAAGTGTTAACTAACTATTGTGAAAGATCTGCCTGCAACTTACGCATGCATCTTCGGCATTTCCAAAGGAGTGAAGGGAATCGAGAAAGGCACGCTGAACTCGGTGTTCAATGAGCATTTCTCGTATCTTGTTCCCAGCGGACCCGGAGATCTCACCTACTGGTTTCTCGTGCGGAACATGGGCAAAACGTACTATGGCGCAGATATCCCTCGATTCACCAAGGAAGAGGAGGAGGCAGTCGCAACGGAACATTTCGACGACCAGATTACTCCCACGCTGCAATTTTCCGCTCTGTATAAGAGCAAAATCGCCTCGGCATACAGCAGTCTGCCAGAATAAGTCTATAAAAGATGGCATTTCCAGAGAACTATGACTATCGGCGATGCCAGTCACAAGGTGAGACTACCTATCTCCGAAAATATCATACGAAGACTAACAATATCCCCGTCCAATAGTTTGAGCCGTTGACAGGCCAGGGAGGCAATAATGCAATGGAAACCGCCGCGTCCCTGACCAATCATCTCGTTGCGGCCTTGAAAAACAGCCAGTCAGGCACCCTGTCATCAGCAGAAATTTCCAAAATCTTTGAGGGCGTTCAACAGCAGCGTGAAAAACGTGCATGGGGATTGATCAAAGTATCCCATGCCCGGCAACGTCTGGAGTGCCTGGAAACGCCCTTTTTGAAGTTCATAGCAAGATACGTGGTGCCACGCTTCTCCAAATCCACTGTCCTCAGCAAATGGATCGACACGTATTCTCCCGCAGTGTCCTTGGACATGCTTCCACTGCCGCACAGGCCTCGAGAAATTGCATATTTCGACGAGCGTTCTAGAACACCGTCATCTCGGGGTGTGGTGAGCATCTTGTTGTACGCTGCATACTTCCTCCTAGCCTGGTTAGGCCATCGTCAATTGTCGGCAGCAATCAGAGCAAATGGAACAATGGGGTTCGTCCGCCAGTCAATCCAGAACCAGTCGGTTCAACTCCCGGGAGGAATCGAAGCTCCCCTTCGCCAGGTGTACACAGGAATCCGACCTGTTGACCTCATTTTGAAAGTCATGGTGGCTATATTCCTGCCAGCGGTCTCCAACTTCTCAAAGCCGGAGCAGCCATTCCAAGTTCTGTACTTCCTAGGCTCGATGATGCCGATTATCGCTATCTGGACGGTTGAAGGTTTCCGACCAAGGAACAAATGGACCCTTCTTGCCATTCCGAGCCTGTGGGCGGTTCTATACCAGTTGCGAGGGATAGGGTTGATTGCACCGCTCTTCTTCATATCAAGCACATATGTTTCTTCGGGGATAGCATACTTTTCCCCAAGTACCCGCACACTTCCCGAATCCACCGCTCGAGCGATACTGCCAGCATTGATTTTGGGATTCGTCGTGCCTACCATGATGCTGTTCTTCCCATTGGCTGATGCCCCGAACACGCGACAGGTCTTCATTGTGCTGTGGCAGCCTGCTCCGGTATACGTGCTTATCTTGACTCACATATTCTCCCGCGTCATCAAATCGATCAGTTCAAGCACACCGGCCAAGACCGATAGCTCCGCAGCGGAGAGCAAACCAAACCGTGACATCCCACTCTTGCAAACCCTCTACGCTGTGGCCGGTGGTGTATCTGCTTGTTTCCATGTGGCCTTGTTGCTGAGCTGGGCTGCTTTGGGGACAGGTTTTATTACAAGGGCCTTCATCCCATCCGATGCCTTCGCACAGGTGGCAACACTTGCGGACGGTGTCTTCGTGTTTTTCCAGAACGATTTCCTCCTTGTTTCGGCGGCAACTCTCCTGTGGTGTCTGGCTAGCGTGTGGGATCTGTACCGCATTGGAGTGTCTAATGTCTCCTGGCAAGTGGCACTGGCTGGTTTGATTCTAGGTTCCGTGGCAATTGGACCGGGTGCGACTGTGGCGGCTGTATGGTATTGGCGGGAGGAGGTCATGAGTCGGACATCTTTTCGCCGGCATGGTCTGGGGCTCTAGCTCAATCTAGAGTACTTGGTGGTGCAATTTTGGCGTCGAATGGCCATATAATCAACGGAAGAAGTCGCAGCAACTCGCAAGACTTGGACGAAACAAGGGTAAGTAGATGGTTACAAACAGATTGTGTCTGATTTATTGCGTGTATAAAGTAAATAGGAAATTGTGATACTCCGCAGGTTCAAATAAATTAATGCACACATGCCTACCCTGTCGAGCCAGTAAATCCAACTGAGATCCACCTCACATTGTGGGATACTACCCTCTCGACATCAGACCGGCGAAAGCCAGCCACACAGCCCAGAGCGACTGGAAGCTGGCTCAATCCTGGCTATGTTAGCTTTTATTATATTCACCGAGATTAACAACAATAGTGTAACCGTACTGTTGATCAATTTATACTCGTCGATGACCATCATCACACCGCCAGGTAATTCGCCTTGAGGGATTTCTAGGTCCGAAGGCCTGGCATCTGGACTAAACGGATACGATATTGTAAGGGCGGAAGGAAATTCGCCTGCAATAATGCCTTTGTTGAGCAGGTATCTCTCAACATCATGCACATCAAACCAGTCTTCATCGGCAGGAACATGAGACACGCCATTTGCTGTTCGGAAGAGGGCGAAGCTATCTGAAAAGGAGTCACTGGAAGGTTGTAAAAAGTGGGTTCCTGCACCACCGAGGCTGACATATGGGAATCGGCCATCGACGATAGGATTGCACGGTTCCATGTCTATGACACGTCCGAAATAACGTTGGATCTCTGCTCGTGGCATTCTTTGTAGCAGTAGTCCGAACTCCCACATATCTTCATCTTTATATGAGAGATTCGACAGAAATCGATGGCCACTTTCAGCGCAAGCGCGGAAAAGCCGTTGGGTGAAGGGCGTGGTTGCATATTGAATGGTATGTGTTTCGGCAATAGATGGTGCGACAGGAATTGAAACCAAGTTATTCGATTGGTTATCCAGGTTCTGGGTATTAGTCGACGGAATTATGCCAGCAGACGAGCCCAAAAATAATTTCCAGAAGTCAGACCCCGAAGTGTGATCTTTTAATCTGCCGGCTGACACCTCGGACGCGACCAGCGCGTGGGGTTGCTCATTAACAGCCTGGGATAATTCTGAGGGTTGGTCCTCTGTAGACTCTTGAAAGTGAATATCGGCACGCTTGAAATGGGACATTATATCATCCCGCAGCAACTGGACTGTCTGGAGAAGTTGAGGCTGAGACCATTGCGATCCATGCTGGATGAGTTGATTATCGAATGCATGTACCGTCTGACTCAGCTGATTAAGCACATCTTCCAGCTGCTCTACGCGAGCTTTTAGTGAAGAGAGCTGGGACTGTTGGCGAGATCGGTATGCCTGCTGCGCTTCACGGACCTGGGCGCGTCGTATCTGTGCCAGAGGTGAGACCGAGTTCTGATCTCCACTCGCCGGGAAGGGGCCTCACGGATTTTGCATCTTCGGCTGGCTTTCGGGGTCGCCCAAGAGAGGTTCGTTTTACTTGGCCTGTGGGCATTGCAGTACTCCGTACTCCGTACCATTGAGGGTATGAAGGTTCATAGTGGACCTCGGGGGGTTCCTGGATATCCGAATGCCAAGCCCGCATTCCCAAAAGCAGAAGTACACTTGGCTTCATGTTTGAACCTGAAACTCATTCTTGTTTGATATAGGGCTTTTCCTTGTTTCAGAATATAGCTTCTTGTTTTCTTTGTCTTTTTTTGCCGTCAAATAGCTTATTATTCGGAGGGAAAGGTGTGTGACATATCTACATATCCTCGGTTGTACTCGGATAAGTGCCATGTAGTAAGTAAGTATACATCTAACAGTCTCACTTATTCTATTGCCTATATATAGGAATACAGCAATATCCCAACTTGGAAAGATAATCGTGCCATCTCATGAGTACGTACAAGTACACCGCCACATCCAACACGTTCCCATCGTGGCTGGGCTGGGTAGCGGGGCCTTCATACGATTTAAAACAGTCGCACCCCGCTCCGCAGGCATCCTAGTTTCTTGACTCTTCTGAATTTCTTTCTGTTTGTTCAACGATCTTTATTTTATCGCATCTACAAACTACTTTGAGCCGTCAAAATGTCCAACCAGGATGATCTGGCCTATGGTGGCTACTACCAGGGCTCGGAACGTGGGTCCGGAGACGGTTCCCGCGGTCTAGGCGATACGTTCAAGAAGTTCCGCGACACCTACAAGAGCCACGGATCCTCCGGCCCAGGTAACCAGGGTTATCAAGGCGTAGGCTTCACCCTCCTCCACCTTTTACATTAACTAACCGTTTCTCTACAGCAGAGCCAGACCGAACCGCAATACGGATATGATCAGAGCCAAAGCACAAGTGGACAGCAACAAAACCCTAACTACTATGGGAAACCTCAAAAGGAAGACAAACTGTCCGGTTTCTTGGAGAAACTTCAAGGTACTGTGACCGAGCTTGGTTCTGAATTTGCCCAGAAGATCGGTACCACCATCGATCCACAGGCGTATGCCCAGTATGGTCCCAGCAATACCAACACAGAGCATCGATTTGATAGCTTCGCCCCTGTCCGGGAACATAACGATGCCAAGTGGTATGTGGATGGATGCGGTTATTTCTGGGCTGTCTCGCGGGCTCTGGAAAACGCCCGAGAGTCGATTTGGATTCTGGACTGTGAGTTTCAATCTTCCCCGGATTTACATTGCATGCGGCTAACTTAATGTAGGGTGGTTATCTCCCGAACTTTATCTGAGAAGGCCACCGGCGAAGAATGAACAGTACCGATTGGATCGCATGCTGCAGGCTGCAGCCCAGCGGGGCGTGCGCGTCAATGTCATCGTTTACAAGGAGGTTACGCAGGCGCTCACTCGTATGTCCATGATTCTTGAACATTGAAAAGAATCCAACTAACAGTCCCTACAGTGTCTTCTTCTCACACAAAACATGCCCTAGAAGATTTGCACCCCAATATCTCTGTCTTCCGTCACCCTGACCACCTGCCTGACCGCCAGGAGATGACAGCTGACATCGAGTCGACCTTGCAGAACCTGTCACTCGACTCGAAAAGTTTGAGTAAGATGTCAAAGGACACATTGAAGGGACTGTACGGAATGCGCGATGATGTCATTCTGTACTGGGCTCATCACGAGAAGCTTTGCCTGATCGATGGTCAAATTGCATTCATGGGTGGCTTGGACTTGTGCTTCGGTCGCTGGGACACAAACCAACATAACCTCTCGGATCTACATCCCTCGGATGTCAACCAGACTGTGTTCCCTGGGCAGGACTACAACAATTCTCGCGTCCTTGATTTCGAAGATGTTGTCCATTGGGAGAATAACCAGTTGGACAGAAAGACCATGTCTCGGATGGGATGGTCTGATATATCCGTGAGCCTGCACGGTGCAGCCGTGGAAGATTTGCGACGTCACTTTGTGGAGCGATGGAATTTCATCTATGATTTGAAATACAAGATTCGCAATGAATCTAGATACACGAGACTGGCACTCCATGGAAGGCCCGCTTACTCGACTGGCCAACAGCAGGCTGCTTCTCCACAGCCCAACTTGTACCCCTCGGGACAGGCGAGCCCACAAAGCCAGCAACCTGCGCCATCCTGGCAGCAGAAGCCCAGTGGAGTCGCATCAGCATCTACCTACCCACCGCCACCAGGTCAGACGTCGTCGAGTTCTTATCAAGAGCCACAGTCGCACTCGCAATCCCACTCGCAATCCCAGTCTCAGCCTCAGTCCACCTCGTACCCCTCGGGACAGGCGAGCACACAAGGCCAGTCAACTGTGCCATCCTGGCAGCAGAAGCCCAGCGAAGTCGCATCATCATCTACATACCCGCCGCCACCAGGTCAAACGTCGTCAGCTTCGTATCAGGAGCCGCACTCGCAATCTCAGACCCAGCCTCAGTCCAACGTGTACCCCTCGGGGCAGACGAGCACGCAGGGTCAGTCAACTGTGCCGTCCTGGCAAGAGAAGCCCAGTGGAGTCGCATCACCTACCTACCCGCCGCCACCGGGTCAGACTTCGTCGAGTTCGTATCAGGAGTCGCACTCGCAATCTCAACCCCAGCCTCAGCATCAAGAACCTGCCGGCATATATCAGCCTCACACCAGTGCTAGCACTTCAGGTTATGCGCCATCGCCGACTCAGATCTCCTCAAACCAGCATCAATATCAGCAGCAGAACACGTCTCCCTCGTACCAAGCTGAGAATGCTTCAACCTACCACCCAGTGCCAAGCCAAACCCCTCTGGGCTATCAACCGCAATCCGCTCAGTCCCAGGGTCATGACGCAAGCCAGTACAGCTACACTGGGAACTCATTCCCCCCTCCTCCGCCTGGTCCACCACCAGCGCAATCCAGTGCCGACGCCTCGTATCAGCCCTATCATGGCCAGCAACAGGAGCAGACGCCCTATTACCCACCCCCACCAGGCCAGGAAGCCTCCCACTCCAACACCCGTGGAATTGATGACTACCACCAGTACGAAGGTGATCGTGATCGAGGCTTCGCGCCTCGTCGGCTGCGAGAGGATCTGACCCAATACGGCACCTCCCTTCGTGGTCAGCTCGCCGGACAAATTCACCAATACCAGGATCGACTGGTCACATATGGCCGCCCTTCCTCGTCGCAAGGCCGAGGGGGTATGTCATGCCAGATTGTTCGCAGCTGTGCGAAATGGAGCAATGGCACCCAGATTGAGCATTCAATTGCCGACGCATATTGCGCCATCATCCGAAACAGTGAGCACTTTGTCTACATCGAGAACCAGTTCTTCATCACTGCGACCGGTAATTCGCAGCATCCAGTAAAAAATCAGATCGGTGCCGCAATTGTGGAGAGAATTCTACGTGCTGCCCGTGCTGGTCAGAAATATAAGATTGTCGTGGTCATCCCGTCTGTTCCCTGCTTTGCCGGTGATTTGCGAGATGATGCTACTCTCGGAACACGTGCGATTATGGAGTTCCAGTACAACTCCATCAACCGCGGAGGTCACAGTATCATGGAGTTGATTGCCAAGGAAGGATTTAACCCCATGGAGTATATCCGTTTCTACAACCTTCGCAATTACGATCGGATTAACAACGGTGGTATCATGGCTGCAGCTGAACAGCAGAGTGGCGTCAAATACGAGGATGCCCGCAGGGAGTACGATTTGAACACTGCAGGCCCTGGTGGATATGCCCCGAGCACTACCCGTAGTGCTTTCGATACTACCGCACCCTTTGAGAAGTACCAGCAGGCTGCACGCCAGGTACAGGGCGGTCATGCTTCCTCGGGCCGGTGGGACAGTGTGAGCGAATGTTATATGCTCAACGGAGAGGATATTCGTAAAGTGCCGTGGGATGGCCATCCCGATGCCGAGATTAATGCGTTTGTGAGCGAAGAGCTTTACGTTCACTCAAAGGTTCGTTTCCCGCCAAATTCGACGATGATTTAAATTCTAACCAAAGCACTAGGTGATGATCGCCGACGATCGTGTAGTTGTTTGCGGATCCGCAAATCTGAACGACCGTTCTCAGTTGGGTGATCACGACTCTGAGATCGCAGTCATCATCGAGGATTTCACACCTGTGGCATCTACCATGGATGGTAAGCCATGGACTGCCAGTCGTTTTGCTTCATCTCTCCGCCGCCAGTTGTTCCGGAAGCACCTGGGACTTTTGCCGCCGCAAGACTATGAACGACCGGACGCGAACTTCGAGCCCGTGGGGGTTCCCAACAACTTCGACTTTGACTGCCCTGAGAGCAAGATCGTTGCTGATCCGCTTGCCGACACTGCTCAAAGCCTTTGGAACTCACGGGCGCACACAAACACCGAAGTCTTCCGGAAGGTATTCCACGCGGTTCCGGACGACACAATCCGCAACTGGACAGAGTACAAGGAGTTCTACGAGTACTATTTCCACAAGACCGAGGTAAGCCCTGAAGGCAAGGAAGGATCTGCACGTCCAGCGCGATTCCAATGGGGCCACGTTGTGAGCGATGACTTTGCGCCTGGCGCAGAGGGGGCGAAACAGGTCAAAGAGCTGCTTAGCCAAGTCAAGGGTACTCTCGTTGAGATGCCTTTGATGTTCTTGATCGAGGAAGACGTCGCCAAGTCGGGATTGACTCTCAATGACGTGACCGAGCCGCTTTACACCTAAGGGGAGATTGCATTTGCCAATTTGGGACTGTTATCATTGCTTATATCATTTATTCTCGAATTGGGACATTTCCATTAGCTAAATTGTTTAGCCCAAGCGAAGTCTAACTTCCTCTTTATTTTGGTAGCGATGTGCTCTTTGATGTTTCTGAGTGAAAATGATATCGATACTCAACACCGTGCAATATGATCTCAAATTTGTCTGATGCCAAGGCCCATGATATTGTTCCTGAGGAACAATCGTAAGAGAAATGTGATTGTGGCGATTGGTCAACCTAAGCTTTCTTTGTTCACGATGCCATCCTCATTGGGCGAAATCAAACACATACTCCGAAATGTTCTTTGTTACTTGAGACCCCGGCTTAATATTGTTCTTACCCCATGAAAGACTGTTGAATGTGCTAACTACACGTGCCTGGAACAGGGGTCCCTCGGCCATCTCTGTGGCGTTCCTTCATGAAAGACACGTCTCGGAGGATAAGTGATGCGGTCCATGTCAACGTCCCTCGATAGATGCACTGACTGTCTATCAAAACAAAGAGCCAATTCCAGAGGCAACGACGCCTACATTCATGAACCCGAGAACAATATCAACCAGCCCCGCAATGGGCATCCACTACAATCGGAACCTCATGCATTCTAGATTGACTCTATGCCTTCGACAATCCATAGATGCCCAATGCATTCAAGTCAGCAACTCAATGTGACTCTTGCATTAACTTCCACTCCTTGAGTAGGATCTCGATTATATTGATAGTCCGAAAAATAGTCCCTCGTCGAGTATAAGTATCATCTTCTACACCCAGTTTCAATGATTTCCTCCACCACCCGCCCACATTCTCATTCAAACAACCTACAATCTTTTCAATCTTCAGCTTCTTAAGCTCTTCTCGATCTTCGAAAATGTCTCGTGCTCAGGTCCAGAAGCGATGTGAGTAGCTTGCCTCCAAAGCATGCAATGCTTCGTCATCTCTTTTATACATTCATATACTGACATGTCATCTCAATAGCCCCCGGCGGTGGCTGCGTCGTCATGAAGTCCCCCGGTGGTGGCTGTGTCGTCATGAAGTCTCCCATTCCCAACGGCTGCGTGGTCACTAGAACCCCCGGAGCCGGCTGCGACATCATGAAGCGGTCTCCTGGCGGTGGCTGCGTCGTCATGAAGTCCCCCGGTGGCGGCTGCGTCGTCATGAACCGTGAGTACCATTTGTTTCCCCAATAATGACTTATATACTGACATGTCTTCGTGAATAGCCGCTGACTTCTAAACACCCTCCATGAGAGCGCCCAATTCCAACATTCCATCAACCGCCATGGCCTGACTTGGTTCGTTTGTCACCATGGTAGACATTGAAATGCATCATTTTTTTTTTCGCAATCTTCGCCGCGGACTCTTGAGACTCCTTTCGACTTTTCAACCAAAAATATCAACCCCTCGAAACATGACCTCTCAGCTTTGCTTTTGCTTTTGTGAAGACTCTTTGTGAGTCTATCTGTCCAGTTCATTCTTTCTTCGACGAGACAGCTCATTTCTTTCGATGGTCTTCACGACTGCCGACTCCGATTTGTTGTGCTCTTTCGAACCTTTCGTGGACGATTCGGGTGACAACGTTTCTTTTAAAAAGGAACTTCTTTTCCGTTCCTTCAACTATATCCGGGGATTCACATTACATATTTTTTTAAAGTCGGTTGATTGTGTTTCTCTTTTGCAATGTGGTGCGGATTCGTTTCTTGTTTCGGGGGTGGCTTGGGTGGATAAGGCTTTATTTCTTAGTTAGAATCGGTCATGATAGTTGACAGGAATGGATCATTGCCTCAAGGAATCTTCTTCCTTAGATATTTCTTGTAGCTCAACTGTATCGAGAGGAAAAGGTCTACAGGGGGCAAGCCTCGTGCTTCCTTATGTTGGACCGAATCATCAGCTACGTAATACTCTGATTAAATTTAGATACAAGGTGACGAAAGCGTTCATTCGTAGAAACATCATATCTACTAAATTCTGTACAAGGAACCTGGATCTGTACTTATTCCCAGATATCCATCTTCTTCCGGATTTCAGACACCTTAGCCTCTTCAGCCTCGGAAAATTTGCCCAGATCGCCTTCATCGGAACCAAATGCATCGCTGGATGTCTCCTCGATTTGATCTAGTGTAAGGCCAATAAGTCCGATAGACCGTGCATTGCCAATCCGGCACATCTCCTCGCCCACCGCAGCTTCAATAACACCCTCGCCTCCTTTGGCGGTGAGATCGTCCTCGAAGCTCTGGAACACTTGCCTGAGAGGGTTCAGGGCATGGTTACGGAAGAACTTGGAAGTCTTGTCGAGCTGGAGCCGGTCACGTAGCGATGGCGAGGAAAGCAGCAAGTAATACAGATTCAACGCAGAATGAAGTGGTGGGCCTTGAATTTGGGTTAGACGAGACCAGCTAGCAACGAGATCGGATGCTGAGCTGGCGGCAGTGACCGGTTTGAAAAGAGCCGGCAGTAGAGCCCAGAAGTAGAGAGGATCCTGGAATATATTGTCCGCAGATTGGGGACTGCGGAGTATTTCATCCTTCAGCCATGCGATGGCGCTATCCCGCGCCGAGGCAAGATGGTCATCTTCCAAGATCTTGTATATGAGCTTAAATCGCGTCTCAGCTGACGGATGGCTCTGGACAATGGCAGCTGGGATCTGGCGAACTATGCCGTGGCTCTGACGTGATGTGCATGCAGTCAAGATGATAACGAAATCCTTAAACTCGGTATCGCTTGACGGGAATTCGATGGGGGTTTGCAGTGCGTAGACAGTCAAAGCCAGCAGGGAGTCGAGAAGCGCATGGGGTTGACCGAAAGCCACTTCGTCGAGATTGGTGTGGCCGCCGACAAAGTTGTTAAATATCTGACTCAGCTCAGGGAAAACGGATACCTGACGGAGCGGTTGCCCAGAGGTAAAGAGAGTTGCGCCTGCAGCTCGAGCCGCTAGTAGTAGGAGTGAACCATGGCGTTCTAGCGGAATCTGGTTGGGGTTTATTGGTGATTCATCGAAATCAAGTGGAGCAGTCTGATCTGTCGGGGGTCCGGATATGATTGACAAGAGTTCCTCGTTATCAATTCCAACGTCTCGCGATAGAGCCTAAGCAGAAGCAAAGTCAGATAAATCGTCCTCGAATTTGATATAATGCCGGTCATAATATCTTGCTTACCATAAGTTTTCCCATCACCATATCGCGCTCCTTGAGCTCCTTGGTCGATCCATATGCATCGGTCTGCGATTTGGTGCCGGGTAGCCGCAGATCCGGATGCAGGTGTTCCTGCATGCGAATGGTCCACGACATTCCCGGGTCCATTGGACTGGAGAAGCTCAAAAGATATGACTTCAGCAGTTCAAGCAAACCGAACTGAATGAATTTCCGAACAAGGAGGGTTTCGTTATCGGTAGAGGGAGAGGGCGTGGATACCTCAGCTTCGGGGTCTGGTGCGGAGGCAGCGGCAACTTTCAGGACGCTCGACTCGCTAGCAGTTCTGGGGGGTGGTGCAGGCCGCTTGGAGGGGGACACTTCGCGGAAGAACTCGAGGAAGGCGAGGGTGGTCTCATTGGTCACCATTGTGGCATACGCTTCCAGTGCTGCTTGGAGGGAGGTTGCTATGAACCGACTTGGCGCTTTTGTCTGGATCCGTGTGTGAAGTACCGAAAGCATGCCGAGAAGACAATTGAATTGTAGGATGTGCAAGGGCAGTCCCTGACCAGCCTTTTCATCCTCGTCCGCGTCCTCCGGCTGAAGTTGCATCAAAGACTCAGAGACGCGCAAGATCACTTCTCGGGGATTGCCTAGGCGAGCCACATCCTGTAGGCATTCTGTGGACGCTGGTAGCATGGGCAGCAGCAGCTTGACCAAGTCCCAGCCGATGTTCGTCGTAAGCTTCTCATCTTGCAGGAGGGTGTGCAAAAGTGGCAGACGTTTGGGGGTTAACTGATATTCTAGCAGAGTAAGATAAGTCAGGTAGTCCGTAGCCGGAGGCAATGCTTGGATAAGAGGGTCGTCCATGGTGATGGTGTTGACTATTAGACGTCGCAGGCGCGGGGAAGATGAAACATGGCGATGACATCAGCGGCAGAATCCCAACCTTGGGAAGAAACACGGGCCGATCACATCTCCGAACTATAGACCTGGACCCTTAATTGAACACTTTGTCAAGAATGGGATATGGCCCCTCTAGGCCCTAAACAGGAACCTTGGTTTTTGTTATGGTCTAGTGGTAAATTACGCTGTACGAAATTCGACACACTTTAGTCCTTTTCTACCGTAGAGTTCGTGCAAATGGAGCTCTATTTGTTTTATCCAATTCGGTGGAAGTTGGAGAGTGCATGTTTCTGTCATTATATATTCAGAACTGGGTTTGCGAGTAGACGAAGTAGAGAGATTGCTGGTAGTCGGGGCCAATGATTTAGGAATCTTATCCTCAATACAATTCAGACAATTCACTCCATTTTGTATGCGTGACACACACAGTGACAAACGACTTAGGAATAAAAGAAGATGTTATAAGAATCTTCGGAGAAATGGTCCAGTGAGCTGAGATTGTGATAGACTGCTGATCGACAGTAGTAGAAAGAACTCGACTTTTGTGTATACTCCTCGCCCCTAGCCCGGGATGATAACCGGCAGAGGTTGGAGAGTAAACATTCTTTGAATGTGTTGATAGTATCTTGGTCGAGGGGTTTAGAGCCTTGCCATTTACTCTCTAGTATCTTGACCTTGTCGTTCAATTGAAATGGCGCAACTTTCGATTCTAAAACGCCTCTCTGATAAAGATGATGTATTGGTCTGACGCTACATATGTCGGTGCAGAGTCAATCTGACCACCGATAGTGAGTTCGCAAATACGTCTTATTTTCACGAGTTGCAAGATAAAGTCTTCGTTTGGAGCCAACGCATGCGAGATTTATATGTCACACTGGTGAATCTAGGTTGTGCTGATCTCGAAGCTGTTGATTGTGGTATTCCGACATTGGCAAAGGTAACAAACTGGCGCTCAGGTGTTGTTGGAGCTGACTTCGATTTGAACGAAGATCTCTCAGTCGCGAGATCGGGGATTGAAGGTTGGTTATGTAGACATGGTTGGTGATCGTCTCTGGGATCTCAATGTTTGCAAGGAAGCGCAGGAGAAGAAACCTATCTTCAGTCTCGCTCTGGTGTGCTGCTGTCATAGCGGCAACAATGAAGCAGGAGGTGGAAAGAGGAAAGAGGAAAGAGGAAAAGAAGGGCTACCGACGCAATATTGTTACAGTCCCCGCTAAACTACTTTAGGTATGTCTAGTTAGGTATTCTTAATATCGTTCACATGACTTACAACCCCATGAATTCAGAGGTCACTATGAGAGCTATCTAAATTGATAGTGATAGATCAAAGAGATCAGAATTAAATTGTAGGTTTGTGCTAATCTGCAGAGTTTTCACTTCAACCCCTTCGTATAATTGAGCTAGTATTAAATACCGCATTTGATCAATTAGATTCTCTCTGCTAGCTAGTTAGCATTTACATTATCTTCAAGGAAAGAAAGCTAAAAGAAAGGAGAACCTCTATACTCTACATATCATAATGACCTTATTGCTTTATTTACCTTGCTCTTTGACAGAAACCTAATAATCGTTAGTAGTCTACGCAGATTTTCTCCCCACATTAAACAATATCCTCCCTAGAGGTGACGTTTTAGCTCCGCTCCATCTTGGAGTATCATCTTGTGGGGTACCGGTTTCTCTAGCAGAATTGTCCATAAGTTATACAGTCACACCTCATTAAAATCAAAGAATTGACCGAGAGCAGACCTTCTCTGCTACAGAGGCTTTCAAAACAGTTGAGTCGCTACAACCTTGGATATTTTTATAGAACGCCTAAGCTCTTCTGGGCACAATTTTGACTAAAAAGGCTTCTCATCACGTGGACGGCCTGAGCCCCCACTCTGGGAAAACAAGGTTTCACATCTAGGGCACTAATCCCAATTAGGAGCCTTGGCAGGCTGTTTACTGTGTATTACGTAAGCCGGAATGTAAGGATCAGGCACAACCTTGGGACCTTGGGAATTTATTCTAGATTATCTTTATAGAAAAGAGCAAGTATAAATTAGTCAGATACGACGCAATTTTGTCGCCCCTTCGTTAGCAGCCCTATGGAAAAGTAACCAATAACCAGGTCCGCTAGGGCGGAGTGGAAAATCCTCGGTGGAAAAGCCCCAGCCACGCGGCTGTGGCATTGCTGGGATTGCGTAGATCCGCCCAAAAATAACTTCGCGAATAATGCGACTGCCTGACTTTACCTTTCTTTCATCTGGGTTGCTCTTTGTTATATATACTCTTCACCACTTAAGCTCTCTATAACCATCTTAACGGGTTCACGGGTTCGCCTTTTTGCTCCCGAACTCTAAAACAAAGACTCAACCCCAGGCACCATGGCCTCCAACGAATACTATCACGCAAATATCCCACAACCCCCCAGCTACGACCAAGCTGTCCCCGGAAAGACAGATAACGCCCCGCACACAGCTCCTGGACTCGGCTACGCAACCCCAGTGTACAATCACGACGATCCCTCAGCCCCTTATCACAACCGAGAGAGTCAACAGTCATTTGCATCGGACAATGGAAATTACCAGACAGCCGGGCGCGCAACGGAAGGCGATAATTACGCAGAAAATATACCTCTGAAGACCAATGCCCAGTATGGAAACAATCCAGATTGGATGCGCCAACAGACGCAGTACCCTCCATCACCAGGGGGTCTGGAGGATAGCCGACAACGTGACGGCCGAAAGAAGAAGGGATTTTTCAGCAAGAAGATTGCCTGGGTGACATACATCTTGACATTAGCCCAGATCATCGTATTCATTATCGAACTGGTCAAGAATGGTGAGTTCTGTTCCTAGCTCAGTCGATTCCCACATTTCGGACTAACTAACGAAATTCTTTTCCGCTCCAGCTCAGTTGACAGGGTCAGTGATCGAGACAAAACCTACCTTCAATCCGATGATCGGGCCCTCACCATACGTCCAAATATACATGGGAGCACGCTACAACCCGTGCATGAAGAACGTTGAGGGAATCCAAGATGCCAATTATACCCTTTCGTGGCTCTGTCCGAATGCCACATCGACAACGGTGACGGGAACGGGTTGTACACTGTCTGAAGTGTGCGGCTTTAGCGGTGTTCCCAACCCCTCTATTGGAGGGTCAACAGACGATCGGCCGGCTCCCAACCAGTGGTACAGATTCATTATCCCCATCTTCATGCATGGAGGATTCATCCACATCGGATTCAACCTGTTGGTTCAGATGACTATGGGTGCAGACATGGAGCGTATGGTCGGCATGTGGCGCTATACCTTGACCTACTTCGCCAGTGGTATCTTCGGGTTCGTTTTGGGTGGAAACTACGCCGCGCAGCTCGATCCTAGTGATGGCTGCTCGGGCGCCCTATTCGGTATCCTTGCGCTTTATCTTCTCGACCTGCTGTATGACTGGCCCCAGCGCGAATCTCCGTGGGTTGAGCTTATCATCATGCTTCTCGGAGTGGGTGTCTCGTTCGTTCTTGGTCTTCTCCCAGGATTGGACAACTTCTCCCACATTGGTGGCTTTATCATGGGTCTCGCCATTGGCCTGACTATCATGCGGTCGCCTAACGCTCTCCGCGAGCGGATTGGTCTGGCACGACAGCCATATGTTGCCATGAGCGGCGGAGCTGGCCAAGCTGGTCCCGAGCAAAAGACTATCCCCTTCATGGAGTTCTTCAAGAGCAAGCGGGGTCTCACCTCCCACTCATCAGAAAACCCCGGTCCTACAGGCGGCCCGCTCGGTTTCTTCAAGGGCCGCAAGGCTCTTTGGTGGCTGTGGTGGTTGGTTCGTGCTGGCGCCCTAGTCGCGGTCCTCATTGGTTTCATTATGTTGCTTATCGATTTTTATAAATACCCCTCCTCGAACTGCTCTTGGTGCTATCGGTTGAGTTGTCTGCCCGTCAATGGCTGGTGTACACAGAACAACCTGCCGACCTCCAATGCGACCAGCAGCTGATTCGGCCTTTTTTTTACGTTCGAGAACAATCCGCATTGCATTTCAAGGCAGAGCCGTGATGAATCTATTAGAATTATGACTGTAAATATTGATATATCACCAATTACCCCAACATGCATACGAGTATATAAAGTAGTGTCCTATGATTATTTGATAATATTCCCTATGCCTTCCCTGTTCCTGAAAATATGCTTCAACGCCGTAAATAGAACATTGTTATGACGATACTTTGTCCCCCACGTATGTTGTACGCACTTCTTGTGGCTGGGGCCGTGGCGGAGCATGTCAAAATTACCGTACCCGGTTTACCTTACCGTACATCTCACCTGATAGCCTCGTTTCCATCGCATATGTATTGTAGGTACGGTTCCTGAGACTTGTCTTATCTTCAATGCTTTGCCTATAATGGGACCGATCCCGTCAAAATCCTTAATGCATAATCTTCTTTCCCTTGTGTCATAAATCTCAGTCATGGCCACCTTGGCCTCGTCACCCCCGACCTCGCCCTCGTGGCCGAAACGACGCCCTCGAGCCTGGGCTCTCCGCTGCGAACGGTACTGCTGTGCAGCAGCAACCTGCTTTCCACTCGCCTTCGTCTACGGCCTCACCACATGGGCAGTATACGTCGCTGTCAGCATCGGCATCAAACCGTCACGGAGTGACTGGATAGGTATGCAGGATATCGCTCGGACTCGAACGGGGCTATGTATCCGGGTGTACTAACATATCGGTAGGTATCCCGAGTTCCATCCTCGCATTTTCCCTCTACGCCCTCCTCAATTTCTCATATACCGTCGCTGTTTTCACTGATCCGGGGTCACCGACTTCTACTAGTCGCGGGACCGACCGTCATGAGTACAGCGCCCTCCCTCCCTCCGAAGACCCGGAGTTCACATCGTATACCGTCACCTCGACAGGTGAATCACGATACTGCAAAAAATGCCAGTGTCCGAAGCCGGACCGCGCGCACCACTGCTCGACATGCAGACGATGTGTCCTCAAGATGGACCACCATTGTCCCTGGCTGGCAACATGTGTTGGGCTGCATAATTATAAGGCATTCTTGCTATTTTTGATCTACACCTCGATATTCTGTTGGGTTGTTTTTGCCATTTCAGCCGTCTGGGTCTGGACCGAGATCCTAAACGATACCCAGTACATGGATACTATTCTTCCGGTCAATGTAGTTCTGCTGGCTATCCTGGGTGGCATCATTGGATTGGTTTTGGGTGGATTTACAGCCTGGCATATCAGTCTAGCTATACGGGGTACCACTACCATTGAATGTTTGGAAAGGACCCGATATGTGTCGCCTTTGCGCAAAGCGCTATACAGACAGCGGAATGAACCGGCGCCCAACAATAACTATTGGGGCGAGCCGGGCGAGGAAAGCTTATCCAACCGAATGCAAGACTATGGAAATCAAATTATCGATGCCCACGCCAATGCAATCCCGGGAGTCACCCGGCCCGAAGAGGGCATATCTCCTGTGCCGCGCCCATCAGGGCCCCCAGACGGCTCAGGGAACGGCCTCACGCCAGCGCAACAAGCGTTGACGCGGTCATACGCCGAAATGGAACGGCAGCGCGAGCACTCGCGGTACGAGGAGTATCAAAACGACGAAGACAACGAAAAAATGCCCAGCGCGTTTGACCACGGCTGGCGGCGTAACCTGCTCCACCTTTTCGGGGACCGACCGCTGCTCTGGGCTGTGCCCATCTGCACAACTACTGGCGATGGCTGGCACTGGGAGCCTAGTGCTAAATTCCTAGAAGCGCGTGACCGCATGCGACAGCGCCGAGAACAGGAATCCACCGAGGAGCAGCAGTACTACCGTGAGTTGTACCAGCGCAATCTAGACAACAGTAATAGTTGGATGGGAGGCGGTCCACAGCAGCGGGTGACAAGCCGCGGTGGCCTGCCTGATCGACCTCCGACGTCGGTGTCGATGCAGACTCTTGCACCTCGATCACCGCGGCCGCGGCCTGGCGATAGTGATTATGGGGATGACGTGGAGGACGATGGGTTATTGGATCCGGGCGCTGGCCGCCAGCAACCCACACGCCGTGATCATGATGAATGGCGGGCCTGGGACTAAGAACAAGTGATTGTTTGTAGCATTTTTAAGTAGCATGTTGAAGGCGTTGTGTTTATGGCATCTACAAAGCGTATGCGCAGCCTTGGTATGGATGCCTCATATTAAGGCTTTCATGTCCATTAGACCTTAATTCCTATTGTACAATGTTTATTACTGTAAGATATGCCCTAATCATTCCGAATCCTATATTGTCGTCCGTAACAACGTTGCCACGGCCCAATAGCATCATTCCCCCGCAAACCCGGGACAGCTGTCATCTTTATCTTTTTGTCTTATCGCTCTTTCTTCCTCCCAACATGTCCAATTCAACCTTAGAACATCCTCGACTCGAAATCTTATCCTATCCAAAGACACAAAGACCAAAATGTCCTCCCCCTCAACCCGCCGCCTCCTGAAAGAAAGCAGCGACCTCCACAAAAACCCAAGTCCATACTTCACAGCCGCCCCAATAAACGACACAAACCTCCACGACTGGCACTTCACCCTAGCCGGACCCCCCTCCCCTTCCCCCTACGCTCAAGGCCTCTACCACGGCCGTATCACCTTCCCAGCCACATACCCACTCCGTCCCCCCTCTTTCCGCTTCCTCACGCCCTCCGGCCGCTTCGAAGTCAACCGCGAAATCTGCCTCAGCATTTCCGGCCACCACGAGGAGACATGGCAGCCGGCTTGGGGCGTGCGCACTGCATTGCTGGGCATCCGCTCTGAGATCTTCAGTTCGGAGAGTCAGGGCCAGGTTGGGGGCATGGAGGGGAGTGAGGAGCTGCGGAGGGAGTATGCGCGGCTTTCGCTTGGGTGGACTTGTCGTGAGTGCGGGGCTGGGAATCTAGAGGCTATGAGGGAATTGTGGAAGGTTTGTCGGGAGCGTGGGGTCGAGGTTGAGGGTGAGGTTGCGGCTGTGGACGGGTGTTCTGGTGTCGAGGGCCAACGGGAGACGGTCGAGGCCGAGGCCGAGGCTGATGCTGATGCTGATGCTGATACTGGTGCTCTGGCTCCGGCTTCGAGTGGGGACTCTATAACTGTTGGGAATGAGCACCAGGCTCGGGGAGATGATGCTATAGAGAGTACTCGGGCTGCGGAACCTGTTCCGGCTCCTTCTGCGTCTACATCGGTGCCCGCGGCACAAACACAGGCACAGGTACAGGCACAGGCACCACTGCCTGCTGTACAAGCACCGGCTGCAGCTGCTATGCATACACAGACAAGCTCGTCTCAATTGGCTTCGACGGAGTCTCCATCTGAAAGTATCTGGCTGGACCGGGCTATCATTGGGGTGATCGTTGCTCTTATCTTGTTGATATTGCGCCGAGTGGCGAACGTCGACGATCTGTAAACGAATATGGGGTTGATGTTGAGCATTACTTTCTTTCGCTGGCTATTTAGGCGTTTGGGATTACATTACCGGAGTTGATCTATAATATACCTCTAGATAGTTTTTGAAATCAAGCACCCATATCCTTGTTCTTTTGTATTTTTCTTGACTTTTTGAGAAGTATGGCTAGCAAGCATTGTTCACATAATGTTACATTCAAGATAAGTAGTTCACGAGGATGGGCAATCAAGATAGAATCATCCACCAAGACTCCTGTAATCTCCAGCAAGCCATGTCTCCCTCGCCATCTGGCTTGACAATGCCAACTTCCTCGAGCCATTGCAGCATCAACACAGTTTCCCATGCGCCCATGGTGGGCTTGATCATGTTAGAAATGTTGGCAGCCTTGATGCCAGGCCGCATCACCAGGCACCCGAGAACAGGGCCAATAACCAGATCCCAGAGACGATGTATGAACTCTCCATTGATGTCGTACCAAAGGGGGTTCCTAGGTGGCATTTCCGGGCCTGATGGTGAAGGCGCGGGTGGAAGGTACGCGGCTGCAGCCTTGCCATGGACGGGGTTGCCGTAGCGGTATGTTGCGGTGGGAGTAATCTCGACAGGGAAACGGAATCGTTTCTTGTCCACCTGGCGCGTTTCATAGCCGCCATCGGTGAGGCCGAACTTGGCGCGAGGGGCATCGCGGGGTCGTAGTTGAATAGCACCCGAAGCGTAGAGATTGATCAATGCGAGGATATCGCCATCTTCTGCGGTGTACTCCACGTCGGATGCACCGGTAGTTCGGAATTGAAGATCTAGCATCTTTGACTTGAAATGAGCGGCACGGCGCAGCTGGCTGCTTTCGACGGCACGCTTGCGGCTCAGTGTCTGCAGGAAATATTCCGAGATATCATAGTTGCGACCCGGAGTGATGCGGCCACGGGTTGTTGAGCTGATGACACGTTCATTGAGTAGTGCCTGCGTCGCAGTGGTGACAAGTCGATCACCAAAGCGCTGCAGAATATCGCTCGACTCATTGGGTCGGTAGGTCTCTTCTGCGGTGACGATATTTGCACGAACCCATGTCTTCGCAGCCTCAAGTTGTGCTGTACCAACTTTTCGTGAAACCGGCTGGGCGCGTGTCTCACCATCCACGGGTACAGCGAATGGATTGCGCGCCATTAGGTTGCGCTTGTGGTTTATAGTGACACCATGCACAGCCTGATACAGTTCGTCGCCTGCCGTAATAGCATCCTCGCGTAGTTCGAAAACACTGTCGAATTGTTGCCGTGTTGCTGGGAGGTCCGGAGCCCGTTCCGACGGAGAAACATCGAGCCTAGTGCTTGCCCATTCAATTAGGGCAGGCCAGTCATAGCTGTCCAAGTCGGAATAGTCAATGGGCGGAACTTCGTCCTTTTCATAAGCCTCAAGGAAGCACTCCTGGAAATCATGATGCATCTTCGTAATCTGTAAGCGATTCTTGTTGAGTATCTGACGCGCTCGCCCTTCGATAAAAGACGAATCTTGATCTGGGAAAGCTTTTGTCACAAGAGGCCAATCGATCACTCTTGATTCCGCTCCGCCTGCAAGCACACGAACGACGACAAGAGCAATCACTATCTTTTGTTTGAGATCCTCGGATATAGGGCGCACAAATCGCTGTCGGCGAATGCGTTTGGTGGTCGCCGACTGTGCTTCTTTGTCGGCTGTTGCAGTATCATCAAGTTTGGCCAGACGGCGATCTGTAACAGGAGCACGCGGGGCCCGAGGAGCCCGTGTTCTTCTTGGTTTGGGTGTCCGTTTTTGTGTCTCGGTTATCGGAGTAGTTTTTATAGGAGGCTGGGGCAGAGGTTCAGGTAGAGACTGACGCTGGCGACGGACCTCGCTACGCCGTGCTGGCAAATCTGGTTCCACTTGAGGCACTTCAGGTATTTCAGGCACTTGAAGCTGTTTTGGAGGAGGTATATCCATGTCGAAGCAAATACCGCCTGTGACCGGCGCTGGCTTGAAAGCATCTTGAACAGTTTGGTTGATAAACTGCTGGCCTTCAAGGTTCGCTTCAAAGAGATTTGGATGATGAAGCTCCCATTTGAGGATCTTTTTGGTCTTTTGGGTGAATGTTGACAGTGGAATTTTCGCTTTGACAGCACTAGGGATTTCCGAGTCTGCTTCGTCGCAAGCCAGTCTAGATAACTCGTCGACAGATTTCTCAATGTTCAAAACCGGCTGTTTTGCTGCCATTGGCTTTCTTCGGCGTCTGGCCGAGCACGACCCCGTAGAGAAAGTTCCACTAGCCGGGTCAAACTGTTGCACCGGATTCATCAACATGGCATACGCTCCGATGGCGGAAATTGGTTTCATCACCCGCTTGGGATGTATGATAGACTTTTGGTGCTTGCCAGGACCACGTGTACCTGTTCGGATATATGGACGAATAATTGATGTGTGCGGATGAGAATCAAGGTCCAATTGAGGAGGGCGTGCGAGTGTCATGAGTCGCTGAACTCCAGGCAGGTCAGGCAGTTCATCCGCTTCTTCGGCAGCCTTGGCAGCTTTGGCTTTGGCTTCCAGACGTTTAATGAAATTCGTCTGGGCCTGTCTCCTCCTTCTTGCCTCTAAGTTCACAATGGAAATGGGCTTTTGTTGTAAGTGAACATGGGTTCCTTCTTCTACCGGGAATGAGAATCTCTGCGTGCGGGGAGGTGCACCGTGTGGTCGACCACTATTTCTTGTCAAATTTGGATCCAGCTCGACATTGGCCGAAAAGAAGGGTCGCGACTCGTGGAAATCAGTAGCCAGAATCTTTTTCTGCATCTCTTTCACCAACGGATCGTCTGGTGAGATATCAGGCTTCAACAACAACGTCCTTGTTACCATCACTTTTCTCGTGTCTCGGCCGCTGAAAGTTAGCTGCCGAAGCTGGCCGGCATCAATCAGTTGCTTGCACGCAGTATTGATAGTTCGCATGTCTGGTTTTTCCTTGGGATGAAACTTCATCCATGCAGTGACAAAAGGATACCACATTGCAGTGCCCGCAGGATATACACCATCAGCCTTTTCCATAATTTCCATGATGAGCTTTCTCCGAAGGACACTGATAGATCCGCCTCTCCCAATCAAAGGCTTAGAGGATCCCGATTCTTCCTCCTCTGGAATTAGCATGTTTCTGATGTTAGTTCTGTTCCGAACACGTGGCTTTCTGGTAGGTTTGGTGCCATTGGCGCTAAAATTGAATTTCTGGGGGACCACTGAGCCCAATCGTGGTGTCGGGACATCAGATGGACGAGGTGTTGGGGATTGTAAAGTCGCGCGGTCGGAGGATGCCACACGGCGTCGCTTTGAGGGAGTTCCAGCTTGTTCGTCCTCGAGTATACGAGCGCTGGCACTCTTGTCACGATGGCGTGGTGTACTCGCTTTGATTGAACCTTCTTGGAGTGCTGGAACTACAACCTCGGGCAATATCTCGTTAGCGTCCTTCGAAGGTTCTTCGTTGTTTTCGTTTTGGGCCTTGCGAAGACGAGATCGTTTGGCAGGTCTCCCGGTTCTCTGCTCATTGGCTTGGGAACTCGAGGATGTTGTCGGTGAGGCCGCTGGCTCATTGGGCAGAGTTCTCTTGGCTCGCCTTGAAGTTGTCGGAGTGGGGGTCATTGCAGGCCCCTCGGAGTTGATGACTGAATGTGCAGCTTCAGGGGCAAGGCTCTCGGAGGCCCGAGTAGTGGTAGCATCATCCCGTACCTTGTCGTCTTCACTTGAATCATCTTCGTCCTTGACAAACCAAGGCATCGATGCTAGCTGTGGCGATTTGAAGATCGCAATTCGGCTCTGTCTCGGGCGACCTCGGGCCTTGCCGGCTGGTCTTCTTCGGCCGTGGGGAGTCACATACACACCAGGAGCAGGCTTTTCCATGACAAGAGCGTTGTATTCAGTCCAACTCTCATCCATACCAAGTGCTTCAAACTTCTCTTTCTTTGATAACCCTCTAAGGCTGTCGTGCTTTATCTTGGCTCTCTTGGCTCGCGGGGATTCTTCGACATATTCCCAGCTATAACCCTGGCTTGGCTCCGGCTTAACTTGGGATTCCACGGCTTGAGATTCTCTGGGTTCGGATTGGCTAGCGTCGGGTTCTCCAGCTCCAGACTCTATGGCTATGGGGTCTTTGGCTTTGGATTCTCTGGCACGCTTTTCGACAGTCGCGCGGTTCAATTTGCCTTTCGGTCGTCCCTTGGGCCGGAAACGGGGCTCATACTGTTGCTTGGAGCCAGGGGGGAGTTTATCAGTTCGTGTGCGGATCACTGCGGCTTAATGTTAGATTCACAGTAATTTCTCTTATGAAATCCAAGGAGAGGAAGGGGCAATCGTACCATATTGACCGTTTGGAAGTTGAACAACAAAAGGATCGCTCGAAGAAAGAAGATAGTTGGGCGGTTTGGCAGCCGTGATCCCGTCGAGTAGAGTTGAATTTGGATCCTTCAACATATTCTTTGGGAATTCCTTTTTGAGGAATCCATGCTCATCAAGCTGAGGAAGAGCACCAAAGGGAGGTGCCTGGATCTTTAGCGATTTGGCTTTCTTGGCTGGAATCTCAACGGCCTCCCATGATGCCTGGCCAGCTTCAACTAGCTTTGCGAAGTTGTTTAGCGAATAGTGGACATAAAACATGATGGTCTTTTTCATTGCCATATCTCGAACAATGGCGTAATGGCGGAGATGAAGTGGCTGGGCCACTTGCCATAGGTCGACCAAGCGATGCACCATACTTTCAGCGGGTCTCTTGAAAAAGGACCCAAAGCAAGTCAAGTTTAAGGTCTGGATTATTTTGTCAGCTAAGAATATCTTCACTTTCGCGAGTAAGGTACTTACCTGGTTCGTGATGCCTGTTGTACCTGTTCTTTGAACGATGTCAAAGATTTGGTTGTTGAGGTTACGATCCGGCGTCCAAGACGGTACGATACGTACAGCATCTCCAACATGTTCTTTGATCATATCAACCCCACTGTCCTCCAGACTAGGCGATCTTTTGGTTTGGCCCCCCAGCTGCAATTCTCGGTCTTCTTGGTCCGGGGTAGGTTTGGTTCCTTTGGCTCGCACCCCATGCTTGTTCAAGACATCGAAATTGAATTCATGGAAAAGTTCCAGATCTTGCCCTGTGGGATCCCGTAAAAGCTTCACACAAGGATGCATTCTTTCGTATTGCGATTCGGCTCTCACACGCTGTACCACGCCTATCCGCTCCCACTTGCGGAGGGCACGGGACAAGACCTTCCAACGCCAATGGTCATCAAAGCCGAGGAGTCGTTTCAAATCATTGCGTGCAATCAGCGGGTGCTCTCGGAGAATGTTGAACAGGCTGGTGTTAAAGCTGTCGAAATCAATCATGTTCTCCGATTGCGGTTCTGACTTTGTTCGATCGCTAATAGTGTGGCGGTAGAACCGCTGCAGCGTGCAGAGGCTGGTTCTGGCCGTTTTTGTTTGAACAGGTCGCTTGTCGATGTATCCTTTTCTTTGCAAAGCATCGGTACGCTTCGGAACAGACCGTTTATCCTGGCCACTGAGCCTCACCAGGTCCGGCTGCACAATACCCTTTGACTTGCGCGAAGCAATCACCGACAGTAAGGCAAATTCAAGGGGCAGTACCTTGGACTCATCTGGTGGATGGCCAGTGATGGCAACCCAGGCTCTCTCTTCGGAGACAAAGATTCGAAGCGGTGGTAAATCCGGATTCTCTGCGGTTTGGTTGGGCTCCAAAGAATTGCTATCGGCATCATCTTTCTCCCTTGTTCGCGAGTCAAGCTTCTCGGCTTCACTTAAGGTGAGATGGTTCCATTCATTGTGCTGGCCAATAGACACCTCTGGGTTAGTCGTGAGCCAGGACCAGACTTTGGCTTTGAAACGATGGTCAATGTTCTGGTTTTCCATCACATCCTGAGATTGTGTATGGAAATCATCAATGGCTTGCAGTAGATCAGATAATGTTGCACCTTGATGTCTGTTAGCATTCGATTCATCGAAGTGTATATAAGAATAAAAGCGCCAATCAAGGCTTGAGATGTAGGATGTAAATCGGCATTGGGTCCGCGCCACAAGAATGCAAACTCAAATCCATCATGCGAAAGTCCCGAGAGGAGAGTGAAGTAGGAATTCAACATATATCCCATACTAGGGCGCTTTCACATAATTCCGGTGACATTGAAAATCCATATGCATGAAAAGTGGGTCCCAGTGAAGAGACTATACACACCTTGATTACCGCAGAGCGCGACTTCGTTCAGCACGAAGTCGATAAGATGTTGTACGCCAGGCATGGCTACATGTCTTTTTTCTGGATAGAAAGAGGGAAGTAAAAACAGTACTAGAAAGGTGATGGGTGTCGGATAATTAAAGAAGGGTAGAAATTTTTGAAGGGGGGGGATTCGAACGCCGAGCTTCCAAATTTTGCAGTGCGATTGTCATGTCACATGACCTTATCTTTCTCAATGTTGGTGCCTTGTTTGTAAGGCATCAAGAATGATCCGGGGTCTATTTTATATGAACAATAATAAATTCACTGCTATTGGAGAGATTTCATGATATCCTTTGACTTATCTAAAATATATTGCAGAAGAATATCCTACGTGCAACCAATGTTCAGGTCTCTGCTGATTACGGAGTACATTGTCCATTATAGGTAGAGTAGATTAATTGATGTATAACAATTAATGATGTATAACTACTCCGTATTTACCCCATAGTATGCTATAGAACATACGAGATATCTCCTTTGTACCGAGTACTCCGTATGACTGGGGCAGTTATGAACAAGCTCCAACGTAAACTCCCGAGGTCGGGCCCAGCCATGTCGGAATCGGTATCCGTTATGCCTCCCGAGGTCGGTTTTAGGTCTCGATTCCTTGTTTTCTGCCGATTTGTGCATATTTAGTCTTCGCTGACTCATACCTATGAATTCATGTCTATTGCATAACTACCTGACGTCGTCCTAATTCCCCTTTGGTTTGCCTTATACTATATCCATAGAGGACTATTGAATAAGCCATATTCGATATTAGTATCCCCAAGCCCCAGACAAATAAGAGGCAAAATCAATTCGCCAAGGGATATATGCATAAAATATGCCCACATAGTTAGCAGGTGGTTTGATCAGGGCTGTGTTTTGAATGACATCATGGAGTCTTACGTCAGGTACCTGTCCTCCCAGCCAAATTAGTATGGCAACGGAAGTACCTGGCCCCGTTGTTTCCGGCCAAAATTTCCTGGGCGTTCAATTTACATATTCGCCTCTTCTTCACTTCATTTTCTTGGATTATTTCTCTCTGGAAACCCATTCGGAGTCATCATCACATTCGCACCATGTCCTAATAACCCCCTTAATACTTCATCAAACCTTTATCGCGCTTTCCCCGAACCTATCAACAACGGTAATCCGCCACTATCGCCACCCCGATGGAAGAAGGAGCCGTCCCAACACCCTCCGAGCCCCCTCCGCTCCCGTACTCGTTGCACACAAGGAAGAAGTCCATTGCGTTCTTCTGGACTATTTTCGTGATCGATACCTTGGCTCAGCCGTTGATTCTGTATTGGTGTCTTTGGTACCTCACCGATCTATCGCCCAACATCGGTATGTCTTGCGCGGTGGAACAAATACGCCCGTCCAGGTTGCTAATTTTGATGTGCAGTCTTCTCGATCGTTACCGCATCGCTTGGAGGAGTCTCGGTCTTCGAATACTTCTACCGCCTTCATAATTTATTCCGCAAAAGCTCACGCGCCCGGCCCCTGAACTCCCGCGTATCATGGGTAGGTTTTGACCTGGGATTGATCATGGACCATTAACTGATACCTCTTGTTAGCTGGATTTCTTCCAAATCAACTTCACCATCGTGTGGTTGATTCTGGCCGTCGAATTGATCGTGTAAGTCTAGCATATATCATGGAAGCAGCATGAACAATGAGCTAACAAGTTCACAGTGGATCGGTACCTGAAGAACCATATGGTTAGACCAACCAATCATAATATCTTACGCAATTGCCTCATACTGACTGCTTAAACAGTACGCCTCATCGCCATGGTCCTACCAACCGTCATGTTCTACTTCGGCATCGTCTACCTTTCCCTCGACATTTTCCGTATGATGGGCTTCAAGGCTCCATTCCGAATTTCTTCCACGCCCAAAGGCTCTGTTATGCCAACTGCATTGTACGCGCTTATTGAGGACGTGGTAGCAGTTGACGGAGGTGGTGGACAGATGTATCGATATGCGCTCCGAATTCGATACCTATCGAGTCCTTATTTTCGCCGTATGCTCTTTGAAATGAACTGTTTCTGGAGTGGAGGGTCCATCATCTGCGCTGCCGCCATTACCGCCATTGTTTTCACTGTCCAGGAAAACGTTGCGTTTACGGTAAGCCGGAATTCTTTTAATCTCAAATTACAATCAGACTAACCTTACGTAAAGTTGGGCTGGTCCCTTCCGTTTGCCTGGGCTATTGTGTGGACCTTGATCACAATTCCCTGGGTTAAGAGTGACCTGCGTCGTGAGAAGCAGGCGTGGGCCGAAAACCGTGGACAAGGAGGCATCCGTTGGGTTGACGATATCAGCGCGCCCACTGCACGTACCCGCTTCGAGTCCGTCCAGGCTAATGTCTGGCCCTGGACTCGTGATAATCATCACCACCATCCCTCGGCACCATCCGAAGGCGTGGAGAAAATATCCGATGATGTCCCCGGAGTCTCCAATGGAGCCCATGATGTCTCTAACGATGCCTCCAGAAATTCCCCTAATGAGGCGTCTCACGTCACCGATGGAACTTATGATGGAGCAACTCTTGGCTCCTCTTCCAATGCCGAACCATCTACGGAGAAATTATCCGTGTAATATGTATGACTGATGAATTTGTTTGTTCCAATGAAGATTTCTCATTTTGGTCTTTTTGCTTGCTCATGCAAATGCATTGGGGAGAGGGCTTATAGACTTGACATTCTTTGGATTTTGTTTTGCTGCGCAGGCTAATGATGTTGTATATAGATACCCTCTGTTTATTCTCTGGGAGAATTAAGACCCTAAGATATTGTTTATTATTTTATATACATCTAGACTTCCCACTAAAGTCCTAGGGATCGTACATTATACCCTCCTCTACTATTAACTTCACGCAAGACATACTTCGTCGTATAAACACTACAAAGTGTATGAAAGAGACTAGACTGGGCAACTAATTTCCCCCGCTGTAAAGCCATTACCGACCAGTGGAGATATTCAGAGATTAAATTACCCTACGACGTCAGCCTTGGTACATATTCATAAATGAAGAGGTGCTAAACAAAATCTATCTATATCATGGGTAAGGGGAAGCCACTAACTAGTGTGTACATGTACAAGGAAGCGCTATCATAGCCACCTGTCCCAGCAGGAAACGAGTATCAAGCTTAAAATGAAGGTACTGAAAGAATCAAAAGAGGAACTAAATTTAACTATATCTTGACCTATTCAAGGTATAGCACTCATTAAATTAGTAAAGAATATAGTGGAATACGATAGTATGAGTTGATCAGAGTACCTGAAATTGGCAAACAATACTCATTTCATCTATGAAGACAAAAGACAATTATCTGCAGAGCGAATAATAGGATATTGATAGATGTGGCAGATGCTATATTCTCACTCGTGTTCCTCTTCCAGCCTCACTGCCCGTGCCACACCCTTTCAGACCTCCGTACAGGCTCTCTAATATTGTCTCAAATAACACTACACTCTAGACACAAACTTTCCGGCTGCTTGAGGAGCATATATGGCAATACGAGTAGCTCAGACAGGTGGCAGAGTGGAAGCAACGGGGGTGGCTGCAGAAATTTTGCATACAGTTCGGGTAACGCGAGATCCTCATTCCTCTTCGTAACATTTGCCCCGCCCAGAGATCCAGATCCCTCATCCCCAGATCTAGAGCCGTCACCGACGACATCAGCATCAATACTGGCAAACACGGCGTCGAACTCTGTGCATAGGTCATCCCCAGCGATGGCAACGACCTCTTCGTCCATGTTCTTGAGATAATAGCCTCCATTCTCGGCGTGAAGAATTGTTTCCGGATTCAGCTTGACCAGATCGTTCATGGATTGTCTGTCGGGGACGACAATGGCGTCGCTCGGGGGCGTGATCTGGTACCGGGTGAGACCTTCAACCATGGTGGTCAAGAAGCACAAGAAGTGCACGAGGGAGGGGTAGATGGATTTTATAGGTAGTTTTGAGAGTCTAGAGGCGACTTGATTATCTATATTGTGGACTCAGCATATATACTTCCAAGCCTTTGTAGTATAAATTCCATGAAAATACCTGGTAGCAAGTCAAAAAGAGCAACCGAGGTAGAAGTTCCTATTGACGATTACTGATTCCAGCTACAGCGGTCAGTTGATAAACATGAATAAGTAAAAGAGCGTGTAAGAAGAATTACATCTAGTATTTCCAGTAGAATACTGAGGGAAAATGCTGTGAGATTCAAAAATATCGACGGGGAGAGGGGATCCTTCTTATAATCATCTAATTTAAAGTTAGTCTAGCTACATGCCTATGGGTAGCAATGCTTGCAATCATCGGCGGCCTGACCCAGCTATTCTCTCCTGGAACAAGCATCCTGGATTGAATTTTAGGGGCCAGGTCCAATTTTCTGAAAATGGGGGCCATATGAGTCTTCCTGACCAGGGTCTGTTTGCACCCGAGACGGAACAGGGTCTCTAGCTGATGGGGGCCATCCTTCTCCTCACTTTTGTGGTAAAATATGCGCGATATTCTGAGACAAGGCTCCATCCACTTGCCGCTGAAGGATCAACCAGGGTCTCTCGGCCTCGGGAGATGCCGTTGCTAGATATCCTCCGATCATATTTTTTCTATAACGTCGAAGGTAGCAGCATGAGGTTGTCTCATGTAATTATTGATGGGTAAGTCCTACTTTCTCCTTATTAGGGTGATGTTCACTATTGGTAAATACCCCTTCACTCGGCGGGTTTTTTGTTTTATCTTCGTCCAGTACTTACCATAGAAGCCATTGATATTCTGGCCGATGACGATAAACCTCGTTCTCGATCTTGCTGGAGGTAGCAGATACGTAATCATACGTGAGACGCCCCGAGGTCTCTAGACCATGGAACCGCACCCCTCAGTGAGAGGGTATGGTTCGCGCTAGCCTTGATCATGAGAGTCGACCCAAACGACGCCACAGTCTGGCCATTGCCAACTGTTGAGACCTCGCCAAAGGTCTTACCTGGGTATGAGTCAAAGGGGATCAAGGTGGAAGAGCCAGATGGCTGGCACCTAGAGCTGGAGGATCCGCCGTTGTACAGTGACCTCGCACCTAATATACGCAGTGGCATAGTGGAACTAATAGCTGCTTCTCCAAAGAAGCAGCATGCGAGGATAATATAAAGGTTGTGGGACACATGACCCACGCACCATAACAGGGTGTCATACTTCAGGCATCAGCCTTCTTAGTACTGAGGTCTTGACACAACTGATCTTTAGTAGACTGGCAACCGTCACAATACGTTGGATACAGAGTAATGTATCAGCGCAGAAATCAGTTCTCCTTTCTTTAGTATTAGAAACACGGTGAACTCACGTCACTATAAGCGAAGTTGTAGCCCTGGAGGGTCTCTTAAGGTTTTTTTTTAGTTAGAGCTAACCTTTGATTACTTAAACTCATATGATTCCAATGTTCTGAGCCGAAACCCCTTTCCAACCCCATCCCTAACCGTTCACGTGACTATTCATTCAAAATGTCTATCACAAACCTGCCTCCAGAGATATTGTCTCATATTTGTGGATATCTGGAGCCTCAGGAGTGGGGTGCGCTCAGAATCACTTGCCACCAAATACATGGCAGTACACTGGAAGCTTATGCAACGCGCTACTTCAACTGTATTCCTTGGTAACAATGGCTGGGTTATTGTAATAAAACTATAATTTGCCTTACAATTTGATTCGATAGCAGCTCTATATATTGTGTCTTCGGTTGAACACAAAGTTACCTACAGACTACCGTTCTCGGTAAGCCGAGTACCTAGTCTATAACTTTAACAACTAAGCTATATTACGTGACATAACTAGATAACTAACTAGTCAGGCCAAAAGATCGTAAGGACAAACAGAACGTCTATTTGATTTCAGCGGTTCTATATATCAGGCCCTAACATTCGTTAGGGAACACAGAACCTCACGGCTTTACCCCGTGGTGTATCTGAGCCCTCGTAAAAGCGGCGGCAGCTAAGATAGGAAAGCCCCACCCGGCAGAGGAAATATGTTATGTACAGTCACCTATGTACGGCCCGATGCAGGTAGAGGGTATCTAGGAGACACGAGGGGTCTGGTGGGAATAAAGCGATGGTAGTGTACAAAGGATCACAGGATTTTAAAAGGGTGTAGAGGTATTAGGTCAAATAGGAACGAAAAGAGAAAAGAAGGGATATAGTAGATGAAGCAAAGCGATCATTTCCGGAATGTCAGCTTCCGGCCGATGTTGCGAATTGTTTTGATGTGACTAGACGAGTCAGTCGGTTTCTTCGCCACGGCGATAAACGGACTCGGGGGTGGGATTCATACCTATCATCCTGATCATTCTTGCCAGATCGTATCGTAGTCACGGTGTTACCGGATGTCATCGGCCTTTCGGGTGGAGGGGCATTGACAAATCGACGCGACGCCTAAACATTCTGTATTAGCATTCGGGGATATTCACGGTGACACGGTGAGACGAAAGAACACGAACCTCCCAGCGAGAATCCACATCCACATCACTAGCGGACCGCGAGTCATGGATGGTGGGATCTGAATAATCTGTGCCGTGGGGATCTGAATTCAACGAGGTCGTCCTAGCCAATGGCGAGGCATTCGACTGCATGGATCTGCGCGAGCGGGACTCCGAGTAATCGCTATTAGAGTCGTAGCTGGCCAGACTATGGGCTTGATCATTGTTCTGTTTCATCAAGCTGAATGTGTCTGGCAGGAGTTGAGACGAGGATGCAAGCTCACGGAAACGCTTCTGTTGCTGCTTCGAAGGTCGGTGGTGGGAGAACTTGTTGCCAAGAATGGCGGGCGCGTGCGAGATGAGGGCTTTAATCACGTCTTTCTTGAGGCGCAAGGCAAGATCCAGGTTCGACCATGTCTTGTTACTATACTCGAGAACTGGAAGGCGGAAGACGAAATCGTGGAGATCCTCTAGATTGTGCTCGCCTCTGCCCTTGTAGCTCAGACAAAGAACTACGTCATTCACCTTCACATGTGCGAGAGTCATGAAGTTGGAGGCGCGGGAGATCATTTGGGTCAGGTCATCGGTTTGCTCTTTGGATTTGCCGCCCTTGTTGGTCCCTTTACCTATTCCGAACTTCTTGCGACTGTCTTCGCTAGCACTGTGGCTAGACATGGATCTTTCGGTGGGATGTTTAGTCAACATGCGCAGACTATCAGCAGACTTCTTCTTGCGGAGACCACCAGTTGTAGAGGGACGGCCCGTTTTGCGCGCGGTCTCCGAGACACCCAGTCGATTACTATCTTGGTGGATAGGTGTCATCATCAGACCCTTCAGATGGCCTGAGCGATGACGCGGCGGCTTGGTCTCATCTAAAAGTGACAGTGTCGGCTGGAGGCGCAGTTCGATGGAGCCCGGTCCCTTAGAGATGGCGAGACTGTCCATAGACGAGCTATCACCATCGATACTCGTTGAGCGTGTCAGTGGTGCGCCGTTGGGGCCTTCGCCGTTGGGGCCTTCGTCATCGTCTTCCCCATCTGAAGCTTCAAGTGGCTTCATGTTCTTGATCATGAAAGGCGAGAAACCACCAGCCTCAAAGGCGCTAGAACCCACGTTGGGGAAGACGTATTCGAAGACTTTCTGGCCCAGCTCGCGTTCGAGCTGAATCTTCAGCGGGAACAATGAAACTTCAAAGTTGTCAAGCACAGGGATACCGGCAACGGCCTCCAGCATGTGCCATTTGATGCGCAACATGAAGTCATCGAGGGTGCGTCCGCCGTCGAGGTAAGGCGCGATGATTTGAGGGTAGATAGCGTCTGGAAGTAAGTTCAACCCGACTAGTCGTTCGATGGATACCAGGTTATGGTTCGAGCCATCAGTATTGTCGGTTCGCTCATATGAAGCATTGCGCAATTGGAACTCAATCAAGGGCTCAGAAGCCTCCTTCATCAGGTGCCACACGACCTCGCTCGCCGATATGCTCCAACGCAGTAAGCCATGGACACCGGCGTCCCTGGACGAACTCGGTTCCATTCGCCGTTGGGAAGTTGTGATTGCCTTCATCATGAAGAAAAGTTCATCCTCGCATAGAGACAAGTCGCGTTCGAGGGCCAGCCGATCCTCCCAGCCCTGTTTGTCAAGGAACTTAGCGTTGATCTGAAAGTACTCTTTGATTTCTTCCAACTGGCGAATGCGTGCTTGAAGCTTGAACACCATTTCCGGGGCGCCACTAAGGTCACTGAAGTCGGAAGTGAGCATGATCCTCTCTAGGCGCTCATTTCGGACCTTTTCGAGTGGTTCGCTGTAGAGCATGAGGTCCAGGACAATAATGTACATGGAATAGTACTCTGCAGAATCACAAATCGCGCGGAAATGAGGGAAGTCCACACTAATCGAGTCTATGCGGTCTTCTTGGTCGTCAGGTTGAGGTCCTTCCTGATTCTTGTTCACCTCTTCGTTATACTTGAGGCGAAGATTGTTGAACTTGTCGTAACGCAGGGTGGCAGAAGTCTTTTGCACAATACGAGAGAATCCAAATGGATTCAACTCGAAATCAAACATGGCTTCCAAAGTCAACCACGGTGGCCACGCTGATCCAGGCGCATTCCCGTACTTATTGCCAGCATAGAATTGCAAGTTTGTCATCAATTTCTTCTGTGTTGCAACGAAAAACTGGGCACCGTCCATTTCGAGGGAGAAACGGCGTTGTATCAAGCCGCTGACATCATCCGAAACACGCCCTTTGTCCATGATTGACACGACCTTGAGTTCCATGCCTTTAGCGGCAACAAGCAAGACCGACTTCTGGTTCTTTTCACTAAGAAGCTGTATTTGAGGTGCAATGAGACGCAAGTGATAAGTGTTCTGGGGAGTGAATTCCGGCACGATATTCTCACTCGAACTGTCCGAATTGGCAGAGGATGGGGTGTTCGGAGTTGATTGGTTGTTCGAGTCTGGTGGATCGTTCTCTTCGACATTCACGTAGCGCTTAGCATCATTCAGCAACTGTTCAATGCGATCTCCAACCTCCTCCTCATCCTCATCGACGCTCGAACTTCGGGTTTGTGTCTTGGACATTTTAGGCTGCTTGCGATCGCTCTTGTCCTGTTCTTCCACGATATCAAGGATAAATTTGACAGCGCGGCGAGACATGTAGTAGACAAATCCACGCCGCTGGCTCACTTGGTGACTATACCGCAATACGATGTTGCGGAGCGAGTTGTTCCATTTGAGCTGCATGTTGTGGATCATGAAACGATTGTCGAAATCGCTGGAGAACTCATCGTTGGCCGACGAGTAAATTCCATCCAAGGCTGAAGAACGGCCATCGGTTGTACCTGTTCGTCCTGTTCGGAAAGAAGCAGTGCTGGGTGCAACGTTTTTGCCAAGTGTGTCGCCATATGGAGTCCGCTCGTCGCGTGTGATATGTCTCTCAAGACGATTGAGAGTTGTGGTCAAGAACTTGCGTCGTCTCGCTAGAGACTCAGACTGGCGAAGGAATAACTCATGCTCGGCTTTCAGTTCTGTATTATTGTCTACTTCTTTCATAAGCTTGATTTCGATTTCCCCAATTGTGCTTTCATAATTGCGAATCTGTGCCTCGACTGTTGCAAGGCGGTCTTTGACCAACTCAATCTGAACACGGCGAGGATCGTTGGTTTCAGACATGACACACTCGTGGGTCGGTTCGTCCCCAAATGGACTGTAGCCCGTTTCGTCGGGTCCGATGTCGCAGTGATCCGTGTTGCGGAAGTAGGTGAATCGCGGGGTGAAGGCCAAAGGTAAGATCTGGGTACGGGGGTTCGACTCCTGTGGAAGGATCCAGTCCGGCTCCACGAAATCATCCATGTCGACCCAGTCCAAATTGTGATCAGGGATTGTGAAACGAGACAAGTCAACTGATGGAACAGGCTGTTGGAAGGAAGAGAGGATATCGTCTTTGTTGCGCTCAACGTCTTCCGGTGTTGTGCCTTCGATGCTGGCGGACACGGCGCGGAAGTCTGCAGATTGCATATCAATTTGGGCTTGATTAATACGCATCGCGGTTGTCCTGGTCTGTTTTGAACGGCCCCCGGCTTGTGTTTTGATTTGCTCGCGACGTTGATGGATATCAAGTTTCAAGCAATCAAGGCGAACTTTCAAGCCCGTGGCCACAACAGCTCTCTCTTCATAATCTTCGCGATCCTTGTGCTTGTACATATGGGCCACGAAAAGGGGTGCAAGAAGAATCTTGTATTTGACAGTCGCCAAATGACGATTGAACTTCTTGGCGGTCTTTGTGACTCCTGGCCAGAGCGATCCTTGGCGAACAGGAAGCGACATCACGCCCGAGAAAAGAGACCACCAATTGAAGAAGTGGGTGAAGAATCGCGGTGAGAGATGGATTGTGTTGTAGCTTGAAGACGGTTGCACATTGTCGACAGCCCAGTCTCTATTCTGCGGTGCAATAATCGAGACAGAAAGGTGAATATGGTCACTCCGGAAGCCACGATAGGCATCGTAATTGATCTGCTCGGATGGTTTGACGAATCTGGGGTTCTTAAGAATGACCTCATAATGTGGTTTGAAGGAGAAGGACCTTTCATCATTCTCACTATCCCGCTCGAAGACGAGACCTGCTGCCCACTTGACATCGCCAGAGAGCTTCATAATAACCTTTTTGAATTGGGCAGCATTCTTCTGCTCGCTGGATGCAGAACTGTTATCCACCTCCTCTGTGGTAGCTTCGTTTGCCCAACGTGCTTCGGCACTGTAGTCGGGAATAGCGAGCACATATTCGCCGCTCGTGACAGTCATGAATTCCATGGGATTGTCACTGGTGTGCACATCCAATTGGACATCTCTACGCCAGCACATGACGAAGCCGCTTCCAAAGCCGGTCACCACATACGGATCACGAGAGCCCTTAAGTCGCAGATGTACATCGCCATCTTCCCTCCAGAGAACCTTGATCCGGGAGTGAAAGCTGAGTCGGATCTTGTCCCAGAAGCCCACCCGCTCCGAGGGATCAATTTCAGGTTTCGTGAAACCCTCAATGATCTTCATCATATCTTGAATAACAGGCTGATAGGAGACACCCCATGAAATGCTAGTCGGCAAACTTGTGTTTATCTCGATGACAGGGTCCGAATAGGTCTTGACTGGTGTAACAGAACGCCACACCTGAATCTTGAACGCATCGCGGGGGGATCCGTCGAACCCTTCAGATGCAGGAACGAGTTCCACTTCAACCTGTCTTGCGGATTCATGGTCACGCCATTCTTCTGCAATGACAAAGTTCGTCCGCAAAGACCAGCTGGGAAGTCTTGGGGACTGCCCTGGGCGCAGGGCTGGGATGTGCAATAGATCTAGGGGATAATCTCGCAAGTTGACGCGTGCTTCACCCATTTCCAGGTTAAAGCTCATTGGGATGAGCAGGCCGTATTTCATAGACATAGGCATCCCCTTTCCGATTCGGTTCAAGTAACTGGGGAACTCATCGATAGCGAATGAAGGCTTGTCAATAACAAGGTGAACATCACTGATCAGAGCCGACATCAGACCCGGTCTGTTCGGAATGGCAAGAATGGTTTCGGTCTCTTTCACATCCGGAGGAGGTTCATCTGCACCAGAGAAGAGATTTCGGACTTGTTTGATAGAAGTGCCCTGGAACATGAGAGCTGCATCGATCTTCTCTTTCCAGACTTGAGCATTGTACTGTTGAAGTCGGCCCCAGGCAGAATGCACAGAGATCTTTTGCTCCGATGAGAGACAGGTGGCGCCTTCGGTATCATAGCGGTATTTCCGACCTCTCCCGCGTTCTTGGGCGCTAGATCTCGGGCGTTCATCGGCACTCCTGCTTCGCCTTGTATCTAGGCTAGTTCGCTCGCTGCGCATTGTCCGATGGCTCGACTTGGCTCGTGACCGAGATGAGGCACGCCGCTGGTCAGATTCCATGACTTTGTGAGATTTCAACTGGAAGGCGTCTTCCCGGGCCAGCCGCTGAATCTGTTCAACCAGGCCAACTCGATAGATGCAGCCCAGTTTCCACTCAAAGCCATCGTCCTCCAACTCGAAGAGCAACGCTTTGCTGCGAATAGATATCCTAGGCACCTTCTTCGGGCCTTCTGGTTCTCTCAAGGAGCCGAAATCTCTGCAACCATTCTTGAAGCGATGATGCAGCTGTTTCAAAGCCTTGGAAGTGTTGATAAGGTTATCAAAAATGCGGTGCATCACCATATGATGAGGTACACCAATTCGGATGAAGTCTGTCCATATGTCGATAGATTTTTCTTCCACCAAAGTGTTGCCATGTTTCATCTTCATCTTTCGGAAATCCAGCCTGACGTTGTTCATACTTCCGATTCTTGCCCAAACACCCTTGAGCTTAGGTGCCTCTGCATGGAAGCGGACAAGGTTGGCTTTAACATAAGGAGTAGAAAGACGTTGAGAAGCACCGGCAAGTCCGTAGATCTGAATCATTATTTGAGGATCGTTTGGCAGGTTTGCCTTGAGCTGCACAACTGTTGCCTTCATGTCGTATGTGACAAGCTCCTTTTTTGGAGACCATTTGTATGCCGGAGGCGGCGGTAGCGAGACACTCGCAGGCGCCCTGGGTTTGTTTTCGGCAGCCTCTGAGTGCTTTGGCGGTAAGGGTGTGAGCACGTCTTGGATCACGGAAACGGCAACGCCGAGGCAGTAGAACCGGTACAGTGAGTATTGAAGGTATATGCCCTTGAACACGGATGTGACATGCAGGAGCGGTCCGAGGCGATCACAGTGGGTGCTCAGCGCAATCTCGAATCGAGGCAAAGAGAAGAATGGCTCGGGTTCCAGATAATCCTCTGATTCAATGACAAAGCCATCGAAACCACGCGCGTGGAAAGCCAGTCGCCGGCCATCTGAAGCGCCGCGTTGTGTGTGAGTAGCCTTAGGAGGCGAGGTTGGGGGAAATCGAAAGGGCGATTCATCGCCAATGGTGGAATGGCTCGGAGTGCGTCGCCTAGCAATGCTTCCGACATTTGTCTCCGTTTTTTGAGCTTTGTATTCCGCTGTCCACGATTGTAGTTGCAGAGATACACCACGAGATATATCAGAAACGGTGCTGTCCACACCAGCGACTTCCACACTGGACCCTGTGGCTTCGAACTGAAATTGGAGTAGCCATGGTGGCACTCGTCTCAACACGCTTGCCTTTTTTTCATTTGTCGGTATTGGTACCCGCTTCTGTGATTGCATCTGGGTGATGAATTGCTGCAAGACTTCGCGGATTCCACGGTTTACATCCCCATCAATCATGTGGACTGAACACTCGTTAAGACTTCCTGAGGCGATTACACAGACCTCTGGAGTGGCGTTCAAATGGGCCTTCAGCTCCAGATTCTCGTTTGTGAGCAAATTGTGTTTGTTGCCTGCTGGAGTCTGGTAATAGAATTTGTGGGAGGCGACCCGGTAAATTGACGATAGGGAATAGTGGGCACCGCCTTCAGATGAATGAGAGGACTCGATATCGAGTGAAATAGAGGAGATCGAGGAAATAAGGAGGTTGTAATCATCGGGAGTACCAGACTCTTTCTCGATGGGGAGAACAAACCGGACCACAGGTTCGTGAACAGAAATATTGATGCTTGCCTTCGGGAGTAGTCGAGAAATCAATCGATGATTATCTCGCTTCTTCGCCCGAGGAGAAGAAGCTCGATTTTGTGCTAGTTTAAGCAGCCTCGAAACATGTTGCGGTTGGAGATCAACCGAGGGTGATGTCACGACCAAATTTGCGAACAGGACATTTGTGTTTCGCTCTTCAGCATTCCCATCATCGAAGGTGCTCACCGTCTTCGAAGGCAGTGTGGTTTTGATGGTTGTCGTAGCCATGGGGATGTATAGAATGTTATCGGTCTCGCCCGATTCGTCGCCTAAGCTGACGGAAAGAGAGATAGCAGCAAGAAGAGCCTGATGGGCAACATCATTCCGCTGGAAATACATGCGATGCTCTGGGCTTCTTTGGTCCATCCGATGAAGATCAATTCCAAGCTCATGCGATACCACATTCAGATATACGGGGGTTTGTCCTGCAGACAGAGCCTGGATACCCTTTGAGACACGGAAGAAGCTCAAAGCAATCTGTATCTCCTGTACACCACGAAGTAATGAGCTTGCAAACCCCTTTGAGTCCGCCACTGTCTGTATAATGGCATTGTCTCTGCTTCCAGGCTTGTCGAGTTCGTCCACGAAATCGGCAAATGATATCTCGTCATCGGTCTCCGTATTTGACCCCTGTGCAGATTTCTTGACCGGTTTGATGCGCTGCAATAGCGTGCGGAGATCGTCATATGGAATATGCAAACGCCCAATTTTAAGGGCCACCGAGGCGTCTCTCAGTCCGTCCAAATCCTTGTGAAGAAGTCCATGGAGATTCACACCAACATTATCCAATATCTCGGTTGGCTCCCGGCCGTCGACATTGAGTAAAACATTTTTGGCATTCATAATCCACTCGGCTGGGCGTTGGTCTTGCGACATATCCTTCTTGCGACGAAATAGCTTGCCCCGTTCCACCATCTTCCTCCGCGTGTCGACTGAAAGAGAAAGCGATCCCACCTGGATTTGGCCAGCGTTGACAAAGTGGACGGTTGTGTCGATAGCAGTCAGGTCCACGAGGGCCAACCAATGGATCTGCCGGTGTAGCCGCTTGACACGTTCCTTGATTCGTGTTAACGTCCTCCATGTTTTGCTTCTGCCGCCAGGTTCGGGGGCGGCGTGGTCTTCGGATGGTTGACGCGGTGCGTCGCGTTTTCCCTGGCCCAGAGTCGTCGAGTCCACGGTCACCTTCAGTTCTGTCAACCGAATGCTGATCCATGTTGGCTGGGCAAATGACGGGGGGTGTAACAACAATCCGAGGCCACGGATTTCAATGTGTATTCCTTCCTTCGGGGTGTATGCAATTCGGCGCAGCGAAAAGTAGCCGATCCGTTGGATAGAGATTCCCGTCGCGATCCGGACGATAGCGAAGATGAAAAAGGACGAGAGGTAAAGGAGGAGGAATCCCACGAGAATCGAGGTCGGGTTAAAGAGGGTCATCGCGGTTTGCGATCAGCAGCGGGCTGATCTCAGACAGGCAGTGTCGACTCGCACATTGAAGTTATGTCGGAGTTCAATGGCACTGTTGTTAGGTCCCCCGAATTTCTACTCCGTACTGTCTGTCTGGTTGGAATCAGTGACTCCAGACTCCAGAACAGCAGCGACCTTGCCCATCAAAGTCTCAGTAGGATGAGCACTGCAGGCTGATTCGAATAAAATGAGTGTAGGCGAATCATGCCGGGGGGAAACTAAAGGGTAAGGGAGAATGAGAGTGGGCTACCGGACAGATCGGAGGAACTGGCCAAAAAGAGCGGTACGCTAAGTTATCTCTGTCATATCTCATAACTTGGCTTCTTTTTTACATTAATGGCTCTGTTGTTATTTCTTTTCATAGACTATATACTATCAAGCATTTTATATTCCGATAGACTCCTACAATGTTCCTATATAGTTGTTTGTTCAGATTGATCGACACGCGACCCAAGAATTCAGGGGAGATCCTTTTATCAGCCCTCGGGGACTCCAGGCCCGCTCTATATTCATTATGCTCGACTCTGTCCTCTTCTTTGTCTCTCTCTCCCCTTGTATTGTACAACAATTCGCATTTGCCTTATTTTCACATGGCCCTATTTTCAGGGTTGCTTGGGGCTTGGAGCAGAGACCGGTCGAGACTGCTCCAGTTCCTGGATTTTATCGTCAAGAAGAGCAATCTCAGCCTCGACGCTAAGGAGCTTTTCCCTCAACATCCCCCTGTATTCTTGGTCAGAGAGTGTGCGGAGTGGAATCCATTTAGATTCCGCCATTCGCTGCATCAAAGGTTTCGATGTCTTGTGTGCATTTTCCATTTGCCACGCGTCTACTCGGTTGAAGACGCTCTGGCCGCAGTACCCGAGTAATGAGAAAATGATAGCCCCCGGAACCAGCCGGCCTCCTGTATGATTTAGTTAGACGTGATGCCAGAATATGTGCTTTTAGTGCGGGATACGGTACCCATCAACTTCGTTACACTTCCGCCGGCAATGCCACCGCATAAAGCACTCGTGTACGTGCGCTCCTGAAGCGACGCTTTATCTTGGTAGTGATGTTTAATGATGTTGCTCCGTAGCCCTGTCCCAAGATTAAGGTTAGACATCAGCGATATAAACATAGAGTGTCCCCACATACACCAAAAGGCTGAGCCGCACGCAAACCAGTGGATGCCACATGACAATGAATGAATCATGGGATTAGGGGATCTGACAACTCCAGCGGCTGCTCCATAGATCAGGCCAGCGGTTCCTGGTTGGAAAATCAGCACTTCATCTTTGAAAACCCCGTTGTGTCTGTATCCAAACAATCTTACGAAGGGCAGATACTAACCGCTGAGGGCTCCGACCTTGGCTGCAGACATGAGAGCGTTGGACTGAAAATCCTGCATATCTTTGATTTGGTCACCCATTATTTTTTAACCCGAGAGATGCATGAGTTCAAAGCTCGTGGAATGGTAAGTAACAATCATCGAAGCTCTCATCGAAGCAGTAATCCAAGTCAGAAGGAATATGGTCACGTGCCCGGTTGATGTACCTGATTATGTAATGTTATCATACGGCCTTGGATGGACGAATTAGGGCATAAGCAGAATTGGTACAATAATATTCTAAAGGTTTTGGTCTATATTTTATATTCATGCTATGGCGACTGGCTTTGTTTAATCATGTTGGAGATAAATGGTGAACGAGGCCCAGATATAGTATCCCCGCATTGCACATGCCCAGTAGATGATCGCCTGCAAGACCGCCAGCCCCGCGATCTTTATTTCCCCTCATATGGTTGCGATTGATTCCTACTGGCTCACAAGCCAAACCTCCACTTTGGTACGAGACGCAATCTCCAAGAAGTGTCTATCACAATGTCAAAAGGCTTGAAATAAAGCTCGAATATCCATTCAAGCTAGCTTTGCGATGTTATTGCATCTTGTTATACAAATATTTAGAAATCAGGCTGATGCGGTATAGGAATGACGTCCACTGCTAGTTGCATATTCTTCGGGGATACAATATCTCTGGGCATCTTGCTAGCAGCCTGAGGAGGGCACATATTCGTTGATCAGCGCCTGATCAGAGCCTCCAGTACTCAAAATATATGTTGTACATACATGTAGGTACGCCACTAAAATTCGTTATACCTGAGCCCTACCCAAAAGGCCTACAGCAATACTATATATATAATAGTTCCATACCAGAGGCTCAGGCGAAGTATATGAAATAGTATCAAGCGCTAATGCGGAACGATCTATAAATCGGACTTGTCATACTGTCGATTCATACAAGTAACGGAGGCTACTGCAGCCGACTCCTCTTGGAATGACAAAATTATAGCCAATAAAGTTACAACCGAAATGAAATTGTCCTCGTATTCTTTTTTTTTTGGCAGTATATTCTATGATATATTTTTAGCCGAGTATAAGAAATGCACCATTGTATACAGACAAGGTAAGAACTCGCATTTTCTCGCTTCCCGCCTTATTTCAAGCGAACAAAGGCACAAATAGCCTATTACCCTCACAATATTCGTCAATTCCAGGGAAAATACAAACGATTTCGACGATGGTCGCAGTTCTGGTATAGACCGATCTCGCCTCTGATTGGGCTAGCGTCACCACTAAAATTTTAGTAACCCGTCCACTTCCATGCCGCAGCCGACTTCCCCTCTACCAACTTTTCCACTGTGGGTTTGCAGATATTGAACCTCACTCAACTACTTCACTCAAAATTTGATTCTTGGTCTTTTCACCAGGTATCTCTGATCGTTTGACCTTTTCTTCTTTCTCACCCTACTCTCCGAGAAGCGCGCACAAATCCCGGCGCGTTTCCCTCAACTTAAAACCGCAATCATGGGTTCGTTCCAGACCTTCCATGTCCTCCAGGACATCCGTCCCCCGAAAATATTCATGGGCGATTGCTAACATGATGAATTACTAGCTCCCAAAAATAAAGCCCAGAAGATGTCTATGAGCACCTTCTTGGCCGATGAAAGTGCGTATGCTGGAAAATTTGGATGATTGAGGTGATTACTGACGGCTAATAGGCCTTGGCTCTTGGGCTGATGAGATGGAGGATATGCCCCTTCCTTGTAAGTTCCAGATTTCCCCACTATGGAAACGGCGAAATTGTACTAACAAAATTTATAGCCAGTATGTAGTGTGCACCTAACATGCTTATCGTTGATCGAAACCCTTGCTTACACTATGGACAGCCCAGCCATTGACTTCCACCTTCAACCGTCGCCCCGCGGGTGATTTGGGATACGGCTCCGCCTCCGGCTCTGGCGGCTTTGGTATGATTCCCCGCGCCAGACACACAGACCATGTTCTGACAGATTGAATGATTAGAGCGCGAGCGTGGAGGATATGCCGTCCGGGAGCCTCTTGATCTCCCCACACAGCCCCCCTACACTTGCCACGTTGGCAACCTTTCCTTCGATTCAACTGACGCCGATATCTCCGAGTTTTTCTCTGCATGTGGCGTGACGAACGTTCGTCTCGTGGAAGACAAGTTGACAAAGGCCCCTAAGGGTTTCGGATATGTCGAGTTCGAGACCGTCGAGGGTCTGCAGAAGGCTCTGGATCTCTCTGGCTCGTCTTTCCAGGGACGTTCCATCCGTACCAGTGTTGCGGAGCCTCGTAAGTACCGAAGGTTGGTGTTTTGTAATGATTTCGACTGACAGATTATCTAGCCAAGGAATCTCGCCTGGAGGGCAAGGATCTTGACTGGTCCCGACGTGGTCCCCTCCCCGACCTTCCCCAGCGACGTGCGCCTGAGCGCTCCAGCTTCGGACGTGGTATGGATGCCGGCTCCGATGCGGGTAGCGACCGCGGTGGCCGCCGCAGCAACTTTGAGTCCGACGGAAAGCCCCGTGACTTCAACAACTGGGAGCGCAAGGGACCCCTTTCGCCCTCTGCCGGTGGCCCGCCCCGCGAGGGTGGCCGAGAGCACAGCAACGACGGACCTGGTTCCAGCTTCCGGAGAACCGAGGCCGCATGGGGTGAGGGACGTTCCCAGGACGAGGGCTCGCGCCCTCCCCGCCCCGAGCACGTTCGCCCCGAGCCCACACCTACTGCTGCCGATATGGACAACCAGTGGCGCGCCAGAATGCGCCCCGACGAAACCCCCAAAGAGCCTATCACCCCCGCCTCCCCCTCTGCTACGCCTGCCGCTCCTGCTGCCCCTGCTAGCCGCCCCAAGTTGAACCTGACGAAGCGCACCATCTCAGATAACCCCGCCCCCACTCCTACCTCAGCCAGCAGCGACTCTAAGGCTAGCCCCTTCGGTGCCGCTCGCCCCATTGACACCGCTACCCGTGAGCGCCAGGTGGAGGAGAGACGCCAGCTTGCCCTCCGCCAAAAGCAGGAAGCTGCCGATAAGGCTAAGGCTGAGAAGGCCGAAAAGTTTGCTGAGAAGCAAAAGCAGGCTAAGGAGGCAGCCCCTGCCGTGGAGCACAACGGCAAGGATGCCATTGAGACCCCCAAGGGAGGTGGCAACTTTGAGATCCTCCAACGGGCCGGTGAGGATGGCGAAGAGGTGGCCACCGAAAAGGAGACCGAGGAGACGCCTGCCGCTCCTGTCGAAGCCAAGAAGGCGTCTGCTAACGGCTGGAGAGCCCCGGCCCCTGAGGCTGGTGCTGCTCCTGCTGCTGGCGGTGACGACGAGGGATGGAGCACGGTCAGTGTTAACAAGCGCAACAACCGCCGTGGACAGACTGGTCGAGGATTCGCATAAACGTATCGATACCCCGAAGCAACGACCGATTTGCCCTGAGCCTTGGATTTACCGGAACGCCAGGTGGGTTAATTCTGGACGAGGTTCATTCCGGTCTTGGTGCGCTGCTCGGTCTAGTTACCTTGAGCGGTGCATCGGGATAGGTTTGTCACTCATAATTACCACCTGCTTCCGCCATTTCTCAGTGCCGGACGTAGATTGCTTTTTCTGATTGAGCTTTATTCTCCTTTCCACTTCGTCTCTTTTGCCCTTTGGTTTCATGATCTCTTCTCCTTTTTCGTGGGCTAGATTTTCCGATATACATCTAGTCCTCGCTTTGATGATCTGGCAATCCGAAAAGTTTCATTTTATGTCTTGTTCGCTATCTAGCTATTATTCCCATGCGTGACTCAAAGTGATCTGCCCATGACCATTACAGCCGATGCGAAACGAATACTACATGTTCCATTTTATTTTTTTTTCCCTTGCCCTGTTTTCTTGTTCTCTCAACTTTCTCCTCTCTTCCGTTTGATTGACCACGGGTGGTCCTGTTTCTTTCTCGTTCCTGTCTGCCATTGGGACCTACGGGGAAGTCGGAGTGTTGACACTCTTCTTCTTTCTCCGTTCTCGGCCATGTGAATAAGACGACTCTGCGAGAATAGTCATTATGAGCACCCCTCTCATGAGCACAACGTTGACGAAATCAATTCCTGTTCCTGCTCTTCTTTCTGTGACTGCTAATTCAATTCTTTGGGGTCTTTGCATGGCAGAGTTGTCTCGATGGTCCTTGCTCCATTTCTGCGTACTAACCTTTTTGAATTGAATTTCCGCTTAGCATAGAATGAAATGTTCACCGAAAGTTGTTTTTGTAGAATTCTTTAGGCTATAAATACATATCTACGATACTTCGAGAAGAACAGACCTTTTCCACGATGCTTATACTGAGACTCTATGTCTCTTATGTCTAATTTTAGCAGTAATAGCATGGAAAATAGATTTCCACTTGGACTATTGGACGCAAGGGTATAAATAGGATCCACTAGTCTCGAACAGTTTGAAGAACGTGGCATATTAATACAACGACCGAGGGTGTGAGATGTCACTATAGTATATAGTGAACTGTGTCTGTTTTCGAAATAGTGTGAATACAGTTGAATATAGTTGGACTATAGTTGAGTCTCCAGTCAAATTCATTCATTCTAACATCTTATGAGATCATCCAGGAACCAAGGAGATGCGATTGGCCAAGAAATGGAGTGGCCGGCATGGATTTAATTGAAACCCCTTCGAAGGGCCAGGGATTCGTATGATTTTCAGCCTTTTAAATTCTTTTTCCTTTTCCCTTTCTATCACTTGGGTTCTTCTTAAACCCCGTCAACCCACCGTTGCAACCCTAGTACGCCTAGTTCAAAACATTAAACCCTGTCAATCCCGGGGTAAAACCCATACCATGTCAACAACATCCGTCACCACGCTTGTCATACCGGCCATGAAGGGTGTCGTTATATCAGAAAATAAATGTCCCATGTGTTGGGGTGAAGGCTTTCCCCAAGATGGTTCTGGCGCCCACGATAGAATCCAGGAGTTGGAGGGGCAAGTGCATACGTTGACAGCGCGCGCTTTGGCTGCAGGTAAGCCTGTGAAGGATCTCTACAGACTACATACACACAAGTGTAGCATGAATGCGATCCCGCGTCTACAGAGAAGACAATACTTTCCCCCCCTTCCCCTTCTTCCAATCCAACCCTTAAAAACAAGAATCCCCGCTAACCCGATCGCAAACAGCCTCCAAACTTAGCGAGTACGAAGACGAACTCCGCCGTCTCCGCGCCTCCCAGCCCCAAGGAGCCTACCACACCCCGCGCAGCAGCTCTTCACTGGGAAGACCCCCCTCCCGAGCCGACCATTCATCACCACAGCGCCCAACATCCTCAGAATCTCAATCCCAACGACAAACATACCACAGCCGCCTCACAAACCTAGCCTCCTTCCTCCCCTACCGACGTGGCAGCGCAACCCCCGCACCAGCAGCATCCAGCGGCCCCCTCCCAAGTACCCCGACCGCGCTGGGAACACCACTCCTACACATGTCCCCCGCGAACAGCGAGCACACCTCCGAGCTGCAGGATGCGCTTGCGCGCGAGCAGAAACTGCGCGAGGCTGCCGAGTCGCAACTCTCGCTGGCGAGTACCGAGCTAGAGGAGTTGACGGTGCAGCTTTTCAGTCAGGCAAATGAGATGGTCGCAGAGGAGCGCAAGGCTCGCGCGAAGCTTGAGGAGAGGGTTGCTGTGCTGGAAAAGAGGGATGTGGAGAAGCGCGGTCGGTTGGAGAGGTTGGAGAATGCTGTGGCGCGCGTGGAGCGATTGAGGGCATTGGTTAATCAATGACGGGTTTCAACATTGGAACATTGGAACGTTGGAAGGTTTTGAGTTGATGTGTTGGATTTTTTTGTCTTCTTATGACCGGTACGATTGGATTATTCGACGATGGACATGATTTGGCGTCTATTTGGTCGCATTTGGGGATTTGGATCCCCTTTGATATTGGGCGCAACCGGGGTTATGGAGTGTACAGTTCATATTGACTTTTTGTCTGGTTATGAATGTGTTTTTTTTAATTTGACTTGAATTGTAACTTGATATATCAGACGGTATACATGCATGTCACCTATGATGTACTACTTAAATAGGTAATGCAGCCGACCAAATGACGTGCGTCAAGGTTGGACCTTCCCGCAGTTTAAAGTGTTGTTCCCCACTGTTGGACTTCCTTTAATAGCACCGAAGTACTGCAACGAAACATCTTTCTTCTCGATTCTATCACACTTATTACTATTAATCATGTCTATCGGCGTGGCAATCATTGGCAGTGGTACATATTTTTGTATACTCTACGTTGTTTGTATTGGCTAACATTCAGCAGGTCTCTTTGCGAAAGAGCAGCATCTAGTATGACAAACTCTCCAATGATCCCATATTCTATGTAATATACTGAACTAACTAATAAACAGCCCGCCGTCCAAGCTGTCTCAAATTTCCAACTCAAGGCTATCTATTCTCGAACCTTGAAGTCAGCCCAGGACCTCGCTAGCGGCACGTCTGAAGTCGATCTCTACTCCGAAGACTCAGGCTCCGGCAAGTCCTACACCGATCTACTGGCTCGTTCAGATATCGGCGCTGTGATTATTGCGTACGGGATCACCCCGATTTCTCTAGATTCAACTCAAACAGAGTAAAACACTAACTCTCAATTCCGACAGGCTTCCCATCCTGGTTCAGCCGGAGTTTATTCGGAAAGCACTGCTCGCCGGTAAGCATGTCTTGTCCGAGAAGCCTATCGCTAAGGATGTCGCCACTGCCCAAGAACTTTTGAACTGGTACAAGAGTAATATCGACACCAGTAAGGTCTTCTGGGCCGTCGCTGAGAACTTCCGTTATATCACAAAGTTCCTCTTCGCAGCAGAGCAAGTTCAAAAACTGGGCAAAATCCAGAATTTCCGCGTCAACGTTCACAGCCTGATGGACAAAGAGAACAAGTACTTCCGTACGTCCAGTCCCAGTGAACTACATGAATGGTCTTATAGCGACTGACTATATTGAACTAGACACCGCCTGGCGCAAGACCCCTGAATACCAGGGTGGATTCCTTTTGGACGGTGGTGTGCACATGACTGCTGCGCTGCGCCTGATTCTAGGCCCCACGGAGCGTCTTAGCATTCTGTCGGCGCAGTCGCAGCTGCAAAAACCATTCCTGCCACCCGTTGATACAGTGGATGCCGTCGCGAAGACTAAATCTGGTGCTACGGGTGTTATCTCTTTGTCGTGGGGATCGTCATTTAATGATCAGATTTTCGAGTTTGCTTGCGAGAAAGGTGTCGTCACCTTGAACTTCGATGATGTGACAGTTAATGGCGAGAAGCACCATGTGGAGTTTGATGGCAGGGGTGTTTTGCCAGAGGTTGCTGCGTTTGCAGACTCAATTGTGAATGGAAAACCCGACAGCAGACAGTCTCCCGAGGAAGCATTGGCGGATCTTGAGATCTTGGAGCAGATGTTGCGGAGTGGCGAGAAAGATGGCGAGAAGGTTCAGTTGCATTTGCAGTGATAGTTACATACTGGAGAAATCAGTCCAGAATATGACATATAAATGAACAATATAGAATCCCCAAGATGAACGTGCAGCATAATGAGAGACCCATGTATACCTAGAACATCCCCAGATATCGCCCAAAGAGGAATAGTAGGGCTAGGGCTGGACCAGCCCTAGGCTGACATAAGTGGTCTGCTTTCGCTTAGTTCGCCCAAAGCGCACTAGTGTGGGTCTCCCACTCTGCTGCGGGAGAACCTGAGAGAGAAGTTTTCGAGATTGAACTCCGAACCCGACAACTCTCGAACGCCCGGCGAGACCCAACAATACCGACAAGGTCAGTCACCAAATGCGCATGATATTCGATTCAGTCACTAATTTTGATTCCAGATGGTCGCCGCTAAGCAGCACATCCCTATCGTGAAGAAGCGTATGTTCCCGATCACCTGTTCCATTCCTTTTCGTACCCATGCCCTGGATACCATCGCCCTTCGATCGTCAACAAAATGAAACAAGCAAGCTCAGCAAGATGCACCAAACGAAGAGCATTGGAGGATCACTGGGAAAAAATCAACATTTGTCTTGGATCGAAGGGCGACATTATCCGCAGAGTCGTGGAGGCTGAAAAGAGCACGGATTTCTCACATTCACAATCGGAGGACTGACATCGACCGCAATTAGGCACGAACCGCTTCAACCGTCACCAGTCTGACCGGTTCATGCGCGTTGGCGCCTCGTGGCGCAAGCCCAAGGGTATTGATAACTGCGTCCGTCGCCGTTTCAAGGGCCAGATGGCCATGCCCTCCATCGGTTTCGGTTCCAACAAGAAGACCCGCCACATGATGCCCTCCGGCCACAAGGCTTTCCTCGTCCACAACACCAAGGACGTTGAGCTCCTCCTCATGCACAACCGCACCTTCGCTGCTGAGTACGTCCTGCGCCTGTTGGAGCGACTAAGTCGTGTTATATGAGTCATACGCTAACAATTTCTACAGGATCGGCCACGCCGTTTCTTCCCGCAAGCGTGTCGAGATTATTGAGAAGGCCAAGGCTCTCGGTGTTAAGGTCACTAACCCCAAGGGCCGTGTCACCACCGAGGCATAAATGGAATAAACCCAGTTTGTTTCCTTTTCATTGGGATTGGTGCACGAGGTCGGGGTTTTTGTATGGCGATACTACTTCTCTGGCGATAACGAAATTTAAGGATTGTGCATGGCATGTCCGGCTCGGGCCTTGTCATAGTGCCGGGCGCTGTGAAGCGAGAGAATTGTTCTCTGAAATGACAACAAAAATTGCAAAAATCCTTTTTGGTTCCAAGATATTTAAAGGTGTCTCAGATTCTAATCTGGCCTTGTACATGTAGTTGTACATACTCTAGTGTACCAGTATAGCGCATGGGTGTACCAGGCAAATCGTAACCCTGAAACAAGTGGTCTTAAACTTCCCTTGACCTTTACTCCCACCCTCTCTAACATATTAACATAATGTGAAACTCCATTCCCTATTATCGATCAATATCACATCAATACCTCACGTTTCAGATCATCGGACCCACCCCATGTGGTGACGTACGTAACACGGACAAAGAAGCCCTAGATATCCGAGAGGACATTGAAGCACGACATAACCCAGGAGGATAGAGCCAGGACAGGACAGGATCAGCATACCTGACATCCTTTATCCGGGTCAAGGTCTCACACTAATTAACTAACCCTCATGAATAATGGTGCCATAATAGCCCTGGTTTGGATGTCACTGATGTACATAGACCTTGAACTTGAATCAGCCCCACGCGCCCATCACTTAAGAACTCAAGGCCCCTCCTGAAGATCCCATCGACTTTTATATTTTATATTTCGGTCTTCATCTGGATATGGAGACCAATAGATCTTTCCATATTCACTGAAGCCGCTTTCTCCGATTCTCTTCCTCCCCACCTCTAGAGTTTTCAATCTCTGAACATGCCTTCTCTCCCGCCCCGATATGGTCGCTGGGTACTTATCCTGGGCCCGGTGGTTCTCATCCTCTTGATACTCCAATTTATCCACGCCGATTTCGGCTCAAAGACCACGCAGGACGTGGTCGGATCCGTCTCCGGGCTAACGATTGATACATACAACGAGACCGACTCAAAAACTGAAACCCACCATGTACCATCATCCTGCCCGACAGACACGGGAATGGACTCAGTGCTGGTAGTGGTAAAAACGGGCATCACGGAAGCGCAAAACAAAGTCCCTGTACACTTAAGAACGACTCTCCGCTGCGTGCCGCACAAGATAATCGTCTCAGACTTCGAAGAAGACATAGCCGGTACACGCACCCACGACGTCTTCCTCAACGTCTCCGACACCCTCAAACAAAGCAACCAAGACTTCGCTATATACAACCGCGCCCGCACAGGCGGACACACAGCCCTAACCTCCCAAGACCATACGAAAGTCGCCAACGGCCCAGCTGGGATGATGGACAACCCAGGCTGGAAGCTGGATAAGTGGAAATTCCTCCCGATGATCCACACCGCGCTGCGCGCGAAGCCAGACGCCAAGTGGTTCGTCTTCCTCGAAGCAGACACGTACCCGATCTGGCCGAACCTGCTCGCGTGGCTGGCGCATTTCAACCCCGAAGACAAGCTGTATCTGGGGAATCAGATGCAGATTGGGTCGACTTTGTTTGCGCATGGTGGGTCGGGGTTTGTGCTGTCTCATGCGGCTATTCATACCGTGGCGGATTTCCATAAAATGAGTGTTGATGCGTGGGATGCGATCACGAACCAGGAATGGGCGGGCGATTGTGTGCTTGGGAGGGCGCTTGCTGCTGCGGGTATTAGGCTTACTTGGTCTTGGCCGCATGTGACTACTCAGTCGGTTTGGGAGCAGGATATGTTGCATGAGGCTTATGCGAAGATACCTTGGTGTTTTGCGCCTTTTACTTTCCACCATATGACGCCGGCGGATGTGGATCGGTTTTGGGAATTCGAGCAGCAGTGGTTTGCGACTGTGAGTTGCTTTCTTTTCCCTTTTTTGGCGGTATATCCATCTCCCTGGAATATGTTACTGACAAAAAGCCCAGTCAAACTCAAGCGTTCTTACATACAGCGACATCTTCCGCAACCTCATCCGCCCAACCCTCGCAGACCACCTAGACAACTGGGATAACTTTGCGAGCAAAGGCGACGACAAAGAAGATTACAAGGGACCCAAGACGCCGACTTCTTTCGCTTCCTGTGCGGACTACTGCGCTGCAGATCCAGAATGCATCCAGTACCGCCTGACAGCTGACTCGCGCTGCACAACGTCCAATGCGGTGCTGCGTGGGAAGCCCCAGCCAGGCACGCAGTCAGGGACGATGCTATGGCGGGTTGATGCTGCGTTGGAGCGGATGGAGCAGTGTGAGAATGTGGCGTGGGTGACCAGCTAGAGTTTGGGATTTTGGGTTGTTGCGTCTGTCTATTGTTGGGATACATTATCAGGCGTTTGGCGTAGTTATGTTTTGGGCTGGTTGGGTTTTGCATCAAGGTTGAAAAATAGCAATATTCGTAGCGTTGGCTGGGAAGCGAAACTGGTAAAGAATTATACATGAACTGGTTGTTTATTGGGAAGTGGATGGTGTGCTGTATAGGTTCTTAGGGCTTGCTGGGCTAGTCTGTGTACAGTAGTTTTAATCAGCTATCTCTCCCGGATAAGATATCGGCAAAAGAAGAAATTTGATTGGATACTTAAATTAGCCCATTAAGTGCTGCTTTCGATGACTCGGAGCAGGCCATTCCCGAAGTGGTGAGACCAGGAGATGAGACCAGGCCGGAATATAAAAGTCATCGCCGCAAAGGTCAGGCCACAGACGGGCCGATAGCCATCCGAGCCCCACCAAACTGGATAATACGCATTTGCCCGCCTCTGTTTGGCTGCCTGGAACCTTCCTGTATGTGGTATACCAATTTAACAGGATTGGGATTTAATAGTAGGGAATATACGGAGTACTGTACACTATATAGCACATAGTGCTCTTCCCAGATCCTTTCTTTTTTCACTCCCCTCTTCACGAAATAGTCTTCTCCTTCTCTCAGCCTCTGCTTCTTCTCTCTTATTCAAGACCTGCTAGGAACCACAATGTATGTCTCCTTCCCCCCCTGGGTGGTTGAATTATACTCTTTTGTGGGATTTGTCGCATATTGACCCTTTTTCTCCTAGGAATTCTACCGTGCTGCCCCCCGGCACCTATTGGGGCCAGTATCAGGATATCACCAAATTCAATACCCATCTGAGCGTGGCAGAGAGATTGTGGGTCGCATGGTATGCGTGGATGCAGAATGATGTCCTGGCCACTGGCATCATGTCCTTCCTCATCCACGAGTTGGTCTACTTCGGCCGCTCTCTTCCGTGGGTCTTCATCGATAGCTTGGGTTTCTTCAAGAGATACAAGATTCAAAGTGTAAGTGGCAAGCCTAACACATGGCACTAGCCGAAATCAACCCGATTCCAGCTGCCATGGAAACTAACATTCTGCTTCAGAGCAAAGTGCCTTCACTACGCGAGCAATGGGACTGCGCCAGGTTTGTGCTTCTGAGCCACTTCACCGTCGAACTTCCTCAAATCTGGTACGTTCCTGCCCTCGACGGAGTGGTATTCTACCGGACGTTTGCCTCTCGGGCCCGATGGATTACTAACGGCTCTTCTAGGCTTTTCCACCCAATGGCCCAGTTCTGCGGTCTATCAACATCGATTCCTTTTCCGTCTCCCTGGACTATGGCATATCAGATTGCAATCTTTTTCGTCATGGAGGACACTTGGCACTATTTTATGCACCGAGCTCTTCATTGGGGTCCACTCTACAAGGCGATTCACAAAGTTCACCATCAGTATTCCGCACCATTTGGTTTGGCTGCCGAATATGCTTCTCCTATTGAAGTGATGATTCTCGGCTTCGGGACTGTCAGCTGCCCGATCCTCTGGTGTGCTTTCACCGGTGACCTACATATTCTCACTATGTATATCTGGATTGTGTTGCGCCTGTTCCAGGCTATCGATGCCCACAGTGGCTATGACTTTCCTTACAGTCTTCACCATTTCTTGCCTTTCTGGGCTGGTGCTGATCATCACGACCTCCACCATGAGAAATTCATTGGGAACTACGCAAGCAGCTTCCGCTGGTGGGACTACCTCCTTGACACCGAATACACTCCGGATGCCCTGAAGCGCCGAAGAGAGAAAAAGGCGAAGGCGAAGAAGACACAATGATCCGAGCGTTAGCAGTGACGGTCTGCCTATCTTCTCTTCAATTTGGGCGTTGGCTCTGTCTGGAGCTTTTTACCTGATAGATGATAGCCTTTTGTATGGTATCGTTCAAGGGTTGATTTACCATGACTAGACTTATCTATCCTTGAAATTAATTGGTTTTCTAAACATCGCTAAACTTATGCCGTAGCCGAGAGATGGCAAAGATGAAGCGGCCTGTCTCGATTAACATACGATTTGTGGCTCTGTGATGAGAACTGACTCTTCGAACAATTTTCGAAGAACGTCCATGGCGCGATTATGAGTGCTATATCCGATAGTCCAACTATCGATGTTTGATAACTTCTTGCCTTGCTCAGCTATTCATAGAGCAATATCTTCAAACTAAAAATATCAATCTTGCAACTTTGGCCGAGCGGTTAAGGCGCTAGACTCAAGAGACTTACCTCTTTCACTGATTTAAGTGAGCATTCTAGTCACGAAAGTGGCGTGGGTTCGATTCCCACAGGTTGCATATCTTTTTTTACTTTTCCACCTTATCATCGATATGATTGGCTGTCGCATACTTAAATTTCTGGGGCAGACAATAAATGCTCTGTGGAATGTGATATTATTTGTTCATGTGGGGCGACTTGTTGAATCTTAACTTTTCTTATAATTTTTTTGGAATCTCGAATCTTTCCAGGTCTCTTCAATTCTCCGTCTGGCACCTCTGTCGCCCATCTGGCTCACTCACCTCGTATCACGGCCTATTTGCTACGGCAAGGCAAGCTCAAGTTGCCCACCATGGCCCTCACGACGGTCGATCAAGTACCCCCCTCCAAACCGGTTGAAAAGACTCCCGACGTGCTCGTGACCCCTTGCGATCCATGGCCTGCGCCTTACTATTTGGACGGTGGTTTCCGTCGTGTCACACCGTACCATTACACTTATAATACCAACTGCAAGGAGCGATGGCGGGGTCGCCAGCTGGTCGAGATCTTCACTTCCGAGTTTCGCGACCGGAAGCCAGAATACTATGTACGTGAATGCGTCGAGATGTGGATCTTCAGGTAGAAGAATCGCAAACTGACAATTACCAGAGGAAAGCCCTGGAGGATGGCCTTGTGCAGGTGAACGGTGTGACAGCCCGCCCCGAAACGACACTTAAGAACGGCCAGGTCATCTCACACACCCTCCACCGCCACGAACCGCCCGTTACTAGCCTTCCTGTCGGAATCATTCATGAGGATGATGACCTCTTGGTCATTGATAAGCCTGCTGGCGTACCGGTGCACGCCGCGGGTCGATACCACTTCAACACCGTCATCGAAATCCTGCGATCCGAGCGCAGCTCCGAATGGTTACCTCGTCCATGCAACCGACTTGACCGATTGACGTCTGGAATTATGTTCATTGGAAAGCATGCCAAGGGCGCCGAGAAAATGGCCACCGCGCTCAAGGCCCGGTCCGTGCAGAAAGAGTATGTCGCGCGCGTGAAGGGCAAGTTCCCAGACGGCGTGGTTGTCTGCGACCAGCCAATCATGCAGGTGAGCCCGAAGCTGGGTCTCAACCGTGTGCGCGCCACCGGTAAAGAAGCGACAACCAAGTTCCGTCGCTTGGCTTACTACCCTCCCGAGGCAGCAAAGGAGACCGAATCGTCTAGCGACGAGCAGCGTCCCGCTACTCCAGTCCCGGCATTCGCCAATGAGTCCGAGGGCTACAGTATCGTGCACTGTTTCCCGCTGACAGGCCGTACTCACCAAATCCGTGTCCACCTCCAGTTCTTAGGCCATCCGATCACCAACGACCCTATCTACTCCAACCGCCGTGTGTTCGGGCCTGAGCTTGGCAAAGCCGAGGTGACCGCAGAGCGCGATGAAGAGATCGTCGCGCGGTTATCTCTCATGGGTAAGACGGAAATCCCCGACACGGTCTCGTACCGCACACACCTGACCGCGGCGCCGAATGTCCCGCCGGGCACCGACCCGGTGCTTGTCAACGAGATCATGCACCGCGAGCAGGTGGCCGCAGCTGAGGACTATGAAAAGCGCAAGGGCGAGCGTCTGTCCGGAAATCTCTGTGAAGTCTGTGGCACTGAGCTGTACTCGGACCCGGGCCCTCATGAGCTGGGTATCTTCTTGCATGCTGTTGCGTATGCCGACCGCGATGGTGATTGGGCTTACCGCAGCCCTATGCCTCGCTGGGGCTTGCCTCCTGCGGGCATGGACGGTCCCCGCGAGTGTCCGGACTGGGTTCCTGCTGCTGAAGGCGAGGAAGTTGTCATTGGAAATGGGACTATCCCGGCTGGTTTGGGTGATGATGACTTTGCCGCAGACTCAAAGACTGGCTCTGTGCTTTTGGAAGGCGTTGGTCTGGTTAATCTCTCCGAGGCCGCAGGAATGAACGTGTCTCTCGGCGAAGCCACGGAGGCTGCTGCGGCTACGAACTAATGATCTTGTCTTTTAGGGTTCCTTTCTTGAAAATACCTTCTCTATATATCATATTTCTCCGGATGTCTTTGTCTTTGTCTTCATGATACCACTCTGCTGACCTGCCATGAAAAATTCACGAGCATAGCGTTTTGGTCTTGGTCTTCCATGACATCTCGATGCATTGATTTTTGGTTTCATCCCTAACATAGATTTGCTGCTTTTCGAAGTTCTATTTCGAAGTTTTATAGTGATATATGCAATCTATCAAACCCCGTATAGCATACCACTTCTAGTACATAGTCCGCATCGCTATCTATATGAAACTTTGGCTTGATACTCTGCTAGAGATTTCGGTAGGCAGGATACTGTGAGACACAAGATGTCCCATTTCATACCACCTACCAATTGGTGCCCCGCCATTGTCTGTAATAATGTCTTGCGTTCTTCGGGGCATACCCTCGCTTTGCTTTCTAGCACTGCCTCCCAGGCTTCCTATATAATAGTACGAATAGCCGGTCATAGTACCTTCATCGTTGGCAACGGTGACTAAGAGCGGGAACCTGGCTTTATGAAACAGTTCAACTTCTTAATGACGGGGCGAGATAAGTATTACTCGCGCCGCCGTCAAGGAGCGTTTGTTGGTGTCGCGGCGATTTTTGCCTGTAGGAACATTCACGGATATCCGGTTCAAAAAACACTATATCGATTCTAAAAATATCGATTTCGCAACTTTGGCCGAGCGGTTAAGGCGCTAGACTCAAGAGATTACATCTTTCACTGTTTCAGTGAGCATTCTAGTCACGAAAGTGGCGTGGGTTCGATTCCCACAGGTTGCATATCTTTTTTTATAGTCCACTTTCAACGTATTGTTAGTTTCTCGTTGTCATCATAATACTCAACATCAATCTGATAAACTCCTAGTCTTGGTGTTCACTTGTTTTATAGTAGTTGCAAGATTAGTTACCAGGACTTGGAGCTCCATCAGATAAAAAGGCGGTAAAAGTGTGCCAGGACAAAGTCCTGACGTACATAAGCTCGTACAACATAATTGGTTCTGACCAGAACGCTCACTAAAATTAGTGGTTGTTATAGTCAGTGGAAAGTACAGTTGCCTGTCCCCTACCAACGCCATATACCAAATATAGTAATATTTGAGAGTATAAAAAAATGTATGCAACCTGTGGGGTTCGAACCCACGCCACTTTCGTGACCAGAACGCACACTAAACTAGTTAGTGTTCACTTAAGTCTGGCGCCTTAAACCGCTCGGCCAAGATTGCATCGAGACAACTTCATAATTCCGTAAGGAACTTTTCTCCATATCTGTCATTCAGGAGTATGAGATTATACCAGCGACCCCACTTTGGCCAATGCGACCCCCCTACCGTACTGATGGAGGCCGTCCTGTACCTTCCAGGTAAATGGACATATTGATTCTAAATAATTTTTCGGATCAAGAATACTATTAGGAGTATCACCCAGTATTCGCATCGTTCCTACAATCTCGGGGTAACTTGAACAAAATCCCTCGAGTTTGGTCCATAGTGAGGAATGGATGAAGTCTTGATTTAATATGAAGTCTATCATTAACTACTCCGTACTTGTAGGATTGATGTTCCTCCATCCTTGCCTTCTACCTGATCTATCCAGCCGGGTTCGCACAAGTGAAATGGGTCAGCTTACCCTCCTCGAAACTGGTGTGCATGGAAGTGACCGAAGCCCAAATTCCCAGACCAGCGGCAGACAAAGCAAGAAGCGAGTAGATTACATCAAAAGTGTTCCACACAAACTTCTTCTTGTAACCTCTAATCCATCTCTTGATTCCGCTGTCTATGCGCTGCACCTGGCCGGTTGTCGAATTGATCTCATCAGGCAGTATCGCATCATTCTGGACGTTGAACCCAACCAGCAACATTGGTGGGAACGTGTAAGAAAACTGCAAGATGCAGGCGGCTCCCACGAAGGATGTTAGATTGGTGATTTGCGGGATTGCGGCGGCAACCACCCAGGCAAGAGCCCAGTAGGCAGGCACTAGAGGGATTATCAATGCGTGCACAGATAGAGGGGATGCATATCTGAGCTTACCGAGACCAATCCACACCCACTTGCCAGTTCGGCTGTTTAATTCTGGGAAACGGAAGACGTCGCGGAAAACTGCGGAGTAGAAGACTTTGATACCAATGTTGCCATAGAGCAAGGCTGCGATGACGCCGGTGATAAATGAGATGGCGTTCCTAAAGTCTGGAACCTGTAGGCAGAGTTTGGAATACCTGTTGCGTGGTTGTTAGCAATCTCAAGATCTCCAGTGGAAGCTATGCGACTTACCCTGGTATGCAGGATTGAATGTAAATTGGCCCTGCGCACTATACACAACCATACCCGAGACAAGGTAGCAAACGTAGATGAATATCTCGGCAATGATAAAGCCCTTCCAGAAGTCATAGGGCCGTCTCATCTCAGCCATGAGCTCATTGAAGAGGGTTGCACCGCCGTACGCGAAAACCGCGTTCATCATAGCATTGACTTTGTCGTTGAGGGTTGAGCTCGCAGGCCAGTACCCGCTTGTCTGCACGGGTCCCTTTTGGGTCCCATAGCTAGTCAGCGAGGCTGAGTAGTTAGGGGGATACTCATGAACCACAACCATGGTCATGATGATGACAATGACATTCAGCCAGACCGCAATGTTGGCCAAGTAAGAAAGGCGCTGCAGGGTACGGATCTGCCCGAGCAAAAAGCCGATGGCCATGAAGATCACCTCAGCAGCGATGAAACAAAGGAACCCATTGCCATTGGCACCGACAGCCATCTGCGCCAGCCCTTGTCCGTTGCTTACAATAAGCAGGGCCACATTGAGGAAGAACTGGAAGCTTTGGAGGACGTTCACAAAAATGCGCGCCCAGTCTCCGTAGATACGGAAAGCCATATCGCCATAATTGCGCATCGGGAATCGAGTCGAGTCAAGACCGATGAAGATCCTCCACAGTTGCAAGCCGGAATAACAAGCCATGGCGCCGAAAACAGTGTAAAGTACAGCTCCCGGTCCGAAGCCCATCTGACTGATTGCCCAGGGGACATTGGTCGGTCCAAGGATGTCCGTGGAAATGAGATAGAAGATCGAACCCCATGTTGCAGTTCGCGCGGCCCGCTGTGCCTGTTCCCATTCTGTCTCCGTGATGCCCCAATTGTCACTTGTGCTAGCGCCGTTCATTGTGTTGGTAGGTTTGCTGGACTCCTTCATGACGGAGGCATCCTGTTCCTCAATCTCTCCCTGCATTATCACTAGAGCGTCCGACTTTTTTTTACGAAAAAGCTTGTTGCTCAAGTGCGCAAATCCCACATCGTCAGTCGAGATGTGCTTTTCAATCTCGCGCGACCGCTTAGCCCAGTAGACGTAGTTCTCGAAGGTGATGCTAGAATCCAAGTAGATCGAACGATTGCCATCGGAAATTTCAGACGGGGGCTCGCGAGAAATCGAGACGGCAGGGTCATTGGTGTCCGTTTTTTCTTTCTCGTGCAGATGAGCGTCGGTTGCAGCACCCGCGTTGGCGCCGAAGATATTGCCTGCCATGATAGTAATCGGCCAATATTAACAGACGTATATGATTGGTCAAAGCCCAGATAGAGATGCAGGGCAAAAGTGGGAGTCTCTATGGACAATATCATCTTCATATACAGGACAGACAAGCCCATTGTCGACAGGAGATAGTGCTATTGCGTGCCAACCACTACGATAGACTATCAACAGTCTGTCCAATACGGAGTAGTAAGCAGCGAGTTATCAGTCCGCCCCGATGTAACGTAGACCCATTTCCCACCGGAAAGGAAAGCTTCGTCATCGTACGAGCTCTGTCATTGGCCGCCGACGCCAGCCGTCGTGTCACCGAGGATCCACGTAAACCTTAGTAAAAGCTTGTCTACGAATCCGAACGGAAGGAGCAAATGATAGCGATATCCTACACGGTTGGCGCATATTTCAGGTGCGGAAGTCCAACGGAGGCCGCCTATTCCTTGCTCGAGACACTTGAGCTATTTATCGGCAAAATCCGAGTGGTCCTATTACGATCATTCAACACTTGCAGTTTGTCATGCCGGTTGAGCCGAGTCAAAGATACCGAGTTGATTATTCTTATGTAAATATCCGGCGATATCCAGCTGACAGTCGGAGCGATAGTAGTTTAGTTCTATCCAAACATAACTATCTCGGGCTGTATAACTAATAATGACAAACAAGGCCTTAGAACACTGTCCCAACAGTATTCTACAACAAGGGCAATGATCTTCGCCCCATGAATCCCCCAGCCGCAGGCACAACATAAAGAATGCTTCTCGTCCTACACAACCATGTCTTCCACATCTGAATAATTCTCGAGGACCAACATCGAGTCATGACAGGAGGATCAAACTCTCTCTCTCTCTCTCTCTCTCTCTCTGCTAAGTCGTTAATAGGGGGGAGAGATTGTGGAGTGAAGGGAAGACTGAGAAAAACCGAAAACTCTTTGGTCCGGGTCCCTCGATGTACACTATATATCGCCAAGACGTATAAAGCCAGCGCATCCCTTTATCAAGGTACTCGGGGGCAGACGCCAAGTCCAGACAGCAGGACGTCGCGACTGATTATATTTAGCTCTTCGCCGCCGATGAGCGGCATCAAAGCCGGGGGATCACCCAAGCCCTGAATGCAGACAGGGTACTTTTGGCGCCGCAGCGTCCCTGGCTGTCGACATGTGGATGCAGGGATCCATCGCATGATCGCAGACAGGAGTGACACTTAACTGAGACATGCCAACCAACAGGTTCCGAACATGCTTTACGCCGGCGTAGTCCTCATATCCATTCATCTTGCTAGACATCCACATCGTATCATGTATGCATGTCGGGGTTGTTGTACAGCGCGTGGACGCCGTGATGGGCCAGCTCGACGCGTTTTCCGTAATACGTAACGGTGCGGTGCGGTGGTGCTAGGCCGATTTTCCGCTCCAGTTGACGCATAGCCCACAACGTCGATGACCTCAACGAGCTGCCAGAATGGATTGGTGGCGCCACTGGTGTGGAGGTGGTGGGTTGGCGTGGACGAGTTGGGCCTGGGTGGAGAAATGCCGCTTAGAGGGAAGGAGGTAAGCCTTTGGAAGGAAAGGGGTAAGATGGGAGTACATACGGGGTACGGAGTAGTGGAATTGGGGTTCACACGACTTAGTATTCCTATGTCTTAGAGCTTGTCTTAGTCCTCGGTTTATATCGTGGGCGACCGCTATGTAGGCATATTGTACATAATGTAAATATATCCAAGCCTTGATCCCGGGAGTGGAGGTACTCGACGTGTGTTGAAATTAATAGCAAGATCCACGACTCCTGTCTTTTAGTCGAGTCATTCCTCACGTCATCTCGTTGACATCGGGTACAACGGACGCATAATGTTCTACTATATGTGCTCATCACAGCACCTATTTGCAGCACATTATCTCAAGTCCGTACATTATTTAGGGTTGGCCGTGGAAGTAATACTGAACAAGTAAAGACCGTTGTTTTATTGCGTACGTATGTAGTATGTTGCAGTTATTCTGGCTAAGTATCCCTTATTGCCCCAGTGTCCTGGTTTAGAAACCCTCTTTAGACTACCTATGTTGTGTACTCAACTTGATGAGCCCCGAGTAAGCTTGGCCCGGGTACGGAACATGAAACCCGAAAAGGCCCGAGGGACTGCAAATGATGTGGATGAGAGAAAATCATCTCACCTTGGCAGTTTGAAAGAAGGCCAACACACAAGGGGCCCGAGGACATGAAAAAGAAAGAAAGATTAGGGTTCAGATATCAAAGAAATTCAAACTGTCGATTTTGTTCTCTCCAATTATTATTAAAGGATTTCTTATCGTTAACGCCGTGCGTCGTGTCATATTGCAAAATTGGCAAGGATTTGCTTGGCGATCGCCTGTAGCTGCGAGGCTCTCGACCAGGTGGCAGAGCTATGATTTCTGGTTTGTTGACAAGTCAAGTCAGAATTGTGATTATGCATGGACATGGACAGGGACAGGGATGTCTCAGGCCTAGATAATGATGAGTAAAAGGTGCGGCATGCAGTCATCACACCATAACAGTTATGCTGATCATAGCCAGGCTAATCTTTCAATCGAAGGTCGTGGAACGCTTCCCTGAGGAATGAAAAACCAAGACCATCGGCATCAAATAGTCCAGACCAGAATAAACTCGGCCAGCCTTAAAATGCCGAGAAACATACGGAGTAGTATAGGGCTGAGGCCGAGAACTGCGCCACGAAGAATTCTGCAGCCTGGAAGTTTCCCGTTAGGAATGCATGCCAAGTGTTCGAGGGCATTATTGATTATAATATTGAGTCAGAACGGTCCATAACGATTATTGGGGAGGCCATGACGGTGTACGGAGCAAAGGAAAAGGATCGGCCCTAAAGAGGATAACCAGGGGAGACGGAGAAAAATCCCCGGGCCAAACGATGGGATTGCCAAGCCTCGGCTAGTCCCCGCACGTGAAAATCTCTGAGGTCAGCGGGTTAGCTAATCCACCGGATGTCAGCCATTTCAGCCATTTCAGCCATTTTCAGCCACTCAAGGCTGTGCGGGTCAGCCCGGAAAAATCCCGGTGTCTCGGGGCAGGCCAGTTGTGGCTGTCCAGCGGGTCGATTGACTTTTTCCCTGTTACACATCTGACCGCCAAATATATCCAAACACACATTCCGGATTTCTGGATTTTCGTATTTTCCCTTTTTATATATATCTTCCTCACATCACCATGGCGACATTCCTCCAGTTAAATGCCCTATCTCTAGCACACGCTCTGGTTGAGCTCTAACACCCGTTGTGCGTGCTACTGCGTGTTGCCGATTGCTGCACGTCCAAGCTCTGTTGAACTCTCCCTATTCGCCTTCCACCCTCCCTCCTCAATTTCCTATCACAAAGGCTGTTCCGTCGTGCAAAGCTACAAGCTTATCACGACCCCTTTTCCCGACTTAAAACACTCCAACCCCTGCTCACCGCATCGATAACGGAATACACCTTACTGTCTGGCCAGTGCTGTTTGAACTGGACATTCCCAACCAGTCCTTGCCTCGGATCACAACCCCGTGCCAAGTGTGCCCTTCTGCATTCTTTGTCTCCTGAAAAAGTTCTTCTCGGTCCTTGACCAAGCTCCCGTGAACGCGGAAGACCCGTCAAATTCCTATCTCAACTTGGATTTCGACCCGATTGATATTTTATTATTTTTTTCACCATGGCTGTCGACTTATAGCCCGATCTAGCCCTTCAGATTCCTTGTACACCAGTGCTGTTTCTATATCAACTTGGACTCCTCCTCCGATTTTCGTGGACAAGTTATCCTTGCACATAACCTTTTTTCTTCATTGATACCATCCTCAATCATGGCACCCAACCTCTTCCTCTGTGCGCGCACCATCTTCTGCCCTACCTACTGGTTCCAGAAGGGCGACCGTGACAGCAATCTCAAAGAACAACACTGGGATTCCCCCGTCCCGGGAACATACAAGTTCCTCAAAGGTCGCGGATGGCACCTCATCCATCGGGATGGGTGCGAAAACGATGAAAAAGTCCCTGCTGCACTAGTCTACTGTCGCATCCTCCACCGTTACATGTTTGAATCCGAACTGGAGGAGCGCTGCCGCTGGTTCGACGCCCCGCTGCACAAGGGCGGCCGTCCCGAAAAGCTTCGCTTTTTCCTCCTTGACGACGGCATTCATTGGGTCGCTGGCTGGGATGCTCAGGGCAACTTCATTCTTGGCCCTTACCCCAAGTGGTGGCTCGATGAAGATGGATACACCATCCGCCGCGGCGCCTCGCCTCCGAGCAGTGTCAGCGTGTCCCGTTGCAGCAGCATCATTGCTGGCAAATTTGAATGAGCACCTTGTCTCACCCACAACTCTTGAGGTTGTCAGATGACAATCCTTCTTATGATTGAGCTTTCATCATACTTGTATTACCATTCTGTTGTTTTGATATTGCGAAGCGATTTAGCGTGTCTCTTTTATTCTCATGATAACCACAAAAGTCTTTGGTTCCGGTTTTTGGTCACGGCGACGGATATGTTTTCGGGTTTTCTTTTGGCTCATAGATTTCAGGTTAGATTAGACTTTTAATGATCTAGGGTTTTTTGGATGATCTACTTGATCTACACGGGGCACGTTTTTGTCTTTTCTTCACGGCGTCTCACATTCCTAAGACAAAATACCATACAAATCAAGATAAGGTGTCTTGCTATATCTCGCTTATTTTCTCTCGAATCTCGAATTCCTATAGGGACCATTTGATCAATCTCAAGTTAGAATCCCTATCTATAACCAGACAATCAGACGACTGCCCTGGAATGCAAGGGGCTACCTATATTCCGATAAGAAAACTATGTACAAGCCCAGCCCAGCGGCCAATTTTGACATTCTAACCCCCTCACAACTTCGCCTGGTCCCTAACAAGCAACTTCTCCAAGCCCCGTCTAGTCCGCTCCTCCATCCCCGTCTTCCCAACCCGCATAGTCTCCCTCAACACAAAAACGTGCGTATAAGTTCCAACCATCTTCACATCCTCCTCACCCTCACGGAAAATACCCACTTCCCAGGTAACGCTAGACTTGCTAAGCTTATTAACGCGCAGCCCGACCACCAGCAGATCCGGGAAGCGCACGGAGCCAAAGAAATCAGCCTGTGTCGAGACAATCAGGCCGATTTGGTTGGCGTTGCTTTCTAGGTTCGATGGCGAGGGGAAATTGGAGGGCTGGCCGTGAGTCGGCGCTGGGGTTGGGTTGTTCACGCTGAAGGGGTCCATCCCGCAGTGTTGGATTAAATACGTGTTCGCAATTGTGTCGAAGAGGTGCGTGTACACTGCGTTATTGAGGTGTGCGTACATGTCGTTGTCGAACCTGTGGGTGTTAGTGTCGGTGTCTTTCGTGGCTGCTAGTTCGGTGGTTCTGGTACTGACCATCGGGTCTGGTGTACTTGGTGGAAGCCATAGTCGCTGCGCTTGCGTTGCCTCCTAGCTTTGGACTCTGCGGTGGCCATTTTATTTTCCTGATGGGATGGTTTGATTTGGTTCAAGCGTGATTCTACAATATCTGTGTATGTGTTTATGCTTGAACCTTGATATAACATGCTCTCCACACGGACCTCGGCATATCAGTGATTAGGTAATTTTGATTCATCCGTGAGGTTTGTTTCTCATCTGATCCTCAACAACTAAATACTTTTCTATATATAAATTTGATATAAAATATGTTATTGAGAGAGTCAACGGCTTCGACTCTGGAATTAGGGAATAGATGATTGACGAGCTTTTATAATGCTGCCCCGAACGGCCGGAGAGAACAGCAATAACACGAAACAAAATAGAAAACATTTCCTATTCGTAAATTTCGAATGCAATTTCCTTTATATAGTAGTTTACCAATAGTCAAGGATTTTTGATTGATAGGTAGCAAGTATGAGGAAAGGAAAGAGAAACATTTCCATCTCTCATGGATTAAACATTATGAATGTGACGGATAAATATTTGAATCCATCATCTCCTGCGAAATTTATTCCTCGTAGCTACCTTTGTCTAACTTTCGATAGGTTGAGTCTTCTATTGTCCTTCTTGGAGATATATGTTGTAAGAGCGCACCTGAAGGTTCTTGTAAACCCTAGTCGAGATGTTCGTGCACCCTGAGAGGATATATTTTCCGCCGACCAGTTCTGATTTCGATCAATATACACAGGTAATTGACTAGGTTTATGCACACACATAACCAAATAGACGTAGAATTGGACTCCATGAAACAACTATATACATAAACAGGTATCAGACCATCACAAACATGCCCTGTACACTCTTTATGTCTTCACATAATCCTCTTTCTCAACACCCTGTACTTCATTATGAACCGAGGTAGCAGCACCATCAAATGAAAGCTTTCTTTCCTGTGCAATTTCAATATCAGGCAAACGGCCAAGGGCATGGAACTTCTCAAAGAGAACATCCATCTCCTCAAGAGAGCGACCCTTCGTTTCCCTGACGACGAGGAAAACCCAAATAGCCATGATAAAGCAGAAGCAACCAAACATGATGAAGGTTCGCCAGCCAAGGTTGCCAATTGCGGAGGGAGTCACATAAGTCACCACAAAGTTGAAGAGCCATTGAGTTGCCGATCCGCAACCAACACCGTAGGAACGAAGGCGAGTTGGGAAGATTTCAGAAATGTAAACCCATGGAATCGGTCCCCACGATGCGGAATAGCCAATGACGTAGAGGTAAATCATGACAATCATGGCGAGCGATGCAGACGAAAGAGTACCGTTACCGCTAGGATCCGGAGGATAGGTCACCAGAACACCACCCAGGATAAACATCATTGTGCACATCCAAATAGCGCCAGCAATAAGAGACCACCGCCGACCGACCTTGTCGATACCAACGATGAGGAAGATTCCAGTGGATATCACCTTGACAATACCATAGATACCCGTTGTGAACAAACTCGTGTTACCGCCGGTGACTCCAATTGTCTGGAACAGCTGGGGGGCATAGTACCCGATGCTGTTGGTGCCCGTCCACTGCTGCCAGAACATAATCAAGAAACAGTTGATAAAGCGAAGACGGTTGCCAGGTAGGAATGCTTCTCGCCAAGTGAGGCCCTGTGTTGATTCGACTTCGTGTTCGACGGCCGCTTTGATTTCCGCCATCTCAGTCTGGACCACAAGGCTTGTGACCGGCTCAGAGCGCATATATGCAAGGGCTTCGATGGCTTCCTCGAGACGATTTTCTTTCGCTAACCAGCGAGGAGATTCGGTCAAAAAGAACATGCCAATCATCATTAGACCACCGGGCACAAGCTGGAATGCAATAGGGATGCGCCACTGTCTGGTTGTGGCGGGGAGGGTCTCTGCCACGCCATAGCAAAGCCAGTATGCGACAGTGATACCAATGACGAGGAACTCCTGGAAGAGACCAGCAATACGACCACGAATGGCCGGTGGGCAGTTCTCAGACACGAAGATTGGGGTGATAGCTGACATTCCTCCGACTCCGAAACCTGCAATCACCCGGCCGGCATACATATAGGCTAGCGTGCCGGTAGCGGCGGTTTGGACAGCAGCACCGATAAGGAAGAATGTCAGGAATCCCATGATGGAATACCGACGGCCAAACCGTTCGTTGGCTATAGCGCCGAAGATAGCACCAAAGAAACACCCGGCAGTGAGAAGGGAAACGACATTCGATGAGACTTCAGCATTGGCAGTCGAAAAACCAGAACCTCCAGTTGTGAGTCCAAAATCGGCCTTGAAACTTGGAAGTTCCAGCACGCTTCCCATCACACCTGTGTCATATCCTTTTCGGGAAACTTATCAGCATGCTGCATCTGATCGGCAATGGTAGAGATTTGTCTTACCGAATAGGAATGAACCCGTATATGCCACTGTGGCGAGCACATAGACCCGGCTATTCTTGAATATGCCCATTTTGCAGTCCGGACTGTGTTCAGTTCTTCCTTCCAGAGTATGAAGGTAGAGAAAAAGGTGTTGGGACAAGGATTAGATTTTATAACCCTAGAGACAGCCCTGGAGAGCACAGACACCCCGCGACCCCCGCATACGACCAAGTAATCATATATCGTCTTAGTTCCAATTGGGTCTGGAAAATCGGAAATGCGTACCCCGGATCCATCGTCCCCATTCTCTTCAATTTCCGACATTCGGAGGATCGTGAAGAGGTGACGTCCCTGTTTGGTCCATCAACTGCATCCACCTGGCCTATATGGACGTCGAAGGACAAATGATCGGGTCACAGTTTGAAGAGACCCGTAAAAAGCTGGGGGAGACTTGGAAAATTGAGTTACCCAATTAAGAACAAGGCTTGGCCAAGCAAGAAGACACATACTTCCCATCACCTCTACAGTGCTATATTCTATATCAGAGCCCTTTGAGGTATTTTTATTAGCCCCATTACTATTAGATATCTAGAGACTCTAGGGACTCAGTTTCTATTTAACGTTGGCATTACCAGTCTCCCGCGAGTTCAGGAATTATATCCACGGAGAAATAAGGTTACCACTAGATCCAACCAGGAAAGTGTGGCGGACCCCGGCCCGGGGAAGTGACTCGGCAAAGGGGCTGGACCCGTCTATAGCCGGCGAATTGGATATTCGCTTTCGCCGATACGGGCGGTTGCCTCCTCTTCTTCCAATGCCCCCAATGCACTTAGGTGATTGGACAGTGCGTCCCTGGCAGCAGCTACTATCATCTCAAGTGGGGATGGTATACAATCCCAACACGCGGAATAGCGCTGTTCGTTATCCCGCATTTACCATAGTTCATTTCCCCACAGCCGCTTGTTTCCCCCACAATAACCAGTTTGAACCTCAATTGTTTACATCGAGGCTTCCAACGGCGCAACATACTCAGCAGCATCGTGTAGGATCGACAGCATCGTGCAGACTTAGCGGCGTCAAGCAGACAGAACCATAATCTCATTCAACCGACCAGTCTCGCTCTGGAAGATCTCCTGCCACGGGGTGCTTTTCTCGGACACAGGGAACCTACCCCGAACCTTGAGATCGTCGCGACGAATCCGGCATCTTTTACCATAGCCTCGGTACACACTCGGAAAATCCGTCAATTCAGGTGTACTTGCCATGTGTTTTTCTTTCCGTTTTTCCATTACAGACTAATTCATTAGGGCGACTATATACTATTGGAAGTGAGCTTTCTAGGCCTGGAGTGGGTGGTATGTAGAGGGGGGAATCCAAGTTAAAGAAAGAAAGAGCAGCCGATATCGAAGCCGAAAGGTGTTAGGCCGACCCCAGTCCGACATCGCGACCCCGGAGTCCGACCCCGGATTCTTTCCGTGGCCTTGGGATAAGTTGAATATCTCATTTGTAAAAAAAAAAAAAAAAACAAAACCGACGAGTACATAAATAGATCTGAATAATATGTACAAGGTCCATCCACCTGTCCACTCATAAAATGAGCGGAACTGGTTCCGTATTCCCTATATTGTACGTCGATGTAATCGTCTTCCATCCTCACCCGGCTGTTTCATTATTATAGGTACACACATTAGGTATCTTTTATATGGTACACGCATACAAAAGGTACCTGGTGATGATATTTCAATAACCTGGTATCTCTTAACTAACCTTCGAACTATGTATAATAATGAAAATAGACGCAGCCCGTGAACGCGGGTGGGGCTGGAAAGACGATTACATTGGTATACAATGTGTTTTTGTTTTTAAGCCAAGAGGGTTGTTCTATTCACAAGTCCCCATTAATTCAAACCCCCAGACGCCATCTATGCAAGAATTCTACTGAGTTGCGCACTGCGCCGGTTCATCGTCGTCTTCCTCGTCTTCCCATCCTGCTGCGTCCTGGCCATCCTGCGCACCGAAGTCCTCGATCTGACCCTTGGGGTCGTATTCAACTTCGTCCACGGTGTCGGCCTTGATAGGAGCGCTGGGTTTGGGGAGAATCTCCTTGAGCTTCTCCAGCATCTCTGGGGTGGGCTTCCACCCGTTATCGGGGAACTTGACATCAACAACCAAGTACAGGTCACCACGGGAATCGACACGCTTCATCGGCATTCCCTCTCCGGGAACCTTGAGGACCTGTCCGGGTGAGAGGATAGCGCCGGCGGTGAGGGGGTGAGTGAGCTCAATGCCACGGCCATCGAGGTGCTTGATCACGACGCGGGAGAACCCGGTCAAGGATTCAGCAAGAGTGATTTCAATAGTTGCACGCAGATCTGAACCGGCTCGTGTAAACACGGGGTGTTCTTCCTCGACGACTTTGAAAACAATGTCGCCGGGCTCTTGATCGGGCACTTGGTCGGCCTCGCCTTCCAAAACAATCCGGTCTCCTTGCCTAGAGCACAGTAAGTATGTGATTCCGTTAGATAGAAAAAAAGGCCATCTTACCTAGCGCCTCGGGGGATGTAGATCTCCAAGATCTTCTTCGCCTCGGTTGTTTTCGTGCCCTTGCACTTCTTACACTTATCCTTCGGGGCGAAATATGAGCCCTCTCCGTTACATGTGGTACAGATAACCGTCTGCTGGGTCACGAACTGGCCCATGCGCTGCAAGACCTCCTTGTAGCCCTGGCCACCGCAAGTCGAGCACTTTTTGGCAGTGGCCTTTTCCTTGCCACCCTTGCCCTTGCAATGTCCGCAAATGACGTTCTTGACGCTGGAAAACCTTACTGTCTTGCCCTTGTACAAATCCTCCAGGCTGACTTCGTAATCTTGTTCTTCGCTGGGGCTCTTGCGCGGTTTGTTGGGGCGACCACCAGGCATTCCTCCCATTCCTCCCATGCCAGGCATCCCGCCCATACCACCCATACCGCCCATGCCGCCGCCGAACATCTGTGCCAGCAAGTCATCTAGGTCAGGTTGTCCTGCCATTCCCGGCTCACCCGAGCCGTTGAAGGCAGACATGCCGTGTGTGTTGTAGAGGTGTCGCTTGTCATCGTCGTAAAGAATATCATAGGCCTCTTGCACAGCCTTAAACCGGATTGAAGCTTCCTCGCGCTCGGATTCGGGGACCTTGTCGGGGTGGTTGGCCAAAGCTGCCTATTGGAAAGCCGGCTGTCAGTATCGCTGGAATCCGGAGACGATCGGGTTCGTCTTGCCTTGCGGTATGCCTTGCGGATATCATCTTTAGTTGAGCTTTCATGGATCTCTAGGACCTCTGTATGAATGAATAACTGATTAATATGGTATTCCTGTATGGTTGATCTGCGCAAATGAGCACACACCGTAGAGGTCAACTTCAACCGCAGCCACTGAGAACATTGTTAGTAGAGTCTCAAGTGACACACAACTTTCCAACGTACTTTTCAGTGATTATTTTGCAGAAAACACGATCGGAATTTTCTTCAATAGAAAAAGACCGTTGACTTGAGCCCAATAGTAAAAGAGAGAGGTTGGTGAACGAGAAGTGAGAGCGGGAGTTGTTGATCCAAAGAAGTTGAGAAATTTTGTTCGGGAGCTCCGCGCCGCAACTCCGCAACTCCACAACATATCAGAAAGATCGGCCATTCCTCTATTTCGCAATGAGATGTCCCCAAGGGCTACTCGCCAGGCGATCTTGGATCATCCAATGTAGAGCCTTCTCCTCTTCTCCGGCTGCTCAAGCACCTAACTTGAAGAACAAACTGCCGAATGGCCCTGCGCGCACGCGGTTTGCGCCCTCGCCCACCGGATACCTCCATCTAGGCTCCCTACGGACAGCTCTCTTCAACTATTTACTGGCCAAGCGGACCGGTGGTCAATTTCTGTTGCGCATTGAGGATACGGACCAGGTTCGTGGATTGCGCTCCGTTGCGTGGACTACGACTGATTACGGTAGAAACGGACAATTCCCGGGGCGGAACAGCGACTCTATGATGATCTCCAATGGGCCGGATTGAACTGGGATGAAGGTCAGTTTGAAACTTATCTAAAAATGGAGGGAAATTGCTGACTCTCGTTTCGTTGACAGGTCCCATCGTTGGTGGACCCTATGGACCTTATAGACAAGTGAGGCATCACTCCTTTGTCGCAAGAAATTAATCTCTAATATTTGCTCCCATGCAGTCCGAACGAACCGCTTTGTATCAGTCCCATGCCAATGATCTTGTTGCCAATGGCCATGCATACCGATGCTTCTGCTCCGCAGAACGATTGGATTCGATCGCCCGTCACCGCAGCGAGGCAGGACTGCCGCCTGGCTATGACCGGAAATGCGGCGACGTATCTGCCGAAGAATCAGAAGATCGAGCAGCCAAGGGAGAGGCACACATTATTCGACTAAAAGTAGAGGAATACCCCATGTTCAATGATCTGGTTTATGGCAAATCCGGCCAGAATCACCAGAACAACTCGAAGCTGGATTTCATCGACCGTGTTTACAATGACCCAGTCCTTATCAAATCGGATGGACACCCCACGTATCACTTGGCAAATGTTGTGGATGATCATTGCATGAAGATCACCCATGTTATCCGAGGGACGGTGAGTTTACTTATTATATCTGTAGCTATCAAGTCACAAGATACTGAACTAACGTCTATCAGGAATGGATGTCATCGACACCTATGCACATGGCGCTATATAATGCCTTCAAATGGACGCCACCAAGCTTTGCTCATGTCCCTTTGCTCGTCGACAAAAGTGGGCAAAAGCTCAGCAAGCGCAACGCAGATATCGACCTCTCGTCATTCAAGGACAAGCAAGGGATCCTCCCATCCACCTTGGTGAACTTCACTTCACTTCTAGGCTGGTCGCATTCCGAGAAGTCTGATGTGTTAAGTCTGAAGGAACTGGAACAGATTGTATGTTCTTCTTAGTCCCCCGAAAACACACCAACCTCCCTGCTAATACTGATACCAGTTCAATTTGAAAATTACTCGAGGAAATACGGTTGTCTCCTTTGAAAAACTCCAGTTCCTCCAGAAGGCACATGTCCAACGCTTGGTCAAAAGCGGCGGACCTGAGTTCGACGAGATGGTGAAGAAGGTGAGCTTGGTCGTGGAAGAAAGCTACCCTCTCGACAAACTGTAAGTCAGCCACCAGCCGTAAAGAATTCACGCGTGTATTACATAGTACCTAATAGCTGACACCTAGCAGCACCACGATCCTCAACGGTCGCACTCTCTCCGAATACATCGCGCCCCTCATCCGCGCAGATGTCAACAACTACACAAACGCAAAGGAGTTCGCCCAGCGTAACTCTAACTTCTTTACCCCCAAACTGGACAGAGCTCCTTACAAACCGGCCTCACCCCAATCCTCCCCAGAAGTCCCAATCCAAGCGCTGCACACTGCAGCAGCCGCCTTAACCCTTGTCCCATCCGCGGCCTGGAATATCGACACTCACCGCGACAACATTAACAGCTATGAAGGCGCGGAAAGCGTTGTTTTCCCCACGTCTGAGCCAGAGACACCCGTTGGCTCGAAGAACGCAGGGAAGATATTCAAGAAGGAGCTGTATCACTACCTCCGCTGGGCGCTGTTGGCTTCTGCGCCTGGGCCTGGAATCTCAGAGACTATGGTAGTTCTTGGGAGAGATGAGACACTTCGCCGAGTGCAGGACGCCAAGGCGTTGACACAGTCCCTTGTTCCTTCTGCTGGCCAGAGAGTTCCTAAGGGAACTTTGCCTGAAGATCAGAGTTGGATGGGGACTCTTGCGACTAGCCGGTAATGTAGAATTAAGAGGTTGAGTGACTGTACTATAGCTGTATCCGATATGACCCAATTCCAATATTTTTGCTGAAGACAAGACATTGATGCCTTCAATCACTTGCTTAGCAGGTTGTCCGTTGCGGTAAATAACTCTATAAAGAGCAGATGCCCTGATCCCCAGAGCTATGATTTGTCTACTGATATAGAGCGGAAAAACAAAGTGTATTGCGGTCTAAAAGCTGTAAGTCTTTGTGAACAACTTGATGAGACCCATCAATCAGAGCTCCTGATTGCTTCCTGTTGACTGCTTCAGATGATGCAGACTTGAGAAAGCGCCTTCCTTGTTCAACAAGTCCGAAGGATGTCCCTCTTCTATGATTCGACCACTATCCAGAACAACAACTCGGTCAAAGTCGAGCATGGTATGAACTCTATGCGCAACCATAATGATAGTGCAGCTCTGAAACTCCTGGCGAATGACTTTCTGAACCCTGGCATCTGTCTCTGCATCCAGACTTGATTGTGAATGGTTGGCATTGCTCGCATAATCATGTGTTGCCAGAAGCAAAAAGACAGAAATTACATACCTGCTTGTCGGTTCGTCTAGTATGAAAATATTACTCTTCTTGAGAAGCGCCCTAGCCAGGCAAAATAGCTGTTTTTGGCCTTCGGACAAAGTCGTGTCAGTCAGTATTACATCTAGCAACCCTCCGCTGTGGGCGTCGCTGTTCGTCGCAGACATAAGAGCATTCCAGATTTCGACGCATTTGAGAGCTTCAATAATATCGATATCGCTGGCAATGCCTAAAGGATCGACGTTCTGCCGAATAGTACCTGGGAAAAGGAAGGCTTCTTGGCTAAGAGAGCTGATCCGGTGCCGAATCAATGACCGAGGCACCGTCGATATGTCTACCCCATCGATAAGAACCTGGCCAGAAACCACCTCGTTAAGACGGAGTAATGATAGAGCCAGAGTGCTCTTGCCACTATAAGAGAGTCAGCCTATTCTCCCCCCTACTGAAGTGTCTTTCCTCACCTTCCGGTCCTACCACACAGTCCAACTTTTTCCCCAGCACGAATATCCAGACAGATACCGTGCAACACGGGCTCTGCGTTCTCAGACTCATATGCAATATCTGCGCCAACGAATGAGATGTCACCCCGACTTGGCCATTTTGCGTCTGGTGGCTGCTCATAGACTGCATCTTGTTCCTCACTTGGAGTATCTTCCGAGAAATCCTTAATCCTGGCAATCGCACCCAAAGAGGTTTCCAGAAGCGTCCAGTTCTGGATCAAGTATGAGAGTACTTCCCCTAGGTCCATCATTCCAATCAGCGCAATACCTAACAAACCGGGGCTCACTTGTCCGCGCAGAGCTATAGCAACTCCGAGGAGAATAAGCGTCATACCAGTCACCATGAGCTTCAGTACCAGGCCCAGCCATTGCTGAATACACAATAGAAGATAGAAGGGCCTTTGCGCCCTATCAAGTAAGTACAACATTTTGGACGTAGAAGCAGTAGTCCATGAAAAGGCACGGATGGTAACTACACCAGCGAGAGATTCAATGAAATGGGTGTACAGGGGGCTTTTGAGCTCGATCCTAAGGGTTTGTCAGTTTGCTAAAAGGCACAAGCATGCTGATCAAATTAAAGCGTTGTTGGCACAGATAAACATACTCTAGCAGTCGAAGCTGGCGAGATGTACGCAGGTAAAAGCGCTGGACTAGCACTAACATCCCAACTAGGAAGGGAAGGGCTACAGCCAGATATGGCAATGCAGCTAGGGCGATTGCGGCCTGTGAAAGCACCGTAAAGAGTTCTTCATATCTCTCGGGTTAGAGAAACACGTTAAATAAATGTATAATGAATGCACTTACGGAATCCTGTCGTGATAAAACCTCGGGGGAGGATCATGTCCACTAGCCTCATATCTTGGCTAAAACGGGTGATGAGAGAGCCCGTGTCTACGTGAGATAGGAAGGACAAGGGGGCACTGAATATGTTAGTTGGCCGATATTTAGATTAGTGAAGAACTGGAATTTCACCTCATGCAAGTTTGCAGCACAGTAGCATGAACATTTTTCGACGCGGCCGGTACAATGACGACCCAGGTCCAACTTAGATAGAACCCAATCAGCATGGAAGCTTTAACCGAATTTTTTTTTTTCACTTACTATACCGCAAGAACCATTGAAGTGGCTTCGACGAAGGACAATGCCCCATATACTCCAAGCCAGTAGCCTAATCCCGAGCTTGAAGCGCTGTCGGTGCTAGAGGACCAGATCTCAATCCAAGCACCTATGCAAAGATAAGCATCATACAGCATTGTTATTAGTCGAGAATTTTGGCATACTTCGTAATCCACCAATACCACCATTCACCACCAGTAAGAAACTCAGCACAAAGACTCGGAACCAGCCCATAGCAGATAAATAGTACTTGTAAACAGCAATATCTGTCGTCTGTCGGCATTCATCGATAGAGGCCGGGGTGGATAGGCGGCTTGTTATGACTTCACTAGTCTCTGGAAGCCCAGTTGGAATGTCATCTTGCATCTTTCCTTTCTCAATCTGTTCTGGTTGAATACCTAGCCGGTTAATATATCCCCCGGCGTGACTGAGAAGCTGAGAGAAGGTGCCCTGTTCCGAAATATTGCCGTTCTCTCCGAGTACGACTATAAAGTCGGCCTGGGGTAGATATTGAACTGCTAATAGTCAGTATATACCACACAAGTGACAAGATAAAGATATCGAGGGTTGAGGAGCGCACCATTGTGAGTCGCGAGAAATACAGTACAGCCCAGTCGACGCAGCAGTCCGGACGGGCCAAAGACATTGTTAAATACCAGCCGAGCGGTTGAATTATCAAGAGCACTCAGAGTATCATCGAAGCACGCGATGCGCTTGCGAGCATAGACAGCTCGTGCTATGGCCTATAATAAAATCAGTTCACAAATCCATTGCTATTATTCCCGGGCCGGACCGCCCATATAGAGGGAAAGATGGTTTGTACTCACGATTCTTTGCTTTTGCCCTCCGCTAAGCTTAGATCCTTTGCTACCGACGAACGACTCATCGCCCGCTGGCATTTTTTTAAGGTCGGAATCTAGCGCACATGCGTTCATCACGGTCGAATACCAATCAGAATCAAATGCCGCGGATCCATTCTCCCCAATGATGTTTTCCCGGATCGTCGTATTGGTTAGCCATGGAGTTTGCTCACAAAAAGCTAGATCTGGGTACTTGATGAAGGCGTCACCATTGAGAATGGACGTCTCATTTGCGAGGCCTTTGAGAAACGTGGACTTTCCGCTTCCCACAGGACCGACAATTGCAACTAGGGTACCCAGCTGCGAGGGGCACAGATTGAGTGTGATACCAGCACTATCCGAAGAAGGGTCATTCCAGCCAAACCAGGCATTTTGCAGGGAGATCAGCACGTCAGATGGATTCTCTGGCGAGGAAATTCCCCTAGCCCCGGGATAGTTAGAAAGTTCGAATTCGAATGAATTAGTAGGTAAATTCAGAGCTTCTGCTTCTGACTGGAGCAATTTCCTTCTTTCTGTGCGTAAATGAGGTTAATTCGCTGTACGTCTTACTGAGTAGCACGTATGGGAGTATTAGCGCTACTCACCGACAATATTTGGACGTTTCAAGAAGTCCTGGACTCGATACAGACATCCCATTGATGCGAATGCATCTGGAACTGCCAACAATAGATGCATGAGAGGAGTGATTAGCAGATTTATTAGTGAAAGGGCCGTGGTAGCTTGTGAGACCGAAAGACCCTCCGACCCTTGCACCTTCGCAACTACAGCATAGGTCGCGAAAGTGGCAAACTGCGCAATAATCACCGGAAGATTTACTGAATAGACTGGTCAGTTGATCCCGATATTTTCAATAAAACTATCCGTAGATGGACTTCCAAGTATACGTACTCATGCAGACACGGACGGTTTGGATTCGGCGGAACTTCTTGGAGATCTCAAGCTCCTCAATCCTTAAGCCTTCAATGGATTTCTTTATGATCTCTGTTAGTCCTAAGAATTTCACGTTTTTTATTGAGCCGAGGACGTGGCTGGTGAAATTAATGCGTTTCTCGGTGGCTTGTAGCCATGTCTTCTGCCGAACGGACACAGCATTGCCCGTGGCAAAAGAAGCAACGGTAAAAGCTAGTCAATCTGTTAATTTCTTATGGTCATCACATCTCGTGCAAATAGGTAGAGAAAGAGAAAGTACCTGTTGCAATTAGAATGGGTGTGATACAAACAACACCGATCTGAGTTTGAAGGATCCACGCGGCCAGTCCCAGCTGTAGGATACTAGCCCAAGATTCGCACACTGTAGAGTGAAAGTACTCCGCAAGCATTTCAACGTCAGCTCCCATAAGGGACATGGCACTAGACTCATCGGTGCTCCCCAGTGGCAGCTCCATCATGTGCTGATAGACAAGAGCCATAAGGCCACCACGCACCATGGTCGTAGCACGAAATCCTAGGTGCTCATAAGATGCCGTAGTGACCTAAGTCATAAAGTCAGTCGGCCAATGACCCTCGGATAGTGGGATAAGTGGTTGAAGACATAAGGCTTACAGCAATCCCGATAAAGACAATCGCGGTGGCTCCTATCAACCCATAGCCAATATTCATCGAGGATTCAGTTTGCTCGAGGAATGTAACGGTCTTGCCAACCAGGAATGGCTGCGCTATGCTAAATCCTATCAAGGCGAGTCGAGGAAGACCAATAGCAGCAATATCCCAGCGAAGGCAGTTAACGACGGCCAGCAGCAACGCATGCTGACGACTCTGGTCGCACAGCGCCCATGATTTTGAAAATCGGTCGGCTAAATCACTAGACGATAGCTTCTCATGGATGTTAGGTAGCGTATCGCTGGTGAGCAACGAGGTGTGTCCTTTTCTCAGTAATTCATTGAGCCAGGCGAATAAACCCCTGTTAAAGATACCGCTAGTTCTCTCGGTAGACTGTTCGGATAGCAACAGCCATTTGCGTTTTTCGATATTTGCCAGCACCAGGAGGAGCAATTTGGTGGCCAGAGATGCGGTGAGGCAGGTCGGGTATGCTCTACCATATGGCAACAGCCAGGCGGTGCGTACTCGCGCAATGTCTAGAAGCACCGTAATAAGCAGATACGCAGAGACAAGGAAGGAGGGTCGAACAGCCCGGCTGTGCTCTAAATGAAGCAGAACAACAATAGAAATTGCCGCTATAAGGCTGAGGGTAGCACCCGCAACTGACACATTTTGTGCGGGGTAGTGCTGCGTCGAACTAAACACAAGCAGAACGACATGAATTCCGGACAATACTACCGCAATAGCCTGTATAGAGCATTATTTAGACGTTTCAAGGTCCGACAAGTGATAGCAAGACTTACCAGCGTCGCCCAATGAGTCAACGAGGATTTTACTTTCAAAGACTCTCTAGATAGCTGGAACAGGCGAATGGGTAACTGCAGGAGAAAACAGACTGCTGGGGTAATGTTGAATATCCATGCTTCGAATAGAACTTGCTTCCATGTCAGTATATGTGGAGACTGCCCAGGCGCCCAGACATTGGAGATATGTACCTGTAAAGTCGAACCCTCCACGACAATCATGTTGACTGATCACAGGCCCAAAAAGGCTGTCACATGTGTCACCAACCACAGTCGGTGCCATGACAGCTACTGTGGTGGAACAACTTCTGGTGAATTTGAATTTGAGGGATGAAACTGAGCCCAAAGGACCAGGGGCTTGTTTGACGGTGGCCTAATGACGAATACCGCTAACACCGCTAACTCCGTACGGAGTCCGTTGTGAGCGGCGATATTATCTCTTGCCTTGTTGTTCGGGCTGCAATCCAAGTCGTCCTAGTTACCGGAGTCATGTGGATGGGTAGCCCTAATTAAGTCAAGTGTCTCGGCTTATGCACCGATCTATCCATGCTATTTATCGAATTGAACAAAAGGTTGAACAACCAGAAGATAAAATTAACAACACTAGATATATCAAAACACTGTACGGCGTACTTCGCTGACAAATACATAGAAAAACGGTGAAAACCAAGGACAAAATCCGACTCCCAAAACCGGAGATCGAAAAGGGAATAAACGAGCCTTAAGCACCAAGCCAACGAAAACAATAAGTGACAGAGAAAGGAATTAAAGATAACACCATGCCAAGAAGACCAGAAAAAGCAAAAGATTAAACTCAGTGGCAATTGAAACAGCGAGGGTGTCAGTCGGGAAAGGCGTGAATGACAGGAATCCTCAGAGGGCTGCAGCCTGACACAGTCAGGCGCAGGGTTGGGCTCAATATCATCGAGATGAAGGAGAGCGGGAGCAAGATTGACATGATAAACTCGTAATTATGGACAGGAAAAGAAGTTGAATGTCGGCCCCTCGGGAATTAGCGTGTGTAGAGAGAGGAGAAACCTGCCCATAAGGAATCTAAGGGTGCTCAGTCATGAAAGGGAAACCAAGGATTATCATGAACCGTGCAAATGCAAAATTCAGTCGTGGGATCATCAAAGGTCAACGGTTGCGTAACACCGTTGAACTTCCAAGGCGCCGAGAAATGAGGTGCAAGAGGTGGGATGCATTATGGAGAGGGAAGCAATGGCAGAACACCTAATAAGTTTCGTAGTCATCGGCCCACTCGGTGTCACTGCCAGCAACGCGCAGGACCTGCCCGGGATGCGGACCTTCTGGACTGACACTGCGAATACCCTTGGTCTTTTTGCCAGTGAGATCCGATCCATCCTCGGGTGCAAATCGTTTCCCTCCGTTTGCGGCACGGAGTTTGGAATAGTAAATGTCACTGGGATCGGCTTCTGATCCCGAGCCGTCCTCGAAAGTCTCCCAATTTTCAGATCCAGAGGTTGTTGTGTTGACTGTAGAGGAGTTGGAGACTTGGCGGGCAGCTGGCGGTGGAGCTGCGTGGTGTAGGTAAGGGTTAGGTCGTGGGAACACTTGGCTAGAGTTCAAAGACAGTGACGAGTGTGAAGAGTGAGATGAATGGGAGAATCCAGTAGATCTTTGAGAGTTGGAGAATCCCGAAGTGCTCATGAAAGATCGCTGCCGGTCATCATAAACGTCTTCCGGGCTAACAGGCCGCACATAGGCACTAGACATGGCGCTATTGCAGCGCGGTGGCTCCATAAGGTGGCTGAATCGGTCTTCCCTTGACTCAATCGTCAACGCACGCATCCGTGGGGGAGGTCCGCGAGGGGGCTGCATCTTTCCATTAAGTGTACCAGACGAGTAGGCACCGGGCTGCATACGACGCTCAGGGGAGTTGGTTCCAAGGGGCATGTTTCCCAGCGGGACACGGGCGGGAAGCTTCGAAGGAGATGTTGCACCGGCTCTTGAGGTGGCACCGGCTCTAGAGGCACCGTAGCCAATGGTGTTGTGTTTAACTGGGCCGCTGCTAGTGGGAGTCTTGGTGGCTGAGCGGGGGGGAGGCAGGCCTCTCATGGAGCTTGCAGGGCGGGCGGGTGGGTTTTGTCTCATTGTGCTTGCTTTGGTAGCTGAGGGTGTTGCAGATGGTGTCTTTGAGCGTGGTGGAAGCATTGACTTTACAGGTGTCAACAAATCAAGATATCGCTCTCCGTGCACTAGGAAGGGTCGGCCGAATTCGTCTTCCCAATATTCCAACTCCTTCCGTAGGTCAGCTTCAAGTTTTGGCAATTCTTTGGCGATTCTCTTGCGCATCTTCTCCTCCCTCAAGAGCTTTCCAGGATCACGCTTCTCTCCCTTGTTCCCGCGGCCCATGAGGCGGGATGCATCTTGGCTTGATGTTTCAAGTGCCTCGCGATCTGTCAAAAGAGTGCGGTGTCTGTCAATCATTTCGAGAGTAGGAGCGCGCTGCTCCTTAAGAGCTTCCAGTCGTGTAATCTCGGCCTCGTGAGCCTCAAGCAAAGCATCGCTGCACACATCGGAGAATGCAGGTGTGAAATCGAGCATTTCCTCTTCGGAGAAGAAAAGAGTGTCCCATAATTCCTGCAATCGGCACCGAGCATCCTCCACAAAGAGGTGGAGATTCTGTCTCTTAAGTTCGTTGAGGCGTGTCAACTCCTCTTCGAGGTCGTTGATTATGCGCAAACCGCAGCCACGGTTCGCAGCCAGGAATGCCTTGCGATCCGCCTCCTCCACACCAAAGCGATCCCAAAGAGAGATTACGGTAGCTCTGAGGTCGTTGATCTTGCGCTCGCGGCTTTTCTTTTCTTCCACCAATTTATTGCGCTTCGAAATTAGGTTGGCGACATCATCTTCATGTAGCCCCAGTTGCTCAGGGGAATCGCGATAACACTTCACGATAGTGGAATCTGTTTGCGCCTGGGGCGTTCCGAGCTCGGCCCAGAGCTTGATCATTTCTTCACAGGCAGATTGGACTTTGGCAATGCGGCGGTGGTACTCTTCGTAGACATGAGTGAATTCGGCATCCAATGCGGTCACATACATAGGAGAAAGGTCGAAGCTTGGGGGAATCGAGGACCCTGGTGCAGTAGGAGGAAGGTCCAGCTTAACAAATGATGGCTCGAGGTGAGAGGAGTATGATTCAAGCGCGTCCACAAGTTCTATTGAATGTCAGTAAAGGAGCATCAGCGACACACCACACAGATAAGACTCACTCTTAACCTGCTCAAAGCGTTCCCGATGCAGCTTGCTCATCGAGTCGTTCTTCTCGCGTAAGAATGCAATACATTTGTTAAGTGGGTAAGTGACACGAAGGTCGTCGCGGTTAAGCTCGTATTGGCCATTGGCCCGTTCATCGCTCAGGGACGATTCCATTTGTTGAATAGCTGTAATGAGACGTTCCGCTTCTTGCGTCATATCTTCTCTCTCCCTAGAAATATAATTAGCAAGCCTCCAATGGGTCTGTCTATGGATGCGACTCACTCATCAACAACCTTCAGATGATTGTTCAAGGTCTCTGACAGGGCGCTAAAGAGCTGTATCACTCTGTTAGCCACGCGACAATGCCATTGTTATATCAGAGAGCAAGCTTACCTCTGCTTCACGAGACTCGCGCTCCCGCGCAGGAACTCCAATTTCGTCGTAAATACCATGGAGCTGGGCGACGATGTTGTTGACCTGAGTGGTCAGGTAGCTGGTATCTACCGCCATTGTAATGAAAGTCCCTTAACGGAGATGACAAAAGTCGAGGTTGATAACAAAATATTGTATGAACGATACAATGCCGAGCGAAGCTGCGACAGGGTGATGAATGTCGGGATCAAAACAGGAGAGCCTGACACACAGGGTTCTCAGCACACAAGGTGCGACGGAAATAAACGAAAGTGGAGGTTTGCGAAAGCACTTAGGGCAGCCACATAGGAAAGCGAACAACACTGTTGTTTATGAGGGGGGGGGGGCGTTCGGAGATCGCAGATGATAGATAACATCAAGTTTCGTAAGGCGTAAGTGGGTGGTGTTTTGGGTGAGACCGTCGTCAAGGGCAACAGCTGACTCAGCAAGCCCCACCGCCCGATACTGCCAATCAATGAACAACCCCACGGCCTTCTCTACTTCATGCATTCAGCCCTGATACTATTTATTCTCCGGTCCTTGCAGAACTCACATTATCACCCGAGTCCTTGCCTTAAAGTACTCTGATCCTTGCGATACATTGCTTACCATTCGACTGTCTTCTCTATCCCATCCACCCAAAATGCAGGCTGCCCAGCAGGCCTGGGGTGAGTACCTCCATACTGATATGAGCCAGCTTGTAATTAACTAATGTCCCCGCACAGAGCTGGAGAATGCGATAAGCGTGTTTGATCCTCAACGAGATGCCCTCTACGAATACAATGCCGATACAGAAAAAGCCCTCAACGAGGAGCGACCATGGGCCACCGACCCATACTATTTCAAGCACGTGCGAATCTCCGCTTCGGCACTATTGAAGATGGTGATGCATGCCCGCTCGGGTGGCTCACTAGAGATTATGGGTCTGATGCAAGGCTACATCTTACCGAACACCTTCGTGGTGACAGATGCGTTCCGGCTGCCAGTCGAAGGCACCGAAACCCGAGTGAATGCGCAGGACGAGGCAAACGAGTACATGGTATCATATCTCCAGTCGTGTCGAGACTCGGGGCGGATGGAGAATGCTGTCGGATGGTATCACAGTCACCCGGGTTATGGGTGCTGGCTGTCTGGGATTGATGTGGCCACTCAACAAACACAGCAAATGACTGGACCGTTTGTCGCCGTTGTCATCGACCCGGACCGTACCATCTCCGCGGGTCGCGTTGAGATCGGCGCTTTCCGCACATTTCCATCGAACTTTACCCCGCAGAAGGAGGCTCATGAGGATGACGAGTATCAGACTATCCCGCTCGGGAAGGCAGAAGACTTCGGTGCGCATGCCAATCAATACTACTCTCTTGATGTCAGTCATTTCAAAAGCACCCTTGATACGGAAATATTGTCCCTTCTATGGAACAAGTACTGGGTCGCGACTCTCAGCCAGAGCCCGCTATTCACCTCTCGTGATTTCGGTAACAAGCAGATCATGGATCTCAGTCAAAAAGTGCGCAAAGCCGCACGTGGAATGGAGGCCACCGGCTCGAGAGCCGGTGGCGTCAACAGCAAAGATCAACAGCTGGATAAGGTTGTCCGCGGCGGACAGCGGGTTGTTGCGGAGGAAGTGAAGGGTCTCATAGCATCCGAAACAAAGATGAAACTGTTTCACGGCATCGGAAACCAAACTCCTTCGACAGAGTGATCCAGCTCATATGATGAGGGGTCCACGATCCCAAAATATTGACATGACTGCCACGCTTTTTACTTAGCTTGAACTGTTGTATTTGGAGCTCAGCGGGTTGATATCACCATATTCGCTGGAATTTCTCGGGGCTTGCTATGTGCGGCGATCTTTCTCGATCCATGATCATAGAATATCTAAAATTGCAGTTCCTGCAAATGAATGAATTTACGACTTCATGTCTCACCTTTTGTAGCCGTCTCAAGCAAGGGCAACAAAGGCAAATACTGGCCCTGTCTGAGGGTGGTGTCCACGGTAGTAAATCCGCTAGCCTAAGAATCTAAGACAATCCAAGGTAATCAATCTCTATTGGCGCAGAATACGCAATATTCCGGGCGGGAATCGAACAAGTAGTAGAACACTGTATGTAATGAAGTTAAAAGTACCAAGTCAACTCCACCGGGTAACATCGATCAGACAGGAACAAAAGTCTCGAGTCATTCGTGACGTTCATTATTCAGAATACAGCGTAGAGGAAAAAGGCCTGAAAAGAAAAAAGCAGGTCGCCCTAACCTGGCGACAACACAAGGGGATATGTTGAAAAAGGAAACAAAAAAATGAAACTGAAATCCAAGGCAAAATACGCCGAGAAAATGGCCAGGATATGTCACAGTCGGTACAAAGAAGAGGTGAGTTCGAGATGGCCACAGAGGCAGGTGACCTCATCGGGGAGATAAGAGACGAAAGAAGGAAACAAGGGGGGAATAAACAAGAAATCCGAACCAATCAAACAGCTCTATTGCGCTATATCGAGAATCAATATACGGAGCACTCCGTATTCGCCGGTGCAATGATAAATGCCGAGACCGAATGTAACTGCATCGAGAATAAGTGTGCACATGTGTGGGTCTTTGAGACATTCACATGCATGCGATAGATCAACCTGCAAGTATCCCTGAAAAGTGAGATCTGAGAGGTGAAAAGGTGAGGTGGTGTGGAGACTAGGATAGCCTGAACGGTCACGAGGTGGTGAAACACGAACGTCGATTGGAGCGCGAATGGCGCATTTGTCGAACCTGTTTGGTGGCGCCGCAGGATGTAACTCGACAGGGATCTTCACGGGTTACAGGAAGCCGGACTCAGATAGTAATCTACGAGATTCAGAATCCAAAACGGTTAGTCTCAACAGCCGAACAGTTTTGAGAGAAAGAAAAAAAAAAGAAAGCAGAGTTGTCGTTGTCTTGGCCCCCAAAAAAAAGAGAATAGGTCAAATTTGGGTATCGCCGGGCAAATGCCAAACGCCAGTTTTTAAGAAAAAGAAAAAAACAAGATTATCGCAAAACAGCAACGGTGGATGCAAACAACAAGGAGCTCTTGTCTCTGCTTGAGGCTTCAGCATACCTTGCAATCTTTTCATCCTCGCGCTCCCTAGGCTCGATTTCCAGACTTCGTTCGTACATGTCGTGTACATCGCCAGCACCTTGGAGGTTACTGAGAATGTAATCTTGAAGTTCGCCGACGGGTTGCAAAAGATAAGGCACATTCTGGTATTGCTGGATATCCCGAATGACTTCTGCAGTCTTTGCCCGCTTATTGAAGTTGATCAATTCTGATGGTGTTAGAGACGGAATACCGTCTTCAATGAAGGTCAAATCTGTAAGATAGACACCTACGATGTGTTAGTCAAATCAAAGGGGTGAGATGCTCCAAGACATTCTGCTTGAAATGGTTGTGATGCATACCGAAGAATGGAATACAGGGCGGGTTAGCGAGATGTAGGGTTTCTCGATATTCGCCAAAGTTCTTCGTACTAGCCATAAGCCGACGCATCTGTTCCAAAACAGCGGACGTGCGTCCGCTAACCTGGCCCCATGTCCTACCTAGACGATGAATGGGTGCAGTTCCAAGAGCCGAAATGATGGATGTCAGGGTAGAATAATTGTTCAGGTTGCGACATTTCTGTATAGTCGAGTTAGTAAGGTCAATATCAAATAGATATAGAAAATACATACATCAGCCACGTTCACAAAGTGTTTGATGACCACCACACGCTTCTTGACATCGCCTTGAGCGAGAATCATTTCAGCGACCCAGTTAGTAAGCTGGTTCGAGTGAAGAATCAAGGCCTTGACATTGGGAGATGGTTCTGGCTCATCGGGGCCAACCTTCTTCTGCCATGTCTTGTTCAAACACTCAGTGGGCCGGATTTTGGAGTAGAGGCGCGACTCAATGATGGTCAACTGCCGAGCAAACTCCGTCGGATCAATGTCGAGGAACTTCAACTTCTTCATATTCTTAGGGATAATTGGTGTTGGTGCGGCGGTGCTCTGAGTTGGAACAAGGCGCTTGACGGTTGTGTCTTGTCCTCGAAGTCGTTGTTCGATCACGGCCAATAATGTAGGGGTTCCTGGCGTTTTTGTAGTAGCGATTGAGTCGCTGGTAAAAGTATGGACACGCCGCAGGAGGTCCATGTGCAGTTCATCATTAGGCTCCATCCAGAAGTGATCGAACCAACTCTTAAGAATGTTGACGACACGGAATCTGATCGGCTTCTGTTTCCGATCAATCCACATTTGCATGTCATCTTGATTTAAGCCAAATGGAGGCTGAACGTTAAATCGCTGGACAAGCAATTCAAATAGTTCGGTGGCAGTCGTGAAAGAGCGATAGGTGAGGAGGAAGGTGTTGTTGAAGGATGCATCAAGCTTATCGTGGCGGGTGAGGTGTTCAACCAATCCCGCGAGTGTTCCACATTTGAGGATTGGCAGGTCTCCCTTGTTATCGTAGAACACTTCGCCTTCATGGGCCATTTTCAAGAACCAGGGAGTCTCTTCTGGCTCGCGGACTGGCTCACGGATTGGCTCTCGCGTGATAGCTGTTGGGGGTGCCTGGCCAAAGAATCGTTGGGCCTTGTCCATATTTCTTCGTACTTTATCGGTGCCACCTTCTTTTTCAGGGGCGTAGGAGGATGGAATTCCGATTGACTCTGCAATCTTGGCCATGGACTCGCCACGGCTATGCATCTTCTTGAACGACTCATCATCCGATTCCTGGCGGCTACCACGTCGTAGAGATGATACTGGCTCGGTGGGAATTTGCTCAAGGAGCAGCGACAGCGAGAAACCAATCTGGGAGACATAGTTCTCCAACTGCCTGGCGATGCCTCGCACGGCATTCACACGATCGTCGAGAGAATTACCACGAAGCTCGGCCCACTCATCGGCCAGAGGGGCGGAAACTGCTTGACAGCTCAGGACGAAATCTCCAATAGCATCGTAGGCTCTCTGCTTTTGCAAGCTAAAGTCTACTAGCTGGGGGTTCTGGAAGCTGGTCCCCAACGGAGCTAAATTCATCGACTCGACAGAAGAGATCCATGGGCGAAACTGTTCAATGACCTTGATTGCAGCAGCGGAGATTG